TGAAGATTTTTAATCGAGGTCGGTAGATACGTTGAGTGTAATAAGATTGTTCTTGAGGAGACGAGATTGATTCTTCTTGAAAAGATGAGATTGAATCACCTTGTTGTTCTAGTTGATTATCAGCCATTTTCTTTTTTATTTAATTTAAATCACAGCAATAGATTGACCAGAAAGATTATCACAGACAGATAACTATCCTGTCGACTTATAAAGTAATATGGGGTTTCAGCGGTGGTACAGCTTTGCAGTCGGAATTTCAGCTATTAATTACTTTTGGTTAGGAGCTTAAGCTCACTATCCTTATAATTAATAATAATGTTCAGCGGGGAAAACAGTTCAGCCAGAATTTTCAGCAACAGCTATTAATTGCTCTTGGTCAGGAGCGTACGCTCACTGTCCTCACAATTAATAATAACACAGCACAAAAATATGAATTCCAATTAATTCACTTCCATGGGAATAGCCAATTCGATTCCTAAAAGAAACTAATTAATTAAATCAAAACTGATTTAAATTCAATTAAATCTTTATTTTAAAATTATCATTTGAATCATCACCATCATCAGCTAATGATTAACTGATTTTAGTTGATCAAATTTAATCAACAACATCAACAATTAAATCAAATTAATTGTTGATCAAAATTAACAAAAACAACAACAACAATTGATCAAAAATAAAATTAACAACAACAACAATAATCACAATCAAAATCAAAATTAAAATTAACAATTAGTTAATTAATTGTAGGATGAGATAGAGAGAGAAATTAATTAAAAGAAAGGGAAAAGAAAGTGGAAAAGAAAGAGAAAAGGAAATAATGAAAGAGGAAGAGAAAGAGGATTTCTTATCCTTTGGTTTTTCTTTCTCTAAAATCAAATTTACATTACATATATTAATACAAAAAATATCTTATTAAAATGGTATCACTATTATCAGATTAAAATCAAGTCACGTCAGAAATGATATATCATCCATGGTCTAAATTAATTGTTCAATCTGTTCAAACAATTAAATATCAGGTTGTTATTGTTATTTATCGCGATTAAATGTCAGTTCAATTTGTGCAGATCACTTTAAATAATCGTTGAGAGACTTGTTCCATACACACCAAACAAATTTACCAGACTCTGGGCCAAAAAAGACTGAAAGCTTAATTGAAACAATCGTTGAAGTTTGCAACAAACTCAGATAAATACTGTTTCCAATCAGAAATTGAATCCATTCAACTTTTCACACAAAGATAGTCCCAGGTCACATTTTCCGCAAAATTAACATTAATACGCAATAATTGTATTTTTTTACTCTTTCAAGTAAAGTGATTATTGAATGCAATAGACACTAGAGTCACCGCTTCCGTTTCCTCTCACTTTTTCATCTCAAATCTGTTTCTTTTCTCTTTCAAGTCAAAATTATTGAATTTTGATGATATTTTTTTGTTAGTGCTCGATAAAATCTTTTATTTCAGTTAACTTCTATAAACTATTAATTGAGAAGGCACTTTTTGATTTCAATTTGGGTTGAACCTGTAACCGAGTAGCTTTAAACCACCAGCTCATTTCCCGTTGCTTCCATAACCATTCTGATCTCCATAACCGCCACCAAAATTGGTAACGTCGTTTGGTTTTGTGATAGAGTCAATAACAGGCTTGATAGAACCTCCACCAACATCAGCAACCGCAATTTCGGCAACAGCTTGAGCAAAGGACTGGTCCAAAGATTGAAGCTTAGGTAAATTTCCCGCGGAATGGTCCAAAGAATCTGTCACTAAATTAATGGGGGTCATACTATCATCATCTCTTTTCTCTCTTCTTAGATCATCAACCGGAATGATAATAGGAAGACTCGACCATGGGGAATCGTAGTGAGCTCTGGTCCTCGTTAAAACAAAAATAAATATAATCACAAAGACAAAGCTTGAATATTTGGACACATTCATAATTAGATTTTAAATCAATCGACACTTTAATGGTTTTTACACACTTGTTACTTTAACTGATAAAAAATAACATTTGTTGACATCTCTTTTACTACCAAATTACTAATAAGAGTAAAATTGATCAACTGGTGTGTAAATTTAACTAATTATATTTAATTGAAAGAATAATGTTGATTTTATTTTGTTAATAACAAAGGTGAGTTTATTTAGAATCTCTTGTTATATTTAATAGCTGATCTTTCGACTAACTAGTTTTTTCTATTCTCATAAATTATCTATCATAATTACGTGTTTCATTCAATAGGCACGAGACTCACTACTTCTGTTTCCGGTTTCTTTTTCTTACTTTTTCATGTCAAAATTATTAATTTTGATCGTTTTTTGTCAATATACAATAGAATCATTCAGTCTGACTTGACTACTAAGGTACTTTTTGAGTTGAATTTGGATTGAATGTCTATTGATCTCAATTGTTACAACTCCAAAAAATAGAATGATTTTTGAAATATTAGCCGGTGGATCAAAAAGATCGAGAATCTAGCATTTATGATAAAATTTGATTATTAATATAATTAAACTAATCATCATACAGGGCAAATTTTTATATATATTGTTAAAGGTCAGCATCTAAGCTTTTGAATGATATGATATTGCTTAATTAAAAATCCATATTCTTTTGGCGATCAAGGTAAATTTGAGCCCAAAAAAATTTTGCCCATTACTTTGTTGTTTACCTAATATGAATACTCATAACATTGTTAATATTTTCAATGAATTTTTGATAAAAACAATCAAAGTTTTGTAAAAACCTGCAATAGCAGGCTCAGAATTTGCAATTTCGGCCACAGATGAAGCGAAGGCCATTTTGAATGCTTGAACCAAAAGCTTAGGAGACTTTCCACTAAAAAGGTTCAAAGAACTTTTCAATTCATTAATGATCGTCATGAGGTCATCCTCCGCATCATTACCTAGACCAACCATAGCAGAAAACCCATTATAATCAGTAGTAGATGGAATCTCCCATGAAGAGCCGTTCTGAGCTCTCGTCATCGTTAAAACAGAAATACATACAATCACAAATACAAAACTTAAATATTTAGTCAAATTCATAATTAGATTTTTAAATCAATCGACACTTTAATTGTTTTTGATAAACTTGTTAGATTTTTACTTTAACTAATGGAAAATAAAATAAGTTGAAAACTTCCGACAAACTAAGAGTAAAATTAATCAACTGCTGTGTAAATTTAACTAATTATCTTCCATTAAACGGATAATGTTGATTTTATTTTTATAAAACTAATTAGATTATAATTCTGGTGATTCTAGCAAAACTCAGCCAACTCGTACCTTTTTGCTGTATAAACACAATCAACATAAAAACCCAAAATTGTTGTTTATCGCGATCAAAGTTAAAGGTAAGTTTATTTCATTTCCATTTATTTACCACAAATTCGTGCCTTCATTTTCTTAATTGGAAGCAGCCTGATTGTCTTAATTAAATCTCATAAAAAATATTCAAATCAATATTTTTTTATCGAAAAGTTTATTAATTTAAACACATTCGACTTTTCTGCTTTCTAAATCGACTGTACAAAAAGCTTCAGTTTTAGGTAGTTGACTGTATTAGAAATGATGGAATTGAAATAACTCATAGTACAATATAATTCATCGTAATCGATGAATTTTACAAATGAACTTCATGATGGTGAATTGAAAATCCTGGGAGTTGAAAAAAAAATATCAAAACTAATAAATATTTGGTGAACTAATCAATATGCAAGGTACAAGGTTAATTGTTTTCTTAATTGTTGAGTTCCAGACACATTATATCCCGAATTATTTTACAATTGTATTCGTGATCAAATCAATTGGAATCATCAATTAATGATACACACTTCATTATGAAGACTTGCTTCTGTTGAAAAACAACCAATTGGTTTATCAATTTGAATTTGAGTAATAAATTAATTTTGATGGATGTGACAATTAACAGTTTCAGTAGTGATTTAAACCAAATCAAATGTCAATCACTGGGAGTCAATTAAATCCCAACGCAAGTAAACTGCGAGTGAATTGAAAAGTTTTACCTTGATAGTTATTAAAATAATATCATTAATATTAGATTAAAATCCAAGTCACGTCATAAATTGTATGAAATATTATATGGTCCAAATTAATTGTTCAATCTGTTTAAATATTTGTTATCAGATTGTCATAATCAATTGACCGTAACTCCTGTAAGTATTTATGTGTAAAATCAAAGACAATTAAATAATGTAACAATTAATTGTTAGCCAGGTAAAAAATATCAAAACTCCCAGTAAGCAAATGATAACATAATTAAAGGTTAATCAAGGAAACCGGAAAATCTCAATTATCTAGCAAACAGTTAGTTAAAACTATTCTTAGTTAATTTGCTTATTAAAACATCTAATTAAAGGTTTAGTTTACATTATGATAATTATCAGCATGTTAAGCTCAGGGAAATGCACATTAGATTGAAAATAAATCGTTGCTCTTATTTGCTATGACAATCAGTAAATTGTTGACCAAACTCTGAAAAGATTAACACAGAAATACATTTATGGAGACATTGATAATGTATTATTATGAGACTAGATTTAAACCAAATTTAAATATTTCCTTTTCAATGCTACAATGACCCTGACCGTGATTAAGCTGTCACAAGGTCAATGATGACAATCAATTTTAATAATAACAACAACAATTAGTTTATTGAGAGTGTGTTGGTGATACAACAACAACAAAACTGAATTACCATTGTTACCTTTAAGTTTAATCACATTGTAATAGTAACTTTAATCACCATAGAAACATTTCAATCTGCTTATTGTTTATGAATATGTTTTTTTCAGGCTCGATCGTTATAACTCCCTCATCATCATCATCAAAGGAGTTGGAAACATAAATAAATGGAGAAAGAGAGAGAGAGAGAGAGAGAGAGAGAGAGAGAGAGAGAAGTAGGGAGGGAGTCATGTTTATATGAATATCACAACAATTAAGTTGATTGTTGACGAAACGATTGAGACGAGAAAATTTTTGTGTATCTGCTCAAACAACTCCAGAAATATGACCACTGATATCAAGGTCTCGGTCATTATCAGTGAATTTTTGTCATCATGATGATGATTATTATGACAATTACCTGAGCTATTATTATTATTTCTCATGGTTTCTATTGTTGTTACAAATATTGTCATGAGGATGATTTTGATTATAACTTCAACACTGAATTTGTTTGAAAATAGAGTGTTAAAGTTTACCAATTTACTTTTATGAGTGTTGATTATCAACAATTGAATAAGTTGATTATAACCGTCTAGATATAACTATTTTTCTAATGAAAAGGGATGTAAAATAATAATGAAATTGAAACTTTCTCTTTGAAAAGAAATAGTTTTCATTTTACTTCAAATTATTGGGAAAAGGAAAAGTTTTCAACAGTTACCGAAACTTATACCGATGTACGTTAACCGATGTACCAAAGTGTTTTTATCAACAATTTACTTGGACAGATAATTTGTTTTGATTATCATTGTAAATCTTTATTCGTACTATTTGTTATTAGAAATAATTTCAATATCTTATCATGAGTTGGATCTTCTTGACAATCTTACTGGTTCTTTTGATAATAAATCCTAATCTAATCTATGGCTGGATTTGTATTCTAGATGAAAGTGAATCTGATTCGTCTTCATCTTCAATATTATCCTTATCATCTTCATCCTCATCTTCATCGCCTAAAGTGCTCAATGTTTTTGATATCAACACTTCATCCGAAGATGCAACTAACTCAACATGTTGTCGGATTAGATTAACCAATTCATCCAGTGATTATCAAAATAGTTTATGTTTCACCGAGTCAATGGATAACTCTCATAGATTTAAAACACTATTTAAAGGTAAACCAAGTTGAGTGAAAGTTTAATTGGATAACTAATTGTTACTTTCATTGAAAATCTAGTGTCTGGAAAATTTTATCCATCCTTCAAGGAATCACCTTTAGCTCCGGTTAATGCTGTTTGTATGAAAGGTGAATTAATTAGTTGCCAAGAAATGACCATTAATCAAATTGATGACGACGATATTGTAGATGATCAACTAAATGAACATGATAGGTCACTTCTAAAATCGACGAAACATCGAAGAAAAACCATTTTCGATAGTGAAGATTTCACAGAAAATGATTCAATCGGTACTCTGAACGACGATAATCTTGCCGATAACAATATTAATTCAGATCAATTAGAAGATGAAAATTACCAGGAGATTATAATTGTTACCCCATGTAAGTTAGTCAATTTTTACATGATTAGAATCAAATCAAGTGCAAACACAATTGGCTATCTTTTAATTGATCCTAATAACCACATTTAAAATTTTCTAACTGTCACTAAATCATCTAATTGGTAATTCCTAAGTTCGATTGTCCTTTTTTACCCAATTGTTGTTATGGACTTATACTAATCTAGTTTCTAATTAATCTTTTATCGTTGATTACTGCTTATTGATTGCTAAATTTCGTGCTCTGTTGAAAGGACTCCTACATAACTATTTGATTGAAATAGCATCCTTCTGATTGATTGGCTGTTAATCATGATAATAATCATTACAATAAATTGATTAAATATCAATTGAATCAACATTGTAACCTTGGTAAACTTTATGTTTATTTATATTGCTGCTGATTGTGATTATTAATTACGAAAAAAACTTTCAATCTAATCCATCATTAAAATTGATTCAATTCAATGAAGAGGTCAAGCAATAAGATTAAGTCTGCTAATCAATTATTACAATTGTTTATTGCCTCAAATTGTCACTATCATTGAGGGTTTAATCTAGTTTAAATTTATGCATTAACTTTGATTAGATTAATATGCGATTGTGAAATTAAATCATTAAGCTAATTTTAGACTGACCATGACCCAAAATATTGAATGACCGCCAAGTGATTGGATGGTGAATTTATAAAATGTCGATTACTTGATTTGAACTGAAAATTTTATCAATTATATTCAAATTACGTCAACAATTAACCTCAACCTTGACACAATTAACTTTATAGCCTAATCATTGAAAGTCCTATGAATGAACAACAGCAATCCTATTAATAGATTTACAACAATTAACCTTCATCATTGGGTTACTATTAATATTTACCAAAATCGATCACCAAGAAAATCAAATATTTAGTAATTAACTTTTACCAAAACCCATAACATCTTGAATGAGATCAACAATTAGCTAATTATTCTCAATTCAAATTGTTTCCACAGCTTCGCCTAATTTATCATCGGGTAAAAATATTTTAATTCAAGTTGAATATGTGATAGGTGAGGAGGTTAAACTTGCCTGTTTATTGGAAACCAAACAATCAAATCAAATTATCTGGATTAAGGATAATGATTACCTGTTATCACCGCAATCAAATCAGTTGATCAATGAAATTGACTATCAAATTATCCACCAATCAATTAATAAATTCATAACTTTGGACATCTTAAAGATAACAATTAATAGTGGAAATGCAAGTGGACTTTACACTTGCTATTCAAACAATTTGACAACAATCAACACTGATCAAATTGATTCAATGTCTTTTCAAGTTATCGGTAAGTCAATTAATCACCAATCAAGTAAACAATTAACCTTGACTTGGCTATTACCTTATTCCAATGTTAACATTTCCATTAGTCAGAAATCAATCAACAAATCAATATGAATAAACTGTCGCATTAATAGAGATGGACGAATGGTTAGATTTAAAGCTAATCGATTAATCGACTTGTAAAGTACGAAAGAGGAAATGAAAAGAAAAAAAAGAAAGAGAGAAAGAATCAAAAAATAAATATCTAATCAATTAATTAATCACAATAAGAGTCTACTTAATAATGATTAGATTTTAAAGGGATAGCCAAAGAGTAGGGTGATTCTCTACTCTTTGGGGATAGCTAAAGTCAATAATATTTAAAGTGAATTCTTAATGTGACATTGAAAATGGTTGATCATCGATATTACAGAATTGGTTGTGAATAAATTGTACATCTAATTGATTGAATTTTCTGAAACAAAATTAGCAACATCATCTCGAGAATACGCTGATTACAAATTTAAAAGGCCGAGTATAACGGGATTTATAGTTGGCATGATTCCGTCGATTATGCTTTTCTTTTATATTATCATGAGCCTTGGGTACCGATCGAGATACGCGATGGACCAGGAAGAGGAAGAAGAAGGATTTGGAATATAAAGTCAATTTATTAATAGTTTTAATTAAACAGCCGAACAAAAATCAATTGTTGTTAACAAACCGATCAAGTTTTTAATAATAAAATTATTTTTTTACAAACAAAAAATGCATGAGATGCAAAAGGCTGTTGTTTTTCAGGATTCTCAATCAATTTAACCCAGGTTATGAGACCATTTCATATCTAACGGTGTATTTCAGTCCATTTCTATCGTTTTAATTTCAAAGTTCCTAAAAACAACGATCAAAGTTTAGTTAATCATTTTCTGTACAATTAATATATTCAAACAGCTAAAACTCATTTGAAAGTAAATCCATTCAACATTAACTGAGTGAAGTTAAATTTAAACACCGTTTGATAAATTTTTATTTTATTAATAGCAAAAGAAACTTGCAGAAAATTTTTTACGAATACTAAAAGTGAAAGCTTAATAAGTTATCGAATTATTTATCTCAGTTGATTGAATGAATCTCATCATGAACTTTTCCGAATTCGAATTTTTATCTTTGGGGGTTATATTTGTTGCTACATTGTGTTTTACAGATTACAAGGATTATTAGGTAATTATTATAATTTCATACTGAATTTGTTGTTAATCGCGATACAAGGCAAAAGATGTTCACTTTCATTTTAAGTCTTCAAATATTATTTAATGCAAACCTTTCAGACGAAAATGAGTAAATAAAATTGTGATGAACGGCATGTTGAAGGCATCGACATCTTACGTTATAACGTAGGTACATAGAAATGATGCTGTGGTTCATCTAGCACTCTAATCATGATTAGATCGTTAAAAATGTTTGCAAAATGCAAATAAGCATAAGGAGAATCAAGTAATCATTTGGCTGTCAATACTCAGGTAATACTTTTTTAAGTTCTACATTTAGTTTATAAACTTGGTAGCCATCATCGTTCACCATCGGTGCATCATCGCCATTGTTATCTTCATCGTCACCATCATCGTCATAGTTATAGTATTTCGTATCTTTATCATTAATTTGAAAACCAGAACCAGAAGAAAAATTCAAGGTATCATCCGTATAACGGGCTTTGTCACCAATAAAATTATCAGCAAAAAGATTAGAATCAGAACTAGTGTCAAAGCAGTTTAAATCAAGACAAATAGGACTTACCAGCACCAGCACCTCCCCCACCACCATATCCACCACCATATTGATTAGAGCCAACAGTAATATCAGATGTGGGCAACAACTGAAAACTGATATTACCACCTATCATTGATAAAATAGTTGAACATACAACTACAAAGGTGAAATTTGGGATTATATTCAAGTCCATAATTATGATATCAAATATATCTTAAAAAACTGAAACACAATAGTTTTTGATGCACTTGTTAGAGTTTCCTTTTACAAACGGGAAATAATTCTTATTTAAAATTAATTTTATCTACAAAATAAGAGTAAAAACGATTGATTCATGTGTAAATTTAACTAACTGGAACAATATATGTTGCATTTTGTAAAAACACTCTGTTTTCCATGTCTATTCAGAAGGTTTTATCTAAACATTAATTACGTGTATCATAATAGTTTAATTATACAGTTCAAGCACAACAATCATTCGCGTTGTAAGTGTGAAAAGTAAATTAATTCGAACAGATCATATATCGTAACTCAGACATGTGAAAACATTAAGATGTTGCGGGCTGAAAATGGAATTGAGTACTCGCCATAGCCCTTTTTACTGTCTTTCCGAAATTAGAAATTGGTCCCTCGATTAATGCTGAGTTTCCCTCTTCCCTAACAAAGACTCTTACAATCTCTAATTCTAATACAACATCTTTGGTTGATTTAAGTCGAGTTTAAAGTTTTTGAAAAAATTCATGATGGTTCGATATTTATGACGATTCGAAAGGTCTCATCCTTTGTTAGTTATTATTAGTTTAAATAGTTTTTTACGGTTAGTTATTAATTCTTATTGAAAATTCGTTTATTTGCCAAAACAAGAGTTAAATTTATTGACTGATATGTAAATTAATTCATTTAGTTAAATTGGAACAGTTAACTATGTTGGTTAGACACAGTTTTAGTGTTTCCATCTGGTGATACGTTTATAAGGTTGAACTCCATGAATTTTCTGAAAGATGGAGATGAATTCAGGGAGAGAGAAAGAGAAAGGAAAGTTATCCTTCCAATGAGCATTCTACATCTCTTCTTCCTTACTCAGCTATTTGTTTGAAATTTTCTCGTATCCAAACGCAATCTCTGAAACTAACATGATGATAACTTGAAGCTTATTATGGCGCAGAATTGTCAGTCAACAGAATTTCACTTTAATCAAGATTATTATCTCCTTGTTAGAAACAAATATAAAATTATTATTACGGCAACATTATGATTTCTATTGTGTCCATATCTTTGTAAACAATTTGTACTATCGTGCCAAATACAAAGGGCTAAATTCATCTCACCCCTTGGATCACCACCCTCATCATCACCAGAATCACTATCAACACATCTGAAACGTTTTTATCTACCTGTAAGTGTTTTCTAATATAAATAATAATAGTTGTATATTTCATGATAATGATTACCTGTTATCACCGCAATCAAATCAGTTAATCAATGAAATTGACTATCAAATTATCCACCAATCAATTAATACATTCATAACTTTGGACATCTTAAAGATAACAATCAATAGTGGAAATGCAAGTGGACTTTACACTTGCTATTCAAACAATTTAACAACAATCAACACTGATCAAATTGATTCAATGTCTTTTCAAGTTATCGGTAAGTCAATTAATCACCAATCAAGTAAACAATTAACCTTGACTTGGATATTACCTTATTTCAATGTTAACATTTCCATTAGTCAGAAATCAATCAACAAATCAATATGAATAAATTGTCGCATTAATAGAGATGGACGAATGGTTAGATTTAAAGCTAATCGATTAATCGACTTGTAAAGTACGAAAGAGGAAATGAAAAGAAAAAAAAGAAAGAGAGAAAGAATCAAAAAATAAATATCTAATCAATTAATTAATCACAATAAGAGTCTACTTAATAATGATTAGATTTCAAAGAGATAGCTAAAGTCAATAATATTTAAAGTGAATTCTTAATGTGACATTGAAAATGGTTGATCATCCATATTACAGAATTGGTTGTGAATAAACTGTACATCTAATTGATTGAATTTTCTGAAACAAAACTAGCAACATCATCTCGAGAATACGCTGATTACAAATTTAAAAGACCAAGTATAACGGGATTTATAGTTGGCATGATTCCGTCGATTATGCTTTTCTTTTATATTATCATGAGCCTTGGGTACCGATCGAGATACGCGATGGACCAGGAAGAGGAAGAAGAAGGATTTGGAATATAAAGTCAATTTATTAATAGTTTTGATTAAACAGCCGAACAAAAATCAATTGTTGTTAACAAACCGATCAAGTTTTTAATAATAAAAGTATTTTTTTACAAACAAAAAATGCATGAGATGCAAAAGGCTGTTGTTTTTCAGGATTCTCAATCAATTTAACCCAAGTTATGAGACCATTTCATGTCTAACGGCGCATTTCTGTCGTTTTAATTTCAAAGTTCCTAAAAACAACGATCAAAGCTTAATTAATCATTTTCTGTACAATTGGTATATTTAAACAGCTAAAACTCATTTAAAAGTAAATCCAATCAACATTAACTGAGTGAAGTTAAATTTAAACACCGTTTGATAAATTTTTATTTTAGCAAAAGAAACTTGCAGAAAATTTTTTGCTTTACTAAAAGTAAACTTTTTTACTAAAAGTGAAAGCTTAATAAGTTATCGAATTATTTATCTCAGTTGATTGAATGGATCTCATCATGAACTTTTCCGAATTCGAATTTTTATCTTTGGGTGTTATATTTGTTGCTACAGTGTGTTTTACAGATTACAAGTAATTAGGGTGGTTTCGATGATCAAAGGGGTTTTCGAAATTAACATTTGTCAAATTTCATTCCAGTTAAATTTAACTGAGATGAGCACTCAGGTGATTTCAGTAAAACTCACTTATCTTATACGAATTCTGATATTCATGTAAATGTACTATATTAAAACATAATAATCATTTCATACTGAACTTGTTGTTAATCGCGATACAAGGCAAAAGATGTTCACTTTCATTTTAAGTCTTCAAATATTATTTAATGCAAACCTTTCAGACGAAAATGAGTAAATAAAATTGTGATGAACGGCATGTTGAAGGTATCGACATCTTACGTTATAACGTAGGTACATAGAAATGATGCTGTGGTTCATCTAGCACTCTAATCATGATTATATCGTTAAAAATGTTTGCCAAATGCAAATAAGGATAAATAAGCATAAGGAGAATCAAGTAATCATTTGGCTGTCAATACTCAGGTAATACTTTTTTAAGTTCTACATTTAGTTTATAAACTTGGTAGCCAACATCGTTCACCATCGGTGCATCATCGCCATTGTTATCTTCATCGTCACCATCATCGTCATAGTTATAGTATTTCGTATCTTTATCATTAATTTGAAAACCAGAACCAGAAGAAAAATTCAAGGTATCATCCGTATAACGGGCTTTGTCACCAACAAAATTATCAGCAAAAAGATTAGAATCAGAACTAGCGTCAAAGCAGTTTAAATCAAGACAAATAGGACTTACCAGCACCAGCACCAGCCCCACCACCATATCCACCACCATATTGATTAGAGCCAACAGTAATATCAGATGTGGGCAACAACTGAAAACTGATATTACCACCTATCATTGATAAAATAGTCGAACATACAACTACAAAGGTGAAATTTGGGATTATATTCAAGTCCATAATTATGATATCAAATATATCTTAAAAAACTGAAACACAATAGTTTTTGATGCACTTGTTAGAGTTTCCTTTTACTAACGGGAAATAATTCTTATTTAAAATTAATTTTATCTACAAAATAAGAGTAAAAACGATTGATTCATGTGTAAATTTAACTAACTGGAACAATATATGTTGCATTTTGTAAAAACACTCTGTTTTCCATGTCTATTCAGAAGGTTTTATCTAAACATTAATTACGTGTATCATAATAGTTTAATTATACAGTTCAAGCACAACAATCATTCGCGTTGTAAGTGTGAAAAGTAAATTAATTCGAACAGATCATATATCGTAACTCAGACATGTGAAAACATTAAGATGTTGCGGGCTGAAAATGGAATTGAGTACTCGCCATAGCACTTTTTACTGTCTTTCCGAAATTAGAAATTGGTCCCTCGATTAATGCTGAGTTTCCCTCTTCCCTAACAAAGACACTTACAATCTCTAATTCTAATACAACATCTTTGGTTGATTTAAGTCGAGTTTAAAGTTTTTGAAAAAATTCATGATGGTTCGATATTTATGACGATTTTTCGAAAGGTCTCATCCTTTTGTTAGTTATTATTAGTTTAAATAGTTTTTTACGGTTAGTTATTTATTCTTATTGAAAATTCGTTTATTTGCCAAAACAAGAGTTAAATTTATTGACTGATATGTAAATTAATTCATTTAGTTAAATTGGAACAGTTAACTATGTTGGTTAGACACAGTTTTAGTGTTTCCATCTGGTGATACGTTTATGAGGTTGAACTCCATGAATTTTCTGAAAGATGGAGATGAATTCAGGGAGAGAGAAAGAGAAAGGAAAGTTATCCTTCCAATGAGCATTCTACATCTCTTCTTCTTCCTTACTCAGCTATTTGTTGGAAATTTTCTCGTATCCAAACGCAATCTCTGAAACTAACATGATGATAACTTGAAGCTTATTATGGCGCAGAATTGTCAGTCAACAGAATTTCACTTTAATCAAGATTATTATCTCCTTGTTAGAAACAAATATAAAATTATTATTACGGCAACATTATGATTTCTATTGTGTCCATATCTTTGTAAACAATTTGTACTATCGTGCCAAATACAAAGGGCTAAATTCATCTCACCCCTTGGATCACCACCCTCATCATCACCAGAATCACTATCAACACATCTGAAACGTTTTTATCTACCTGTAAGTGTTTTCTAATATAAATAATAATAGTTGTATAATAATATTCAGAGAATATAAGGTAAACATGGATTATATCAGTGAATTTGATATAAGACTTGAAAAGGAAATGTATTATGCCGGTGAGACCCTAACAGGTCAAGTTATACTTCAAACGGTTGAAAATTTCAAGCTCAAAGGTTTGTATTCAGTTGATACATTTACTATTATTTTCATTAGGGTTCCATTAGATTTTTTAAAAAAATATCTTTTCCCAGTCTATCAAATGATGAATGTTTCACATCCTTTAGTTTTGTCAGTTTTACTTTGCCTTTTCTATGTAGATCTTATTTTATCATCATTCATTTATCTTCATCTTCTAATGTTTTTCTCCTCCTTTTCATCATCATTTTATTTTGATACATTGAAATTGAAGATACGATTAATGATTGAATGATCAGTTAATTGTCTGAAAAAAGTTACAAAATATTGGATTGCAATTCCCTGTAGAGAAGCAGCAAAATATTAGATCATTTTTTATCCATAATTTAACTTGTTGATCATAACAATTAGGATGAAAATATCAACAATTAAGCTGCTTAATGATGCTCATATCCTCTTAATTTAATGAGTTTTAATGATTAGTCAATTAATCCTTTTCTTTTGTTAATCTTTGGTAATTTATTGTTTTTCTACTAGAAAAAAATGAAGGAACTGTGCCTATCCTCCCTCGAGGACATCATTCATTTCCGTTCAACTTTCAACTTCCGGAAACTTCATTACCATGCAGTTTCGAGGCTAAGCCATGTACCATCCGTTATTATGTTAAGGTAACTCTGGACATACCATATGCATCACCGCCTCAGGGAATGAAATATTTTACCATCATCGGTCCTCACATTGACTGTATGGATGAACAATATTTGGTTAGTATTCCTATTAGTAAATCCTAGATAACAATTTATTCCTTTTCCAGAAAATTCATGATGCTCAAGTGAAGATAGAATATTTTTTTTCCCTTCCTTCTTTCTCATCAACATGAAGCTTGATTCCCTTTAATCTACACACAATCCAACCCCGATCCACTCCTCTTCACCCTCTTCCTCTTATCATCTTCATCTTCATCTCACATTATGATAATCAGAATAATCTTAACTTCCTTCTTCACTGAACTTCTTCAAGATTCTGATTCTTTTCATGATACAAATTCATTTTCTTCCATCACCATTATTATTATACATGATACAAATACTTTTCTCATGGAACAGTTTTTTTTCCTTCTCCATCCTCATCTTCATCCTTCTTTTTGATAACATGTTTCAAATTCAATATATCAAAATGTTATCCAATCAATATCATGATAACAGAGTTAAGGAGACACAATATGTTAACTTATCACCATTTTGATCAACAATTGATTATCACCATCAACAGGATGATCATCTAATATACTTGAATGGTTACAATTTGATTAATGATAATTTTCATCTAATTTTTTTCTGAAACTAATATTTACCATTAAACTAATAATAATTCAATTGAATTATTGATAAGTTTTGAAAGTATCTTGAGTTGGATCAACAAAAATTAGGTAGAACCAAACTAATTACAGTTAACTTGTTGAAACAATTAGTTTTCCATCTTGAATTAGATAGAGGATTTAATGACTATGAGATGATGATGAAAGTTAATTAATAATGAATTTGAAATAATATAATATAAAATTCAACGTTTCGGTAATTAATCAGATAATTGATCTAAATGTTAATCACTTTGAAAATAATGGTAATCATCATGCTGATTGTTTTTACTTTTCTTTTCAAGCTAATTAACTTGAATTCAATTGACTTTTCTTTCCACAACAATCTTAAAGAATCGTTATCATGAAAATCTTAGAGACTCTGAGTTAATCATCATGGAATTTATATTTGCCTCTTTCTTTACTTTCTTTTTTTTATTCTCCTTTTTCCTCCCTGTAAATGATTTAATCTCAACTTCAAACTTTTTTTTTCTCATCATGAAACTTGAATTGAGAGAAAAGTTTTCAGTTTATTAATTTAATAATAATGATGATGATAATGATCACCTTTTAGGCTTAAGAACTCGTGTAACCATGACAGCGATAGAATTCAGTTGAAGAATTAGAGAAAAGGAAAAATTCTGAAACGAAAATTGAGTTTTTCTTTATTTCGAAGTAGGAAAAAAATCTCATTCTTTTCGTAATCATTGCTACTTGTCCAATCCTTGAATCAACCTTTATCCTTCGTGTCATCTAAACCTCATCTCCATCCTCATCTTTCCCATGCATTGGTTTGTCTGAATGATATTTTCCAGTGAGATTGCAAAAGATCAAATTTAAATTGTCTGACATTTTATTGATTTTCTCGAGAAGATGAGAGGATGATGATGATGATCTTGGTGAAGAAAAGGTAACTCAAGAGCCCTTTTCAAACCTTATCGAGTAGAAGAGGATGAAAAAATGATGAGAAAGAAAAAAAAATTATATATCATAGCAAATTCTTTATCATCCTCATCTCAAAGTTCATTTTTATCCATGAAATTTTCATGATAACTTTACCCATGTAACACTTAGCACGAATTCAATTTTTACTCTTAAACAAAGCTCTCTCAGATTTTTATTCAATTTTATAATGATAATAATCTCAAACAATCTAATCAATCATTCATGATTCAGTTTTCCAATTCAATTTGAAAGATAATTCAAACAATAGCAACAACTTATTATTGAATTTTATATGATACCAATGGTGAAATGATCGTAACAACAAATGATTACTGTTATCATGTTGATTGTGATAAAATTTGCACAATGAATACAGGGTAAGAAAACAAGATAAACTCGATAACAATTAATTATCCTCCAAGTGATACAATCAATTGTTTGAGATAGAAAAGTAAACCAAATCGAGGACAATGAGGAAAGTTCAAAAAACTCATGATCAACTGATTCAGAGTAAGATAACATGATGAGGATGAGAAAAAAGATAAGTTCAACTATTTTCTATCTGATTGATCCAACTAATACAATAATGATGATCAGTAATCAGAATCAATTCCTTCCCAGTTATATAACTTTAAATGATCAAAATAAAGTAACATTACGATGATCGTATTAACATTAGAACTCGAGATGAAGAAAAAGTTTCGAGATTCTTTATTTTCATCTTATTTTCTCCTCCTTCTCATCTTTATCCATGATGATGATGATGATGGTCATCTCTTAATCTTCAACTTATTATGTTATTTTCAACTCTCTCACTGATCAACTCCCAGTAATCAGTTCAAGATGATAACAGTTTCCAGAACTAAATCGATAGATCATAATATTTTCACTTGGATTTCTTTAGATTAGAACTTTTCTTTCCTTCCTCATCCTCATCATCTTCATCTTCTCCCCCACTTCTTTACTCATCTTCTTGTCAACTGATGATCAACCAACAAACACTAATTGGATACAATGAACAATCATGTGATCAGTTAACATGATAAACAATCAAGATGAAGATGAAAAAAATCAATTCAGCATCATCATTTGGCCTCAAGATCAATTCAATCATGAAATATTAACAATGTTTCATGATAAACGAGACCATAAATTGTAAAAACAACTCAATTTAAAATCATTATTAGCAATCAATTGAAATATGATATTGTTTTTTACCATCATTTGTACCCTCAAGGTTAACACGTAACAAACAATTTAGCCTGACAATTTAATTTGATTACAAATTTTGTCGCAAGAGTCAAATTATTATCAACAGTTACTAAACAAAACTCACCAAATTGATAAATTGTCATCAATTGATCAACAAGAAGCGACAAAATTGATTATCTCTATTCAGTTGGAACCAAAATTTTCACTTTTTTGTTCCGTTTTCATGGTAACTAGGATTGAGATTTTTTTTCCTCTTTCAAAGGGATGAAGATGATCATGAAGATGAAGATGAAGATAAAAAGGAATAGAACTTATCATCAAACTGTTTCTCTCTCACTCTCTCACTCTTTCTCTCTTCCTTTTCCTCTTCTCCTTCCTTTTTGGTTGTTTCAATTGAATGAACTTTTCTCCTTTATTCACCATATTCAGAGATGGAACTTAAATCGATTGTTAAATTGAACTGAATTATTATCTGATAATATCAGAGAAATATTTGTATTACCGTTTACTTCAATTCAATAGATTAAGGTATTAAAAAGGTAGAAAAGTAGATTAGATTAATTTGAATGACTAACAATGGAAATCAATAAACAGGGAAAGATGATGATGGCAGATGAAAGATGAAGGAAAAAAGTTCCAAAGAAAAAAATCTATTCAGAAATTTACAATATACTTTCCATCATCATCATGGAAAAATTTGATATCATGATTATCTTCATGTTTGTTCAGTTTCTTTTCATAGTCTCGTGGTTTTTTTTTCGTCAATCAGAATTCGTCTCGTAGCTGCAAACATTAATTATTGTGATTAACTAATTAACTTATGACTAACTGCAAGAGAAAATAATGAATGTATGATTAGTTTGGATAATCATCAATTTTGATTGTTTACTTGATACACTTTTATAATTAGTTGGGGATCGATTCTTATTCAACTACTGTTATCGTTGTAGTTAGTTAACTGATTGTTTCCATCAGAATCATCATCATGTAACTTTAACCTCGATTTAGGTTTTTTCCTTTACATGTATCATCTTCATCTTCATCTTCATCTTTATCATTGGTCTGAAGTTTCTTTTTGTCTTTCAAACCATCATCATCATCATCATTCTCATCTTCATCTTCATCTCTATTTATCTTTTTATATTTGTTGATTGATGATGAAAACAAAAAGAAGAAAAGTTTTCTCAAGAAAAATCTTCTATTTCTTTGATTGAGAAGGAGAAAACATCAACAAAAAGATGTGATGATAATGATGATAAGGATGATAATGAGATCTTCATCATCTCAAGTTGATTCTGTAACAGTGACAGAAACAATCATGAAGATAACAACCATTTTACAGAAATAAGTTTCCATTTTGTCTCAAGTGATTTGAGCAGCATCCATTTGATTTCCATTCGATATTTAATTGTAATCCAATGAGAACAGTTTAATTTGATATGAAATGAATTTCTCATGACTGATGAAAATTGTCCCATCGGCATTTCAACTAATTGTTGATTCTTCATCTCATCTCCTTATTGTTGATAGAAACCATTGGTAGGCCATGATAAAAGGCAAATCTGTTGCCTTTGTTGTAAACGAGGAATAGTCAATTTAAAATCATCACTGGAAAGATCAGCTTATTGTTGTGGTGAATCAATCAAATTTAAAGCGACCATCGATAATCAAAGTGAGGAAAATGTTCGTCTTAGATTAAAATTAACTCAAGTGAGTATTTAAATTGATTTTCTTCGTCCAATCCAACATTTTGACTTGAATTTCTTTTTCCCTTCCAATAAAAAGTATACAGAATTTTTTATTGAACGAGGTGTACTTGGCCTCAACAAGGAGGTTAATCATGTTGTCCTGGAATATCGTGGTGATGCTATTCAGCCCATGAGTAGATCCAAATTTGATAGTTCACAAAGTTTAATTGTTCCTGTAATGCCACCGACGCTTAATGGTGTTTGTCGTCTTTTATCAATATTTTACGTTCTCAAGGTAATTAATCCAATTAATCAGATGATCCGAGTTGATTAACATTCTTTTCCATTGGAAATTCAGGTCTGGATTGAGATGGAAAAATCTGGTGACGATTTACATATCGATTTTCCAATAACCATAGCGACTTGCCCATTTCGAATACCTAATTCGCCTCAACAGCCGATAATCAAATACGGTAAATATCCTTTGTAATTACTAATACAATTAACTGCCAATCAATTGATTGTATGTATTTACTTTCATCTCATTAAACTAGATCCATGTTGTGACCATGTTGAAGGTGGATTATATATTGGACCCGAATTCCAATTGGGTCAAGTTTACGATGGTACATTGGGCGAAGGTGAATCTGTTGTCCTTTATCGACCGGTTTATGTTTGCGTTAAAAAACACGAACAATCATAAACGAAAATTATGTTGAATGACGCTTCTCATCATCACCAGGAGGATCAATCAGCTGGAAAGGTTCATCTAAATTAAGTGATTTTTTCAACACCAAAGCATCGTTAGGATTTTCTCTCCTGAAAAAAAAAGAATCAGAAAGTATGAGAATTAACAGTTAACTTAGTCACCTAATTTAATTCTAATTGTGTGAGATACTTACTCTAGAACTGCAGCAATACATAAATTAGGAGGTAAAGTTGTTGGTAAATCTTTGAGAGAATGAACAACAAAATCAATTGATCCATCTAATAATCCCTCTTCCAATTCCTTGGTGAATAAAGCTTTAGAACCGATTTGTGATAATGGTTGATCTAAAATGTGATCGCCGGTAGTTGATCTTTCAATTAGCTCATATTCATAGTCTTTATCGGAGTAAAATTTTCTAGCCTCTTGTATGACAAATCTACTCTGAATCAAAGCAAGTGCACTTTTCCTTGAGCCAACACGCATCTTAATTGGAGGTTCATCTCCACCGAGTCCAATGGTGTTTCCCTTATCACCATCACCACTTTCAGTTGAATCAATTCTCCTGCGTTTAGGGCACCACATATTAAAATAGAATCTAAAGTTAAACAGAATCAGAGCAAAAGAAACAATCAATTTAACAATCAAATGAAAAAGTTTGACGTTGACAAGGAAATGATTTAAATCACCGAGTTGAGGGGTAATAAAGTTTATCAATATTGGGAGAACATGTAATGGTAATTCTGCTTTTGCTTCTTCTCTTTTCTCTTTAGCTTTGGATCATCTGGTAGAGATGAAGAGAAAACTGGTTTCGATACTGATACCAGATATTTCCTTTAGAAAAGAAGTGGAAGGAAGATGATTGACGGAATTGGAATATGGAAAGAGAAAGATACACAAAAAAAGAATAGAAAACAACAAATTGTAATACTTACAATTTAAACGAAAAGAATCAAAATGGTAAACATGGAGGAAGAAAATCACAACAAACCAGCGAGCAATTGATTCACAGAAAGCATGGTAATCACAAGTGAACGAAGGTTGAAACTGATTGATAAAAAAGATACGTCATTCCAATTATGATTTACAAGATGTCCCAAAGAAATTGTAAAAGTATTGATGGTGATAATTGCCAATAATTCACCAATGGAAACAACAATTGAACATATAAAGAAAAGAAAAGGATTAACCTTTGCCTTTCTGATCCTAAGGAAAAATATGTTGTATGGAAAATCAATTCATAGGTAAATTGAATCAACCAGCAGAATTAATCAGGAATATTGACCATCACCAGTAACTTGATCAGGTGAGAAAAGGCAAACTCTGGTAATCAATTGATTAGAAAAGAAAAGAAAAGATAATAAAATAATTAAGAAACAAAAACAACATGGAAACAGAGATAAGAAATTAACGTTGTTGCAGTTACATGGAAACGCTGAATCAGTGGAAAGAAAAAAAAAGAGTTGAAAGAATAACACAGAGAACGATTAACTATAAAGAAGAACAATCAACAAAAGAATATTTCAATTTGTTAATAATCTAATGATGAGAAAATTAAAATCGCAAATAAATTGTAGAAAAAGAAAACGGTTTTATATTAACCGCCTTTACCCGCCAAAAGAAAACCGGGAACTCGAACTGAATTTGATTGATTTTTTTTTTCATTTCTCATCTCAACAATAATGATTTAAGAGCTTTTCCATTAACTGGAAAACCGAATTAAACTTGGTGAATGTTGGTTAAATATCAGCTGATTGAGAAAAAAATTAGTTAATGGAAAAGCCCTTAAGTAAAAATTAAGATGTAATAGTAAAAAAAGTGACAATCATAACAATTTTTACCTTGATTTTGATTACATTCCATCTCAGGTAAGATACTCTAATTGTAATTTCACTTCCGATTGCTTAACATTTTTTGCACTCCCAAAAAAGGACCGCAATACTTACCATAGAGAATAGAGCATAGATTCTATTGAATATTAACAAAAAAAAATCACCAATTATACAGCCAAGAAAAATTTCGTTTCGTTATAAATTGAAACAATAAACTCAACAATTCTAACGATTTTGGTGCAAATTAATTTTTTAGTAGTGAGCATCGATTTGTCTTTTTACTCGAAGCTTTGATTCTTGAATGGAGCCACAAAAAAAGTGACATCCGGAGACTTTCAACCTTTTTAACAGCGATGTTCAAATGTAAAAAACTGTCGAAAAGATGAAATCAAATTGGAAGATATTGTCAACAGCCATGAAGAGCCTGACGATGATTTATTGGTATCTAAATGAGAAGTATAAACTCAATTACCTGGATTGTTGATCGAATTGATTGTTCATTATGGACCAAAGGTAAATCCAGTTGTCACCATAAAAGTGTAGCTCAATTGGGATCGTTTAATTTCACTGATGGTCTTCGATGCAATTTAGTTATTCTTCGAAGCGAAGAGGTTCCAAATTTTGCTGATTATAACTTCGCAAAACAGGTCAAAAACTGAAAATACGCAAATACGGAATTCAAACCAAAAAATTTTAGGCTAGAGGACATTTCTCGATCTTTTTGTCCTTCGTCCTTCACTATCTCATAGGAAATAATATGATGCTGGAAGTATTGACTAGCTGACTAAATAGACTGACTAAAACTAATTGGTTGTCGATCAAATCTTCAATTATATCAACAATTTTCTCGTTTATTTGATTAAAAGGAACTAACAACATTGAGGGTTTCCCTGAATAGAGATGACGATTTTATTTGTATTAATCTTTGATCAAGCAATTTACACAGAAGCAAATTAACTAACTTGCGAGTATCATTTCAGTTCTAATTAAATGTAATTTTCTCTCTTGCTTTGTTCTTTTCATATTATCACTTAATTGTGCTTCTATTTTGATTGTGAAAAACAGTAAATATGTTTTGGACCAAACTTTTCATTCCAGTTATAATCATGTTGCTGAATTTCTCGTCAATGAAAGCTGACAGAAGCTCTTTAATCAATTCAAACCACAAGCCTTTAGTCATGGAAGATGCTGTAATCAAAGAGGATAACACAAATTTTGAACAAGAAATTGAAGAAATCAAAGACGTTAACGAATCTCCCATCACGGACAGAAGCTCTTTAAACAATGAAAACGGTGATGTAGATAAAGGAGATATCAGAAAGTTTAAAAAAGAAAGGAAAGCCTTGAAAAACATAAGAATCAAAGACGATGAAAACGAATCTCCCATCACGGACAGAAACCCTTTAATCAGTCCGAACTTCAAACCTTTACCGATGACAGAAAAGCATCAACCTAGTGGTGAAAACATCTCCTTACAAACGTTGAATTCTGGAACTATTGGCTTGGAAAATGAAAATGAGCTAGACGATAAATCTTTCAACACGGACAGAAGCTCTTTAAACAATGAAAACGGTGATGGAGATAAAATAGATGACAGAAAGTATAAAAAAGAAAGGAAAGGCTTGAAAATCATATTAATAGAAGACAAAGACGATGAAAAATCTTACAACATAAACAGAAGCCTTTTAGACAAGGCATTCCGATTGGCGATGATAAAAGCACATACAAAGGAGATATTGAGGCTTCATAATTGAATCTTTGTGCTCTTTTCCTGTAATTTGTCTTATTTGTATTCATTATCAGCTAAAAATAAGAAATAAAACGCGCATTAATGTCCACAAGCATCGACTTACAGTATCGATGCTCTTTTAAACTTTTGCAACAATTTAAATTAACTACAATGCATGTATTTGTATCAATCACCTTCGCGTTTGTTTAATCTCATTCGAACTACCAAAGAAAACTTTAAATGAGGATTTAGGTTTATAAATGATCCATGATGAATTGTCGAATCTCTTGTAATAAAAGTTGATTGTTCTTCCAATGAGCATGCCGTTTTAATTATTCTGGTAAAAAAAGTTTTCTTTGGTAGCTCGATTATTATTTCTATTATTATCTAATTGTTCACTTTTTGAAATCAAATAAGCAAATGATCATCCTTGTTAATCCCCATCTGCTTGATGGGAATTTCATGAGGCTGATCAGAATTTTTGGAAATCATCCAGGGCAAAATAGCGCTTAAAATTGTGAATTTTTTTGTATTTTCTTTAAATTTTGCCTGGATCGATTTCTAGGAATTCTGATCAGCCTAATGATATCGCTATATCGCTATATGAGGTCACCCTCCCTATCCTCATCTGCAGCGCCATCCACATCCGTAGCTCCAGCGATATGCTCATTCAAATGCTTGAAGGTTGAAGGTTTTAAAGAGATTGAATATGCTTGACCATCAGAAATCTGATCAGATGAGAAAAAGTTAGTAATCAATTGATTGATCAGAAAAGAGAAACATGGAAACAAATATAATTAATTAACGTGATTGCAGTTAAAAGAATAGTAAAGAATAGAAAAACTGACCATAATGGAGAAGAACAATCAATGGAAAGATAATTAGAAGCAACTGATAACCTAATTAGGAGAAAATTAAAATCGCAATCAAATAAATTGTAGAAAAGAAAACGGTTTTATAATAACCGCCTTAACCCGCCAAAAGAAAACCGGGAACTCGAATTGTTTTGTTTCCATTTGTGGACACATTTTCTTTTCATATCCAATTGATTGTTTTTTTTAATTTTTTCTCTCTGATTGTTTAATTTAAATTTTTGTTTCTTTGTTTTTTAAATTATTTCTCTCTGTGAACAATGTTAATTAGTAGGAAAAGAAAGCTTGATAATCTTAGTCCTCCATCAAGTGTTGTTACCAATTTGTCTTTGTCAACACCTTCATCTGTAAACAACAACAACAACAATGGAGGAACAATTAAATTTGAGGAGAATATTTCTTCAACTGATTTGGTAATTTCTGAATTGGATAAAATATATAATGGAGATACAAATTGTTCTAATGGTGTTAATAATGAAAATCAAGGTTTAGATGATTTTACATATGATCTAGATGATGGAATTATTGGTGATTTAAGTTCAAGTTTATCTGAGGAAGAATCTCCATTTGATTTGAAATGTTTCCATCGATTTGAGGTTCTATCAGTGGAGAAACAATTGAACAATAAAATCCTTCTTCTTAAGTTAAATCATCCTGCTACTCACCGGGAATATAATTGCCAATTATCTGGTCAATGGGCTCTCAGTGAGATTACCCATCAAGATATTGTTCATATTCAAAGTGAAATTTTTGAAAATGATACATTTTTTATTGATAATCAACAAGGATTCATCACAATTAATCCTGACACTTTGATTACATCAACCTTACTTTCCAGTTCAGTATTTTGTATGAGAAAAGCTTGGCTTGGTGAACAGTTTAAAGGATGGGGATTCGGTAATAAATACATGCTTATTGGAAACATTGTCCATACACTTTTTCAAAAGGCGATTACTGCAAGTGTAAAAACTAATGATGACCTGGATAAATTGCTACAACAAATTGCCAATCAAAGGGACACAATAATGGAATGTTTCGTTTCCAATATAACAATTGCTCAATTAATATCGGAAGTTCAAGTTTACATACCAAGTATAATAGAATGGTTAGAAAAATATATCCACAAAGGACCGAGCCCATTGGAAGATGATCTTACCCACCGAGTAAAAGTTGTTTCTGTTCACGATATTGAGGATAACATTTGGTGTCCTTCTTTTGGTACCAAAGGTAAAATCGATGTAACTCTTGAGGTTGAAATACATTCTAATACAAAGCGAAATGTTGTTCTACCTCTTGAATTGAAAACGGGTCGACCAAGTTTCTCTTCTGAACATATTGGTCAAATTTCACTTTACTCCATGATGATGAACAATCGTGTCTCTGGTCAAGGTGATGGTGGCCTTTTACTTTACCTCAAAGAAAAACCTCGAATGAAACTTAATTCAATTAAACGACCAGTTGCTTCAGCATTATTACAAAAACGAAATGAACTTGCCTTCTACCTCAATAGACCGAAAACAGGACCAACACCGAAAGATTCAGCCCATTCTTGTGGAAAGTGTGAACACCTTCTTGATTGTTGTCTTACCCTTAAAGCATTTGAACCTCAAGTCCTTTCGTCTACTCATATTATGGCAAATGAGTTGGTTCCTAATGTATTAGTACATTTATCGAGAGAGGATATTGAATTTTTCGCACATTGGATCAGTCTAATTCAATTGGAAATTTCGGAAAATAAAAGATTGGGAAATGATCCGTTCTTTTGGAGTGAATCATCGGAAGTGTGTGAAGCTAAAGGTCTTGGACTTGGTGCTTTAACTATTCACACTTGTGGTGAAGAAAGTGTTGTCCTTCGTCGAAAATGTTTTCCTGGAACTCAACCAGTTTCACTAACAATCTACTGTTCTGATTTGACGGGCGAAAGAGTTGCCATCAGTTTGGACGAAAGTGTCACCTCATCAGTTCCCTCTAATGTTGCTTTCATGATCGGTTTTGTAGAGAGAATGGATTCCAATGAGATCGAAGTTTCCATTGAAAGGCCAGTTAAACATATTAACAATCAATCGATTATGCGAATCGATATTCTCAAATATTCTCAAATCTATTCAACCAATTACGATAACATTTTACGATTGATGTCTGATGATGATCATACGAAAAGACTTCGAGATCTTGTTGTCCACGAATCAGTTGCTCGCTATAAAAGCAAATTTAATCGATCAATCGTTGAGATAGCAAAGAAGATAATCCGACCACTCAATACTCAACAACAAAAAGCAGTACTTAAAGTAATCAACACTGAAGATTATCTCTTGATCCGTGGTACTCCAGGTTCTGGTAAAACATCAGTAATCGTGGCCATTGTACGAATGTTAATCGAAATGGGTCGAACGGTTCTAATCACTAGTCATACTCACGCTGCCGTGGACAATATATTATGTAAATTGTTAGAACACAAAGTTGACTTTGTTCGTGTTGGATCAAACTTTAGAATTCACCCAAGTTTAACTGATTTTTCGATGGCAAATAAGACGAAAGGAATCAATTCTCCCGAAGAATTGAGGAGTTTTTATTCCAAAATAAAAGTCGTAGCTTCAACTTGTCTTGGTGTCAATTCTGAGCCTCTTTTTGCTCATAGGAAATTTGATTATTGTCTAATTGATGAGGCATCTCAAGTACTTTTACCAACAACCCTTGGTCCGCTTTTCGCTTGTGATAAATTCATCTTGGTCGGTGATGAGAAACAACTACCACCCGTGGTTAGAAATCGATCTGCCAAAGAAGGTGGACTAGAGAATAGTTTATTTTCCCGTTTATTGACCAAAGAATCTTCTTCACTCCAACTATCAATTCAATATCGTATGAATTCAGAAATTGTCACCATTCCTAGTAAATTATTTTACGATGGTGCTCTTGCCTGTGGAAATGCACAAATTGCCTCCGCAGTTTTACCCGAACCCAAAGTTAAGGTCACCACGGGTTTATCTTGGTTAGATCAAGTTTTATCCTGTCAACTATCAAAATCGTTTCTATTTCTTAATACTGATCAAATCGATCACGACGAAGATGCTGAATATTCAGGCTTCATTGAGAATACAATTGAAGCTGATTTAGTTTGTTTCATTGTTCAACAATTAGTTGAACATATTGGATTAACTTATCAACAAATTGGAGTGATTAGTCCTTTCCAGAAGCAAGTTTCCTTGATTAAGAAGAAGTTGGAAAATCCAGAGATATTTGTTAATTCAGTTGATCAATACCAGGGAAAGGAAAAAGATTGTATTCTAATATCTTGTGTTAAATTTAATCGTGATTCAAATTTAATTGTCAGTAATGAAGAAATTTTATCCGATGAGAGGCGAGTTAACGTGGCGATTACTCGAGCATCTAAAAAGTGTATCTTAATTGGTAGTCAATCAACTCTTAAATTATATGAACCATTTTCCCGTTTATTTGATCTCCTTCGAGCTGATCAAATAATTGAGCTACCAAAGAAAACTTTTTCACCAGAATAATCAAGAGAGCTCATTGCAATAACAATCAACTTTTGCTATGTAAAAATTTAAATTAACTACAATGCATGTATTAGCCTTATCAATAGTTTTTTTAATTTCAATGATACTCTTTTTTAATTGCATGAACTTTAATGATTGTAATTATTTATCGTTCAATTTTTTCTAATTGTTTGAATTCTAATTTTTTTGTCAATCAAACAAATAAATGATCATCCTTGTTAACCACAATCCGCTTGATCTAATTGTAACCAAGTAAGTATTGTACAGGCCTCAATTTTTGATAAATTATCTATTTCTATTTGTAACAATATCAACAATGGTCAAGATAAACTTTTATTGACATTAAACAATTGAATTGAATATCATTCAGCAATTGGCTTTTTAAGCTTGACCATCAACCGGGTCAGCAAGAGATCAGTTTCTATTAATTACTATTCAAAAATAAGTCCCGACACTTTCGTACGAACGATCTAATTTTGAAGCGATTTTCCTTCATATTGAACAAATTTTTCTTCAAACGTGGACGATTAATTAGGAAAAAAGAAACTCAATCATCTAATTTTGCTTATACTCTCCTCATTTAGATACCGATAAATCATCATCAGACTCTCCATGACTGTTGACAACATCTTCCAATTTGATTAAATCTTTTCGACACTTTTTACATTTGAACATCGCTGTTAAAAAAGTTGAAAGTTTTTAAATGTAACTCTTTCTTCAATTTATTTAAATGTAAAGGCCTCTGGTAAATAAGAAAATCAATTTCCAAATAATTAGTTTGCACCAACATTAAAATCGTTAGACTGGTCTAGTTGATTGATAATTCACAACTTCTAATACTTAAAGTTCAGGACTATTTTGAATAATTAATTTTCATTAATTAGATCGGATGAGATTCAAGTTGAATCCACACACGGACTTTAGTTTACATCAAGAATTAGAAAAGAAAGTGTGTAATGCATTCAATAGGCACGAGAGTTATACCACTTCTGTTTCCGCTTTTTTTCCTCTTTCTTGTCAAATTAAAATTATTGAAATTTGATGGTCTTTTTTATTAGGGTTCAACAGAATCTTTTTATTAACTTCGATTACAGTCAACTACCTAATTTTGTCCGTTTTTTGTACGGCCGATTTAGAGAGCGGGCAATTCGAAAGGGTTAAAACTAATTAAATTTGTCGATCAAAAAAATATTTAACTTATTTAAATCTTTTAAATGACCATCAATTTAACTAGAAATATTGATTTCGATTTTTTTAAAATCAATTTGATAAGAATTAATTACAAAAAAATAATCACTCTAATTAAGACAATGGGGGGTAGTTCCGATTAAGAAGATGGAGCCACGACCGATCGGACAATTTTTTTTTTTTTTTTCTTTTTATCGCTCCTGATAAACTTTAATTTAATTAACTTTACCTGTGAATTTAAAATAAAATTTTGTGTAATTATTGTTCATTTCATCACACGGATCAAGTTGATACCGAGATTATGATGATACAACAGTTACTTTAGTTGTTTTTTGTTACTTTTAAAACTGAGCTATTATTGCGTCGTAATAATTTCAACCATTTTTGTTTTCTTGGTAAGTTTTGTTGGTAATTTGATACAACTTTCTTTTCTATCTCAAAATAACCCATTAAATAGGTACTTTGAATACATTTACTTTAAACACAATAATACAAATACAATTATTAAACAAATTTATAAAAAATTACCTCACATTTATAATCAAGATAATCATTTTCAAAGATTGAAATTCTAATATTTTCTCCTTTTCCTCGTATTATACCTAATGAGTTAAACTTATTTGGACCATCTCCACTTCCACCTCAACCCTTGGTACTTATTTACAATCATCAAATTGGACCTTTGGACAATCAAACTAACCACCAGTCAATTAATATAATTTGTAAATTTTCTTTTGTTTTTACCTAATAATTTGTAAACCAAATCTATTGTAATTTCCCTCCCTGAAGTTGTCTGGAACAACTTTCCTCCACAGGAGGAGCTACAGCACATACCCTGTAGCTTTAATGTTAACTCATTGCACTAAGGTGCCCACAATAAATTTTAGGTAGGACAAAATTAGGTAGTTGACTGTAACTATCAATTTATTCACTTTTTGAGTAAAATTCGATTTGAACTTTTAATCGAGTACAGTAGTTTATTTATCTCAATTATTGCTACATCTTATTCTATAATATATTGTCGTAGATTTTTAACCTCCCGTTCATTTCCCGTTGCCTCCATTACCATTCTTAGCAGCAGCGTAAGTAGATACTGAAACAGGCAAGGAAGGATTTCCAAAACTTTCTTTAACATAACTCTGACTAGAAGCAGCCGCAGGACCACCTTGGGGGTAGCCTCCTGAACCAACCTGACCGCCAGTAGAAGGACCATCAGAAACATGAACATCATCAGGAGCCAAAATTTCGGACACAGCTGAAGCTAAGGCCAGTTCATTAGCTTCAAGTTGATGATCAGTCAGCTTTCGACCTTTACTGACTGAATTATTGAGTCTAGCTTGTATTATATCAATTGCTGCCATGAGATCATCCAATCTATCACCAGTTAATCTCCCTGAAGCAATAGCCACTCTCAATGATTCAATGGCAGACTCAATTGAATAAGCATTTGGTTGTAACTCTGGAGATTGGCTATGACCTCTCGTAATCGTTAAAATAGAAATACATATAATCACAAAGATAAAACTTGAATATTTCGACAAATTCATACTTAGATTTTTAAATCAATCGACACTTCAATGATTTTTGGTACACTTGTTAGATTTTTACGTCAACTAATGGAGAAAAACATTTGTTGAAATTTCTTTTATATTACATGTATTAACAAAGTAAGAGTAAAATTGATCTACTGGTGTGCAAATTTAATTAATTCTGATTCTATTATTTTGTATAAAACTAGTTAGATGATTGTTCAGGTGATTCTAGAAAATTCCAATACCTTATTCATATTATTTGCTGTTTAAACACAATCAACATTAAGAACCAAGATTGTTGTTTATCATCTCGAGTTTAGGTTAAGGTAAATAATCCGATTTCGTCTTTTTAATTTATTCAATTTTTTATTCGTTGAGCTTTTTTCGTCCTCTCTGACACTCCTTGTATCATCTTTCTCTCACTCCTTCCTCCCTCCTTGTCTCTTGAATATCTCAAAGTTTGTCCGTAAGTCCGTCAGTTGTACAACGTTCAGTTGATTTTTTATCGGCTTTTATCTTGAGTCTTATCCGATTTTCTTATTTTTTCATGACTTGAATTTCGCGCACTTTTCCAATTAAAGAGCCTCAGGTATCCGATCCATAGTTTTATCTAGAAAAAAATCCCATCGGTGATTGGGTAAGACTCAATTTTCAGCTGATTTTTTTCTCGGCTTAAGGTTCGGTTTGATTGTCTCAGGCCCTCCGGGCCTTTCTTTGGTCATGGTGACCCTTATTAGCGAAGACCTAACCTAACCTAATTTAAACAAACACAATTAACTGAACAATTAAGTCCATTTTCATATGTAGCTTGAACTTTAAGCCGAAAAAAATCAGCTGAAAATTGAAAATATCGAGCTGACGGACATATCTTGAGTCTTACCCCTTTTCGTTATGTTTTTTTCTTTGACAATTTTTGTTTTTTTTTGTTTCTCTTTTATTAGGCTGACAAATTGTCAGTGACAATCTTAGAGTAACTTTATGTTCACCAGAAAAGCGTAAACCCAAACCTGATGATCCAAATACACACAAATTTGGAACTTTATTTACTGATCATTTACTATCAATCAGATGGACTCTTGAAAAGGGTTGGGACGATCCAGAGATTATCCCTTTTCAGAATTTTAGTCTTCATCCTGCAACTAAAACTTTACATTATTCTCAAAATGTGAGCAATTTATTAGCTGTTCGTCCCTTCCTAATTTTAATTGTTTGATCTTATTCATTTTAGCTTTTTGAAGGTTTAAAATGCTACCGTGGCGATGATGGTAAGATTAGACTTTTTCGACCTGAAAAGAACATGGAAAGGATGGTTACTAGTGCTAAAAGATCCTGCTTGGATTCGAGCTTGGCCTGGAGGCGCTGGTTCAAACAAATCAGCTCCCAATTATGGACCCACTTTATCAATACAGAAAAACGCCGTAAACAAGGGATGTCATCAAGTCTTATGGTTATTTGGAGATGACGAACAATTAACTGAGGCCGGTGCTATGAATATCTTTGCATTTTTGATTAACGATAAAGGAGAAAAAGAATTGATAACACCGCCATTGGAACAAGGTGTCATTTTACCAGGAATTACTAGAGATTCAATTCTTACAATTACAAGAGATTGGGTTAGTCATTGACTTTCACATTTTAATCTCTCCCGCAAACTTTATCAAAGATTTTAACATTTTCTCGATCTTTTTTTCTTTCAGAATCAATTCAAAGTTACTGAGAGAAAAATAACAATGGACGAAGTGATCAAGACTCTTGAACAAGGTCGATTATTGGAAATGTTTGGAGCGGGAACAGCGGCTGTTGTCAGTCCAATCAGTAGGATTAACTACCAGGACAAAGATTATCTAATTCCGACCATGAAAAGTAAAATCGCGATCGCGCAGTATAAGAATTAACAGGTAACTAGTCACCTAATTTAATTCTAATTGTGTGAGATACTTACTCCAGAACTGCAGCAATACATAAATTAGGAGGTAAAGTTGTTGGTAAATCTTTGAGAGAATGAACAACAAAATCAATTGATCCATCTAATAATCCCTCTTCCAATTCCTTGGTGAACAAAGCTTTAGAACCGATTTGTGATAATGGTTGATCTAAAATGTGATCGCCGGTAGTTGATCTTTCAATTAGCTCATATTCATAGTCTTTATCGGAGCAAAGGTTAATCCTTTGTTTTCTTTATCTGTTCAATTGTTGTTTCCATTGGTGAATTATTGGCAATTATCACCATGAGTTTATTTACAATTTCTTCGGGACATCTTGTAAATCATCATTGGAATGACGTATATTTTTTATTTACTAATCAGTTTCAACCAAAGAGTAATAGTAATGTGCGATTATTGAATTTTCCAATAATCGATTGTGACGCAATAATTTAAAATTATTAATTTTTATCAAAATCGATGTTTAGCTTCAAATCATCGACATCGAAATTTCCTTCGATCATCGATGACCATAAACATCACTACTCTCTCTTACCCTTAGTCTTTGGTTTCAACTTGAAACTTTCAACCTTGTGATTACCATGCTTTCTGTGAATCAATTGCTCGCTGGTTTGTTGTGATTTTCTTCCTCCATGTTTACCATTTTGATTCTTTTCGTTTAAATTGTAAGTATTACAATTTGTTGTTTTTATTCGAGCTAAAGAGAAAAGAGAAGAACCAAAAGCAGAATTATCATTACATGTTCTCCTAATATTGATAAACTTTATTACCCCTCAACTCGGTGATTTAAATCATTTCCTTGTCAACGTCAAACTTTTTCATTTGATTGTTAAATTGATTGTTTCTTTTGCTCTGATTCTGTTTAACTTTAGATTCTATTTTAATATGTGGTGCCCTAAACGCAGGAGAATTGATTCAACTGAAAGTGGTGATGGTGATAAGGGAAACACCATTGGACTCGGTGGAGATGAACCTCCAATTAAGATGCGTGTTGGCTCAAGGAAAAGTGCACTTGCTTTGATTCAGAGTAGATTTGTCATACAAGAGATTAGAAAATCTCCATTCGATTTGAAACGTTTCCACCGATTCGAGATTGCATCATTGGAAAAACAATTGAACAATAGAATCCTTCTTCTGAAGTTAAATCATCCTGCCACTCGCCGGGAATATAACTGCCAATTGTCTGGCCAATGGGCTCTCAGTGAGATTACCCATGGAGATATTGTTCATATTCAGTGTGAAATTTTTGAAAATGATACATTTTTCATTGATAATCAACAAGGATTCATCACAATCAATCCTGACACCTTGATCACGTCAACCTTAATTTCCAGTTCAGTATTTTGTATGAGAAAAGCTTGGCTAGGTGAACAGTTTAAAGGCCGGGGATTCGGTAATAAATACATGTTAATTGGAAACATTGTCCACTCACTTTTTCAAAAGGCAATTACTGCTTGTGTAAAACCAAATTTTGACTTGGATAAATTGCTACAACAAATTGCGGTTCAAAGGGAAACCATTAGGGAATGTTTCGTTTCCAAAATAACCATTGATCAATTAATATCGGAAGTTCAAGTTTATCTACCAAGTATCATGGAATGGATAGAAAAATATATCCACAAAGGACCGAGCCCATTGGAAGATGATCTTACCCACCGAGTAAAAGTTGTTTCTGTTCACGATATTGAGGATAACATTTGGTGTCCTTCTTTTGGTACCAAAGGTAAAATCGATGTTACTCTTGAGGTTGAAATACATTCTAATACAAAGCGAAATGTTGTTCTACCTCTCGAATTGAAAACGGGTCGACCAAGTTTCTCTTGTGAACATATTGGTCAAATTTCACTTTACTCCATGATGATGAACAATCGTGTCTCTGGTCAAGGTGATGGTGGCCTTTTACTTTACCTCAAAGAAAAACCTCGAATGAAACTCAATTCAATTAAACGACCAGTTGCTTCAGCATTACTACAAAAACGAAATGAACTTGCCTTCTACCTCAATAGACCGAAAACAGGACCAACACCGAAAGATTCAGCCCATTCTTGTGGAAAGTGTGAACACCTTCTTGATTGTTGTCTTACCCTTAAAGCATTTGAACCTCAAGTCCTTTCGTCTACTCATATTATGGCAAATGAGTTGGTTCCTAATGTATTAGTACATTTATTGAGAGAGGATATTGAATTTTTCGCACATTGGATCAGTCTAATTCAATTGGAAATTTCGGAAAATAAAAGACTAGGAAATGATCCTTTCTTTTGGAGTGAATCATCGGAAGTGCGTGAAGCTAAAGGTCTTGGACTTGGTGCTTTAACTATTCACACTTGTGGTGAAGAAAGTGTTGTCCTTCGTCGAAAATGTCTTCCTGGAGCTCAACCAGTTTCTTTAACAATCTACTGTTCCGATTTGACAGGCGAAAGAGTTGCCATCAGTTTGGACGAAAGTGTCACCTCATCAGTTCCCTCTAATGTTGCTTTCGCTATCGGTTTTGTAGAGAAAATGGATTCCAATGAGATCGAAGTTTCCATTGAAAGGCCAGTTAAACATATTAACAATCAATCGATTATGCGAATCGATATTCTCAAATATTCTCAAATCTATTCAACCAATTACGATAACATTTTACGATTGATGTCTGATGATGATCATACGAAAAGACTTCGAGATCTTGTTGTCCACGAATCAGTTGCTCGCTTTAAAAGCAAATTTAATCGATCAATCGTTGAGATAGCAAAGAAGATAATCCGACCACTCAATACTCAACAACAAAAAGCAGTACTTAAAGTAATCAACACTGAAGATTATCTCTTGATCCGTGGTACTCCAGGTTCTGGTAAAACATCAGTAATCGTGGCCATTGTACGAATGTTAATCGAAATGGGTCGAACGGTTCTAATCACTAGTCATACTCACGCTGCCGTGGACAATATATTATATAAATTGTTAGAACACAAAGTTGACTTTGTTCGTGTTGGATCAAACTTTAGAATTCACCCAAGTTTAACTGATTATTATATGGCAAATAAAACGAAAGGAATCAATTCACCCGAAGAATTGGGAAATTTTTATTCCAAAATAAAAGTCGTAGCTTCAACTTGTCTTGGTGTCAATTCTGAGCCTCTTTTTGCTCATAAGAAATTTGATTATTGTCTAATTGACGAGGCATCTCAAGTACTTTTACCAACAACCCTTGGTCCACTTTTCGCTTGTGATAAATTTATCCTGGTCGGTGATGAGAAACAACTACCACCGGTGGTCAGGAATCGATCTGCCAAAGAAGGTGGACTAGAGAGTAGTTTATTTTCCCGTTTATTAACCAAAGAATCGTCTTCACTTCAACTATCAATTCAATATCGTATGAATTCAGAAATTGTCACCATTCCTAGTAAATTATTTTACGATGGTGCTCTTGCCTGTGGAAATCCACAAGTCGCCTCAGCAGTTTTACCCGAACCCAAAGTTAAGGTCACCACGGGTTTATCTTGGTTAGATCAAGTTTTATCCTGCCAACTATCAAAATCGTTTCTATTTCTTAATACTGATCTAATCGATCACGACGAAGATGCTGAATATTCAGGCTTCATTGAGAATACAATTGAAGCTGATTTAGTTTGTTTTATTGTTCAACAATTAGTCGAACACATTGAATTATCTTATGGACAAATTGGAGTAATTAGCCCTTTCCAGAAGCAAGTTTCCTTGATTAAGAAGAAGTTGGACAACCCAGAAATATTTGTTAATTCAGTTGATCAATACCAGGGAAAGGAAAAAGATTGTATTCTAATATCTTGTGTGAAATTTAATCGTGATTCAAATCTAATTGTCAGTAAGGAAGAAATTTTATCCGATGAGAGGCGAGTTAACGTGGCGATTACTCGAGCATCTAAAAAGTGTATCTTAATTGGTAATCGATCAACTCTTAAATTATATGAACCATTTTCCCGTTTATTTGATCTCCTTCGAGCTGATCAAATAATCGAGCTACCAAAGAAAACTTTTTCACCGGAATAATTAAGAGAGCTCATTTCAAGAACAATCAACTTTTGCATCGTATGAATTCAGATTAACTACAATTCATGTATTAACCTTATCAATAGTTTTTTTAATTTCAATGATACTCTTTTTTAATTGCATGAACTTTAATCATTGTAATTATTTATTGTTCAATTTTTTGACTTCAAACAAATAAATGATCATTCTTGTTAATCATCATTTGCTTGATGTTTAGTAGCTCACAGGTAATTATTGTCAATTGCGAATGACGAGAACCAAAAAGATCGGGAAATGTCCTCTAAACTATTATGATAAATTTTTGGTTTGAATTCCTGTGCGTATTTTTAGTTTTTCGACTTTTAAAAAAGACTTTTTCGCGGAGCGATAATCAGCAAAATTTGGAACCTCTTGGCTTCGACGAATTACTCAATTGCACGGAAGACCCTCATTGAAATCAAATGATCCCAACTGAGCTCCACATTTGTGAGGACAACTAGATTTACTTTTGGTTCATAATGAACAATCAATTCGGTCCACAATCCAGGTAATTGAGTTGATAATCCTCATTTAGATACCGATAAATCATCATCAGACTCTCCATAGCTATTGACAACATCTTCCAATTTGATTAATCTTTTCGACATTTTTTTTATATTTGAACATCGCTGTTAAAAAGGTTGAAAGTCTTCGGATGTCACTTTTTTGTGGCTCCATTCAAGGACCAAAGCCTCGAGTAAAAAGACAAATCGATGCTCACTATTAAACAATTAATTTGCACCAGCGCCAAAATCGTTAGAATTGAGTTAAATTCGTGTTTTATTCGGTTTTCCAGTTAATGGAAAAGCTCTTAAATCATTATTGTTGAGATTAAGAGAAGAAATTAAAGAATCGGTAAGGCTCAAAGTGTGTCCGTAAGTCCATCAGTTGTCCACGTTCAGTTGATTTTTTATCGGCTTTTATGAGTCTTATCCGATTTTCTCATGATTTGAATTTCGCGCACTTTTCCAATTAAAGAGCCTCAGGTATCCGATCTATAGTTTTATCTAGAAAAAAATCCCATCGGTGATTGATAATCAGTTTGACCTTGTTTACGTTTTTATTTAATCGTTAATTGTTGATCTTTTTTAGAAAAAAAAGTTGATTATTATTGTTAATTATTTTTCGAATAAATTTATTCCATTTAAACTGTGATCAAATATGTTTCCACGTTCCCTGAGGCTTTCACATAGGTTTTTATCTACTGTTAACTCATCAACTTTTAAGGTAACTTTTTGTCTTTTCGTTATGTTTTTTTCTTTGACAATTTTTGTTTTTTTTTGTTTCTCTTTTATTAGGCTGACAATCTTAGAGTAACTTTATGTTCACCAGAAAAGCGTAAACCCAAACCTGATGATCCAAATACACACAAATTTGGAACTTTATTTACTGACCATTTACTATCAATCAGATGGACTCTTGAAAAGGGTTGGGACGATCCAGAGATTATCCCTTTTCAGAATTTTAGTCTTCATCCTGCAACTAAAACTTTACATTATTCTCAAAACGTGAGCAATTTATTAGCTGTTCGTCCCTTCCTAATTTTTCTAATTGTTTGATCTTATTCATTTTAGCTTTTTGAAGGTTTAAAATGCTACCGTGGGGATGATGGTAAGATTAGACTTTTTCGACCTGAAAAGAACATGGAGAGGATGGTTACTAGTGCTAAAAGAGCTTCTCTCGCAACATTTAATCCTGATGAATTACTCAAGTGCCTTAAAAAGTTTATAATGGTTGATGCTGATTGGGTTCCATCTCTTCCAAACACTTCCCTGTACATACGGCCAACTTTCATGGGAATCGAACCAACTTTAGGTGTTAATTCAGCTGACGAAGCTCTTTTGTTTGTAATATTTAGTCCCGTTGGTGCCTATTTTGGTACTAAAATAGTTCCGGTTTCACTCTTAGCCGATCCTGCTTGGGTTCGAGCTTGGCCTGGAGGCGCTGGTTCAAATAAATTAGCTTCCAATTATGGACCCACTTTATCAATACAGAAAAACGCCGTAAACAAGGGATGTCATCAAGTCTTATGGTTATTTGGAGATGACGAACAATTAACTGAGGCTGGTGCTATGAATATCTTTGCATTTTTGATTAACGATAAAGGAGAGAAAGAATTGATAACACCGCCATTGGAACAAGGTGTCATTTTACCAGGAATTACTAGAGATTCAATTCTTACAATTACAAGAGATTGGGTTAGTTATTGACTTTCACATTTTCATCTCTCCCGCAAACTTTATCAAAGATGTTAACATTGTCTCGGTCTTTTTTTCTTTCAGAACCAATTCAAAGTTACTGAGAGAAAAATAACAATGGACGAAGTGATCAAGACTCTTGAACAAGGTCGATTATTGGAAATGTTTGGAGCGGGAACAGCGGCTGTTGTCAGTCCAATCAGTAGGATTAACTACCAGGACAAAGATTATCTAATTCCGACCATGGAAAGTAAAGACGCGATCGCACAGAAATTATTGAAAACAATTATGGACATTCAATATGGTCGAATTGAATATAAAAATTGGACTCAAATTGTTTGTTAAAATGTAACAATTCAATTTCTACCAGAAGCACAATCCATCGTCAAATTTTAAACTAATACCAATTGCCAACAAATCAAAGTCATTCCAAAAGTTTTACAATAATAACCAACAACTTAGTTCCGACAGCAATATAATTAATATAAGAAAACCTAAAGAAACTTTCAAAACCAACTAATTATCCGTCAAACTATCAAGATGACATTGAAACAAATCAAATCAAATTAATTGACAAAAACAAGTGTCAAAAACAACAACAACAACAACTAATATTAAGCAACTTGATCAACAAACTGATTTAATGTTATCGATATTAAACTAATTAATATAACGACTTAAACCATCGACAAAAATAATAAAGTAATAACAATAATTGTTTACAAACAATTCGGGTGAACAAAAAATCAACAATTCCAACAATTAAAATGAAAACAAAACATGAAAAAGTGAAAGTGAATAAAAAAAATAATCAATGAATAAAAAAGCTCGGAGCAAAAATGGAAGTTAACAATTAGTTAATCATGGTGAAGATAAACCAGAATCAAGGTAACCTCGAACCTTGGATTCATTGGATTAGAAACCTAATTATCTACCCTGAGGCTAAATAATATTCATTACGTAAGAAATATATAAAAAAATTAAGTGAAGGAATCAAGAAAATGATCAACCAACAATTTAAATTGAAAATAATATCAAACATCTGACCGTTTATCTAGTTACCCAAAAACAAAGTGGAAAACCAGTTCGATAAGATTTCATGTTGATTAAGATGATGATCATCATCATGATACCAGTTTTTCAGTCATCATCTTAATCAACATCACAATTTAAATCTCTCATTGAGTTTACCAAACAAAATGTTCATTAGCCTGAAGCGATTTCACTTTTTCCCGAATCAACATTCAAATACCATTTAACTGGTCGTCGTAATACATTTAACTTACAAATTTTGCTTTTACTTGATTATAATTAAAACTTGATTCTGATTTTGATCATCATCATCATCGGCGAAAAAAAAATCAACAATTTATTAATAATCTTATTGATTGTACAGAAAAAAGTTTGTTAATCAACTGAAAGAAAACAACAAATTTATTTAACTAATATTATCCCCGCGATTATATTGCTACTGTTTCTGTTGATTAAATTGCAATTAGATTTAATTTGATTTGCGTTTGAATTGTTTGAGATTAAGTTGCAATTTAATTGCTGGTTTCAATTTCAATCCTTTTTCTCTGGCAATTTAATCATAATTATAAGTCTAAATGTCTTTGTATCAAATTGTTGATTAGTCCAAGATGAGATTTTACCTTGAGCCTTGGATTTAATTTAAATTGTGTTGATTTAAAGTTGGATTTTTTACCATTAAATTCAATTGCCTTGAGCGTAAGTTAACAATTAACTATTAGTATAAATTATCAATGATTTAAATTAAATCAATCATTTGAAATTTACCAATAAACTGTTGATTGCTGATTGATTATGATAACTGTGATTGTTATATAATTTTCACTCCATTAGTTTAATTGAAAATGTATTTACGTTGAGTTGGTTAAATTGTTTCAATTGTGATTGAATTTGAATCGATATCAAATTGGCAATCATAGGGAAGTGAGGAAAAAAATTAGCTAATTGTTACCTTGAAGAGTTGATTGTTGGTCAATTAATTACCGATCAATTGAAAGTTTAATTTAATTGAAATGATTAATTAACAATTACTACTAGTAATCTATTCATTGTTTCACAATTAAGCTTGATTATTTGAAGATGAAAATTCCCAATTTGATTTGGATTGTCAGGACAATCATCAGCCAATCATCACAACTGAACAATTTAAATGACAGTTAATTGTAAATCATCAGGACAACTGATTGCATTTAAATTCCTTAATTAACAATTTAAGGTTGATCAAACCACTAATCATCATAAACAATAACCATAGAGGTAAAAATTACCTTGATTACAATTAGAAAATTAATTGTTAGTAACATCAACGGTTGAGTAAATTAATCAACAATTAGTAATTCAAATTGAAAGTATTCTCATGAATTTAATCATACATAACAATTAAATCTACTAGAAAAATATCAACACAATTAATTAACGACGAAAGCAACAATCAACTAATCACTTGGGAAGGAAAAAGTTTCTGAGTCCGATTCAGTTACAAAGGAATGAGAAAGAAAAATGATCTTGTAGTCCAACAATTAACTAATCATAATCAAATTAACTAATCTATTTTCCTATGATGACCTGAAAGTTTTACTTTACAATTTATATAATTAGATTGTAATTTAATTTAATGATGATTTAAATTAAGATGACGATTCCCGCAAGGTAAATACAGTAAATGGTTATTAGGAAAATTTTATCTTCCAAGATAAAAAAAAGTTTCCTCATTGATTAACAATCATCTTTGCAATTAACTAAACATATTTAAACAATTTAACATTGAAGGCTACTTGATTAACATTATTATTATGATTAAATATCATCATCAACAACAATCAAGGTTACAATTTAATAATAATAATGTTAATCAAACTGTTGAAGAAGTGAAAATTTAATTTACAATATTGCTCATGAAAATTAGAAACAATATCTAATTATGATTGTTGTTGACAATAATAGTTAGTTAATTGTCTTCTTATTTAATTGTCCACGAGTTGCCCATCATTATAATCATCACCATTATCGTTATCAAAACAATCAACAATTAATTAATTTTATCATCGAACTTGAAAATGAGAGAGAGAGAGAAAAAAGTTCTAAGTTTTTTAATTTTTCTCTTGAAAGTTTAATTCTTATATTGGTGATTATTTAGTTTTCCCTCCGTTGACAATTAAGAGATTGAGATAATAATAATAATAATAGTACTAGCTAATTGTTGCTTAATCACTTGGTACCATGGTTGTTAATTTAGTTGACTCTCGGATTTAAATGCAATTATTAATTGTTGACGTTTAAAATCAGTTGATTGTTGATCAATTTTTTCAAGGGTAACCTTCAAGCTGATGTTACACTAATTGTTAACCTTGTTAGATTTACCTTTCAAATCATGATGATTAGCTGATCATCATCATCATCATCATCATCATACTGACCAAGGGAGATTAAGTCAATGTCCATACACATAGTTAATCGTAATTGATAAATTGTTGATTGTCTTATTGAAGAGAATCAATTTTCAATCTTACCTTGAGATTGTTTTTCTCAACTTTGGTTATGATTTGAAATCTTAAACACAATCTAAATTTACATTGACGATCGATTTGGAAATTAATTTATCTCTAAATTAAATCAAGCAATTAAATAAATATCAGATTAATCAGCTAATTAAATCGATATGATCAGTAAGTCAAACCGGAAAAACTTAGTTACTTTAATTTGAATCAAAAATTCTAGTTAATCAACAAGGGAAATGATTATTACTCGTAACCGGAATAAGGAACCTGGAAATTAGTTGATTGCGAATCTTTTTTTTTTCATTTTAATTAACTTTGGACTAATTAATGGAATCAAATTTTTCAATCAAAACTGATCGAAAACTGATCAAATTAAATCAGTTGAACACGAAACATCATCGCTTATGATTAACCAGCAATCAAACTATGGAAAGTTAATTGTACCATCAAGTGTATTCAAGTTTAATCAAACAATTTACCAACAATAAAATGTAAGTTGAAAATTTCCTTTAATTGTTGACAATTAAACTAAATTGTTCGTTAACCTTAGCAACTTTCACTTTATCCTTTTTTCTTAACCCCAACTAAACAATGATCAAAATTATCCACAGAGAGATTAACATTTACTCTCAACAATTAACAAATTGTTGTTACTGTTAATCCAACTGGTCAATTGATTGTTGACCAGTTATTATTTCAAATGTTATCAACCTAAAGTTGATTATCACTTTCAGTTTCAAATAACATTGAAGATGCTGATCAGATTGAGTCACCGACCTCAGGTAAAGATGATGAAGATAAAGAGATGATAATAATAAAGATGAGGATGTAAATGGACTTGATATTTACCTTTGATTGTTTATTATTATTATTTAATAAACAGCGAAACAATTTAACAATCAGTTTCAATGATAAGTTGATTGAACTGGTTCATCGTGTAAAAATAATCAACAATTGATCAAGTATCATTATTATTAATTATCGTAATGATTGTTTAATAAGTTTTTGGTTAAGTTCAATGTTCAGGTAAGTCAATGAATAAATTGTTCACCGAGAGCAATTGAAACTTTTTTTTTCATTACCAATGGCAATTAAAGCTTATTAATTGTTAAGTATTGATTGTTGATATTAATAGTTAATCATTTAGTTGATTTCAAGTTTAACTTCTAGAATTTGAAATTGAAAATTAACTGATTATATTGATAAGCTAATATCTGACAACTTATTAGTTTGTTAATTGTTACAATTAGTTAATTCACTTATTATACAATTAGGACAGACATTTTTTTGGGTTTCAAACTTAATTGTTTATGTTTGAGTAATTGTAACAATTAAGCTTATCGTTCAAGTTTATATGTCATATCTTTGGGTCTTTAACGGAAAGGATTAAAGGTGATGAGATTAAGGTTTGTATGGGATGATGGATTACGGGAAGAAGATGAAGAAGAAGATGAAGATGAAAGTAAATAAAAAGAGAGAGAAAAATTGACCAAAAAGAAAGAGAAAATAAAATAACCGGTTAGAATTGAAGCTTTTTCTGTCTTCCGAAAAAAAGACTAACCTGTTCTTACTTGTTCCAAATCTTATATTCCTTCCCTTTCTTTTCACTCTCTCTTTTCATCCTTACCTTTACTCTCTCTCTCTTATCATCATACTCACTCAATTTCTTTCTCTCTCACTTTCTTATACTTACTCTTACATCTAAAGCTACATTCTTACTTCGATATACAACGAATGATGTTCTGAAGAAAAAAAAGTTTTCTTCATCATCTTCATCTCTTCTTCCTCTCTCTCTCCCCTAATTTTTCATCTTCCTCTTGAAAGAAAAACTTTTTTTCGCTTCCAACTGGCCCCTTGAGGCGCTTTTTATTGACCATAGAAAAAAAAGTAACATAGTGAGAGAGAGCCAAAGATTAGCCCCTTTTTACCTGGACAATCACTTTCAACCCATCAGTTTATCTGTGTCCATCGACCGATGTCCATCTTATCTTGAGCAAAGTAAAAACCCAAAGTTTTTTTCATCTTCCTCTTCACCTTTATGACCGCAATCATCTACTCACTAGACTTTTCCAGAATATTTGTCCATCATCATCAGTTATGAATTGACCGTCGCATCCTCATCACCAGTTTCCTAATCATCAGAATCTTTTTTTAGAAAGTTAGTATTATTTTAATTTCTGTGTCATTCATCAATTGTGTCTCACTAATCTAAGATTATCATCTCTTTCTATTTTTTCTTTATCCATATTGATCCATCGGATTTTGCACCTTACAACTGACCAGGCCAATTGTTGCTTAATCATAACAAATATCCCAACAATCAACTAAACTAAATCATAATCTTTTCTATGATTTCGATCAGCAAAGATTGAACTTTTTTTTTTCTTGTGTCACTTTCTCCTCTGTGTTTGTGTTTTTTTTCGTGATTGATTAATTAACTTTAATCAAATCACTTTTACATCCATCAATCATGAGATTACGCCATAATTATTTACTTATTAGTCTTAATTGTTTGACTGTTTTATTGATTGTGAATTTAAATTGTGTCTCATCGAGCTCACTTCCAGTAAATAAACTTGTCAATGAAGCTTTAAAACGGCAACAACGTGAAGCCCTCGCCGAAGCGGCCTCCGAATCAACAACTGAACTAAGTGAAGATTCAGAATCGGATTTAGGTCCATCCGGATCAGTTAACAAAGTAACAACAATTAAACCAACAAACTTGTCATCAACCAATTCAACTAATCATAATAAAATTGATTGGGATGAAATTGAATCAACTTGGTATGAATTTAAAGACGATGAAGAGGTGACCAAAAAGTGGAATGACATGGAAAATGGATTAAAAAAAGGTAATTTCCTGTTAATCATCAACATCATCACCTTGTTATCCTTAACTGACCATCAAACTGGACTAATATTTGTTTTGTTCATTGCTCTATTTAGGTGTGAAAGCCGTTCTCAGGTCAATTTTCCCTCGAATCGTTTCAATGTCATCAGATACCAAAGTTTCGGGTAACTGTTCAGCCGGTATATTGAAATGGTTAATTTCGTTACGAAGTCTCAAAGATTGGTCAATAAAGAGTAAGTTAATTAAACACCCTTTCCTCACCCTAATCACATTAATTGTCACTAATTAATCAGCCACAATTTAAGACAATCAAGTACCAAGGTACTTTAAACCTAATTGTTATCAGTTATTGATCAACAAAAACTGTTTTGTTTTTATTTTTATATAACATTTGACATCTAATGTTGTCAAATGTAACGAGTGATTAGTTAATCAAACGTTAATTAAAACGTTAATTGTTGTGAGTTGATAAATAACAAATACATTTATTCAACTATCGTTATTGGAAATTAATTTACTTTTAATTGTTCAGATTTGCAGAGATGATTATTTCTTGTTGTTAAACTGATTTCCCTTTTTTTTGTTTCGTTAATTAGTCAAGTTTATCACAATTAGTTTGATGCAGTTAACTGTTAATCTTAATCACCAACAACAATGACAGTTACAAACCTGTTTAATTGATTAATCAGTTAGATTTTTTTAAAAGATTTCGCTAAATTGTCAAAAAAGTTAATTGTTGTTATTATTATGGTTCTTAAATAATATTTAATTTCACCAAGTATATGATACTTACACATGAAAGATATTGATTCAGTTTCAGTAAATTATCAGTTTATTTCATATGAACTAATTGTCAATCTTTTATTAATCTGATTGTGATCAACAATATTAATGGTAAGTAAATTAACTAACTGTTAATGATTAATCTTCTTCCGGAAACTTAACTTGAGTTAAATTATCGACAATCTAATGAGCCAAAACCAAACTGATCTACTTTTTTGTTGGACTTTCTTACCTTACATTTATTAAATCGTTAACGTTGATTGTTAATTGATTGTAATTGATTGTGATTTACACTTTTCCAACACGTACACACTAATCAATACTTTCCAACAATTTAAAACGTTAGATTCACAATCTATTTGATTGTCAAAGTTTAACATTTTCTTTCGTAATTCAAATTTAGAGGTAATATCATAAATCAACAATGAACAATTTAGTTTTGATTGTTAAGTTTTTCTCATTGATAATAAGATGATAACACTATTGGTTAACTTTATTATCAATTAACAGAATAATTGAAATTGGAAAAGTTTGAGAAAAAGTTGATTAATGTCAATCAACTGACCTTCATGATAAGGTTATTGGTCAATTTTCATAATCAAGTTGACAATTTACTTTGATTATTGGTCACAATTTGCCCCAATCCATTCAATTGATTGATTTTTCACTTTGAATGTCATTAGCTTCATGATGGTCATTCTGATCTTGATCATTAGTGACCTTTGAATGGTCAATAGCCACTAACGATGCCTCGTTACAATTAAATTAAAGTTCAAACTAGAATTAAAAAAGACTGAATAAATTTTTGTTTAATTGTCAACCTAATTAAACTGAAATTGAGAAAACTTTTCTTCCCTTTATCCAATATACACTCAATCAGTTTTATCGTTAACAATTAGTTCAATGTTAAAAACACTGATCATTTTCATTAGTTTATTAGTTGAGTTTCTAAATTAATTACAATTAAGCATTTAAATACCTTTCATGTATCTTTCAAAAGGTAATGATTATATTGATAGTTAATCGTTTTAATAACAATTCAAACTCATCTCATCTCATTATCATCATCACTCAATCGGTAATCCAATCAATATATTTAATTAGTTTCCAATTTTTGATGTTTAATTTGATTTATATTGTTTATCAATCTTATACTTGATTAATTAATCATTGATTGTGATTATCATATCCTGATGATAAAATTGATCAAAGATTATCAATACTGTATATCTTACTGTTACCACTACCACTACTACTACTTTACACTTTAATTACCAACAATTGACTAAATCATTTTCTGATTGTTGGCTGATTGTTGAGACAAGTTTCAATTCACATGAAAACTATCAACATGATGATTACCATTAATTGTATATTGAGGACACATGAAAACGGACCCAAAGCGGAAGAGTCAAAATGATGATCACTATTAATTGTTTACCTTGTTTATCATCATCAACATCATCCTAATTATCATCCTAATCCTAATCATCATTAATGATTCATTACACAATATTGTATTATCCCAAATGATCACAATACTTAACCAAATCACAATCAACTGAATGATAAACCATTTTTAAATCAACAATATTTCAATGTTTCTTATTGTTGATACTTAATTATCAATTGTATTGTTAATTAAGCTCTGGATTAGCAACAGTTAATACATTTTATATTAAATCAATGAACACCATCATAAAGTAGTGATGAGGAAAAAAATGTAATCAAATTAAATCATTATCAAAATGTAATTATTAATAATATCAGGTTGTTACCTGAGGTAAATACAGTTACCTGTTGAGATTGAATTTAAATTGACCTGAAATTATGGCAAAAATGATTAACAATTTAATAATAATATTGAAATATTAAGTGTCCTTGATTTGATTAACAAAAATTTTCTTAATCACAATTAACGATAAGATTGAATCACTTATATCAATAGTGAACACAACGACTACAATTTAATTATTGTTGATACATTCAGGTACGTTGTAATTGGATTGTAAAAATTTGAATCCTCATTAACTAATTGTTAATAACTTGATTGTTGAATTGATTTAGTTTATTTTTCGTCTTCAAATCAATTAAAAACAAGATTAACTAATTTTGAACCATTGAAAGTTGATCAATGGTTTTAACCTTGTAACAATTAGTTAATCTCTGATTGTTATTCAAATGAGTTGATTACTTGGTTAACCTTGATTACTGACCACCAACAATTAAAATTAAACCTTAACAAGGGTTGAAGAAAATCATTAATACTTTAAATTGATTGTAAATTACATTTTCGTAACAATTAGTTGATGAAGATGGTTAAAGTTTTATCATTAGATGAAATTAATATTAAATTGTTAGTTAACTAAATTGTTGTTATAAGGAAACAGTTTTAATGATGATAAAAAATACAATATAAACTCAACTATTAATATTAATTGTCAAACCTTGTTAAGTTTGAATTAATGATTAACTTTGATGATTTAGTTAATTGTTATCAGTGTTGATTAGAATCAAAAAAGTCCTTTGAGTGATTTCTGATTTACTGGTTAATCAAATTAACTTGTCGGCGATAACATCATGATTGTTGTATTAATGTTAACTCAACAATTAACATTTGAACATCAATTTGTACTTAAAACCCATGGGCACTTGAAAACCCTTGAGGGTAAAAATAATTAACAATGGTAATGAAATGTCAGTATAAGTTAATTAATTGTTAATCATTTACAATTTAATGTTTACTTGGTAACAAAACAAACGATCAAACAATTTAACATTGAACAATATGATTTATTTGATAATCATTTAAATTGTTTTGATGTCTACTAATCAATCAGCCTAACGTTACAATTTTGGTGAAAAAAAAAACAAACAAAAAGTAATCAAATTATATATAAATAATAACAATTAAAAGTTTCTCAATGATTACAATTAGTCACATTGATTGTCATTCAATTTGGGTTTGATTGTTTTAACTCACAATCTAAACTAATTCAAGGTGTGCAATCAAAAATCAAGGTTAATTAGGAATCATATTGAACCCAAATATTGCTTACAATTAAAAAGAGTTTAAAGTTTAATTAAATCAACTTTTTCCAACTTCTTTCTAAATTAAATCGTAATTTAAACCCTCGGGGATTTTCATGATGATGATCATTATTGCACCTTAGAGGTACGATGGTTAACCTGAACTCTTGGTGAAAAAGTTCAGAACGATAATATCGATAAATATTTTGTAATTCGAACAAGTTTTAGAACGAAAATGTAATCGAATGTGAGAGAGAAAAAAACTTTTTTTTTCTCTTCTTGTTCTATATTTTCTTCTCGATTACAATTTAATCGTAAACAATTTAATCGACAATTACAACATACACAAACACACACACACCTTTTCTTATAGAATTTACAATTTATTTTAATTGTTACCTTTTAATCATTTTTTTCCCATGAGAAAAGTATTTGATTAAGTGAATGGAATTAATTTCGACTTTTTCAATTAGAACTTTTTTTTTCTACTAATTCGATTGGAGAGAAACGAAAAAAATATAAATATAGCCAATAGAATTACTATACAAAAAAAACATGAACACTAATTGTCCGTGACAATTAGTGAACAATTACGATAAACATGACAATTAATTAAGATCCAATTGAGTCCAGAAAATTGATCACAATTACAAGTGATGGGATATCAACAATTTACCGGAACCTTATATTAAATGATAACAATCAATCATGATTAGTTTCAATTGCTTACCTAGGCTTAGATCATCTTGTTAATAATCAACAATCAATAAGGAATTAAAATAATTAAGATTAATTTTAGACTAATTTCAATGTCATCAGTTAGTTGATTGTAAACTTTAACTTCCGTAAACAGTGATAATCAAAACAGTTGATCATCAGAAGCAATTAACTTGACAACTATTATTATGATTTAAGTAGCAATCAAAAAAAAATCCTCGAGAACAATTTATTTTATTTACCGTATTGTCCATTGATTAACAGCAATTTAACCTTTACTTTTCTCATTGTAAACAAATAATTTTTCATACCATCACAATCAACTAATTGTTAACAACAATAACAACAACAGGTAACCCTGATTGACGATGACGACGATCAATGTGTAGTTATGATTAAATTGTTAAGAGAAAAACAAAATTCAATTACTATTAAAAAGAGTGAATTTTTTTCCTGAATTAACTACAACAATCAATTGATTCCAATCAACTTATCATCTCAATGGCAGAATCAATTGTTATGATTAATATCATGATGACGATGAAAATTCAAGTTCAAATTTCAGAGTTTTCTTACCATGAGGAAATAAGAACGTGAATATTTAAAATGAATTAGATTTGATTGCAACAATTTATTTCTTATTGATGGTTAAAGATTCATCGGGAATTCCTGTCAATCCCACCCGGTGATTTCCCGGTGTAACTTTACCGAGAAATAGTTTGTCCCCTTCCCACTTGTTTGACTTTTATAATAACAAATTCAATTTAAATTTAATTGTTTACCAATCAAATCACCGATATCAATTTAATCCTCCAATCATCTGATTCAATTTGTCTCTCAAAATGTCACTCAGGTAATTACAATTTCGCGATTCCAATTGTCCAGAGTAATTTGTTTTCTTCACTTAATTGTTGTAAACAAGTTGATTGTGTCTATTGATTTAAATTTTTTTTTTTGGTTGATTGTTTTCACATTTTTTGATTATTGATTAGGTTACAATTTATATTATCAACGATTAATGAGGAAATTGATAAGTTGATTGTCAGAAAAACCATGTAAGGTTTGAAGAAGGAAAAATTCAGATTAAATTGCAATTTAAATGGTTAAACAATTTAAACTTTTCTTTCCTAAATAATCAAAGTTTCCAATTGATTGGAAAATAAGAAGTAAGAAAAAAAAATCAAGTAATACAAAATACTAATCAGTTAATCACAAAATTTGAGAGATGACAACAATTAAAACTAAGCGTTAATTGTTACCAATACATTAGATAATTAGAAGCAACAAATCAGTATCTGGTTTAGTTTAAATTGTAATCATTAATTGTTATCATTTAAACGTATCTTTCAGTTATTAACTAATACATTCAACGATTAAATAAACACTAATCCTTTAAAAATAGTAATCAGATTAGATTACTGACTTAATCCAGTTTGTATTTATATCACAATAGAAAGCAATTGTCATCAGTGATTAAATTGTTGGAAAATGTAAATTGCTAATTGTTAGTATTAATACATTGAATAATTTAGCAAAATGTTAAAGATTAGAAACAATTGATTGATTGTCCATTGATTATGTTATATTTCCCTTCATAATCAAGTGTTTATATCAACAATTAATATTCATTTAAATTGTAATGATTTGATTACAACAATTTGAAGAGAGCGAGATAATTTTTTTATATAATATTAGATTAATATTATATTATTATGATTACGTTCAATGGACTCAATGAACCTTGAAATTAATTGTTGAAAGTGAATGTTGATTAAGTTTATCTTGTTTTGGGTTATCATTACTAAACTTGTTATTGAGGTGAATTGGTTTACTTTCACAATCAACAACAATTAAATAATAATTGATGCCTATCTTAACATACATAACACATAAACACGTCCGTCTAATCACTTTTACAATTGTAAGTCGGTTAATTGTGACCCAATAGTTAAAGTGTAATAATGATAATCATGTATTTAAACTAATCAAAATCACAATCACAATTTAGGAACTGAGGTTAAATTCATCAGCAAAATTAACGTTTGATTAATTCATCAAACATAATATCAACTATAAGCTTGATAGTATTTGCGATAATACCACAATTAGTAAATGATTATTAATGGTTGACATTTTGGGGTATTGATTGAATTAATTTGATTTAATTGATTAGCTAATTGTTTGTTTTTCTCTTGTCGATTTTTTTTTGTTCATTTCTTTGTGTATATTTAGTGTTGGATGCCATTGGTAAGCCATCGGCCGGTTTATTGGAAGGTCAAGTTTCCATGTTTGGTAATTATCATGAATGTCTTGGTGTCCGAGTAATGGAAGAAGATGATGAAGATGTTTTCGATGATGAGGAAGAAGATAAGGAAGAAGGTTCCGAAGATTCCAATCAGAGTAAGGAGTTTTTCCGAGGTAAATATTGTATCCTCGAGTTTAAGCCTTGGTTACCCAAGAAGCCGCCGTTTTATGGGATGAAGACCAAACTAAAGGCTTTGGAAAGGCCCAAGAAAGATGACACAGTAAGTAGATAACATCTGATGTTGATTAATATTCTGTAAATTGGAAAAACAAAACAATTAATCACATAGAGATTATTAGAGGAAGAAAATTCAACAAATCTCATGAGTGAAAACGCTAATCACTTTACAGGGAAAATAAAAGCTTCTCTTTTCAATATTATCTAATTGAAATTTCCAAGACAATGTGATAAATATCATACTGTCAAATTCAATTACAATTAATATCTCTTTAAGTATTAAATCCAGTTAATTGTTGACAGCAAAATTTACCATAAAGGTTTAAATGTGTCACCAAGAAAACATAATAAAGTTTATTTAGATATGTAAAGAGTTTGTTTGAACTTAAAACTAATTCACTGAGAGCTTTGGTTAATTGTTTCAGAGGATACTATTGAGAAAATGGCCAATTAATCAAATTAGAAAACCAAATTAATTCCCAATTAAAGAAATGAAAACAAGTGAAGAAAAAATCATTTTCCCTCCAAACGAAAAATTTGTTCTTTTTTTGAACACTAGATGTCTCTAGTTGAAATCGAAAATTAAATTGAAATGTTTTCTTATTCTGTGACAATTAACTGTTAATTGTTTGATTTAATTTTCTTTCTCTCCTCACAGGTTATGAAAGATGTCGCCGATTTGGCAGTTTTTCTTAATTTTGTCTCAATGAGAATGGACCTTTGTGTCCCCTCTTTGTGCTCTCGAAATGATATTCAAAAAGTGGTTGGTTTAAGTGAGTAAATCAAATTTGATTACAATTAAAGATAAAAAAATCAAATTTAACTAATTATTTGTTTTTGGCTCTCAATCTAATAGTTGGTAGACTGATTGATGTTCGTGGTAAAGTGGTTCGATGTGAAGTTGATGAAGATCCATTGACTCAAATAACCAATCCTCAAGTCGCTGCATTGTAAGTAAATCACAATTAAGAAAGTTGATCAAATTGATTAATCATTTTCCCCTAAATTACATTATAAATAAGTTCAAGGTTTCAATTTGAATACAATTGACAATCAAATGTTTACACAGGATAAATAACACAAAGAGAAAACAATAATCAATCTAAATTGCAGATCAATAAGACAATCAAGGTTAACAATTAATCACTTAAAAGTTTATTATATTATGATCATATTAACGATTAAAATTAACTCTTCAATTGAAACTTTCATCAATTGGTTATAATAGAATTGATTTGGAGAAAAAATTTACTAAATTAAAAATGATTAAAATTGTAATCGAAGTAATAACGAAAAGAGTAAATCAATAACAATTAGATTTAATTGTTGCGAATTTACTTTTTTCTTTTGTTGATTATTTTTTCTCTCTTTTAATTCTCGATTGATTTGTTAAATTGTTCTCTTTCATTTCTCTTCTCTTTCGATTTCAGGATCATTTTGGTTCTACTATTTTTCCTCTTCGCGACATTAACTGTCGTCGGCTTGTGTACTGGACTATTTAAGAACCACGGGTCAATAGTTAATTACCTTCGCTCATTAACCTGGACAACCGCTTGGTCTGAATTGATGAGCGAATCAAGCTTCGAATCGAAAAGTCGAACTTCCGTTCTTTATGGACTTCGAACTATCATCATGTTCTGGATAATAATGGTTCACACAGCGATTGAGGTCAATTTCCAATTTTTCCGTAAGTATAAACAGGCAGACATATTAATATCTAATTCGAAAGCAAAAACCGACTTCGTAATCAATAAAATCGGAAAATTAAATCCAATAAAACTAATCAACTAATCGTATGATTGGTGGTCAAATCTTATTTGAACAACAGGTCAAGCATAAAACGATCTAAATTGCAAAGTTTGATATTTTTACGACAATCAATCAGATTGACCAACGAATCAAAATCTAATGGCCGATTTAAAGTTCTTGTGAACAAACTAAATGGGATAATTTTGAAATTCTAATTTTCTTTTCATCATTTCTGCTTCCTCTTTTTTCCCATCTTTCAAGGTGATGTTTTATGGATTAGAGATGTTGCCCTCTCTTGGCCAGCACAGTTCTTAACCAAATCGTCTTACAATTTCGATATGTTCATAGCGATCTCCGCTTTTACCATGGCTTATACGATTGGCTCATCGAATGCACTGAAATCGGTTAAATTTATCGCTCGTAAATACCTCAGGATAACACCAATTGTAATGATCGCCGTTGGTTGGTTAACCATTTTACCTTTGGGAAAGAAAATTTATCGAGGTGGACCAACATGGGGCGACTTTGTACCAAAGGCATCGGCAAACTGTGCCAATAACGGACTTTTCAACCTTTTGTACATTCAAAATTTCCTCGACCCGGCTTCGATGTGCCTAAAAAATACCTGGATTTTTGCCGTTGAAATGCAATTATACTTAATTTTCATTCCACTTCTTTTATTGGTCCGAAAAACTTCACGAGCCAGTCTGATGGTTCTATTGACCATCATCTCAGCCATTGGTTTCCTTTGTAATCTGTTGACCGTTTACAATTACGAGTTACCACCTCACCTTATCTGGACTTTACCTGATCCCCAACAGCGAGATTATTATTATAAAGTACATTATTTCAAACCCTGGACACATCTTTCCGTTTTCGCAATCGGAATAGGTGCTGGTCATTTATGTAGTAGCCGAAATAAGAAAACTTCTTCCTCATCTTCTAATACAAACTCACCAACCTCATCTTCATCCCATTCATCATCTTTACCCTATGGAATCGGAGTTAGCTCCTTCCTCTTCTGGTGTGCCAGTCTTGTCACCATTTTTTGCCTCATCTTCATGTACCACACTTGGGTGCTTGGTGATCTTCCCGCTCCCCTTATCTCCGGAATATATGATGGTGCCCATAGAATTTTAATCGCTCTCGCCTTTAGTTACATTATATATTCACTTGTTTGTCTTGCTGAAGATGCACCCGATTCTTGCCTTGTTCAGCTACTTGGCAGTAGATTCTTAATTACCACTGGACGATTAACCTTAATTGCTTATACAATCCATCCAATTATACAATTTATTTTCCTTGGCACTCAATCATCACAACTATTTAGTGGTCCAATTGTTGCTCTTTATGTTGTTATGGGTAACATTATGATGACCTATGTCCACTCGTTTATCATTTCAATTCTGTTTGAGATTCCAATTGCCACCGGATTAAGGGCAAGAACAATGTCCTCCAAGGGTCCATCTAATTCATTTGATTTTACATCAAAAACTGAGAAACAGCAATCAACAGTTAGCGGAATAATTAACAACAATAAATCAAGTACAATTACAATGGTCAGTTCGATAAACGGTGACATTGAACTGTCCAAATCAAACTTTGAGCGACATTAAGTTTTCAAATCAATTTCATTTAATCAACAAAACGAATGCAAAAATAAAATATAACAATTTGCATAAAGGAAAACCTAAAATCAACTCATTTTAATGTTAATTGTAAACAACAATTTAAAATCAAAACCAATTGATTGTTCATCAATACTTTTCTTAATAGATAATCCTTTCCAAAGGGATTACCAGTTATTACTTTTTTTTTGTCTTAAACCGGAAAATACAAAACAATAAACTAAACGGTGATCTTGATTACAATTAAGTCTCAATTTATATCGGTCATTATTACCTCTTAGAGATTAACACTGATGGTGATCTTGATTACAAGTAAGCCTCGATTTATTTCATACAACAATTCAGATCATTTTTAAACATTAACAATGCGTGTTTATGTTGAATGGACTTGAACTCCAATTTAAGACGATTAATGATTCGATAACCAAATCCACCACAAGTAAAACGTTTTCCATCACCGAGTTCCCTAGATACTAAATGACGATTGTATTTGATCAGTTTAATGAGATATTTGGAGTAAAATCATCAAAAGACTTGAATTCAAGGCTATAAAGGTAATCTGAACAAATTAAACTTAATTTTACCTTTGATCTCAATAAATAACTATTGAGGTACTAGATGAATATTAATGTGGCAAAAAACATTGAGCTGTGCTAATTAAAACTTTATCTAGAACAATTGAACTAATTTTAGGTCCATGATTGAAATTAAAAAAATTCTGATAAATTGAGCACCATCGGCAATGCAAATCCAAGGCTAATCAAGTTGATTAGTTCGTAAGTTGATTGACTGGAACTACGTATTGATTGAGTTGTGATTTAGATTATGCTATATAATTTCATATATTTAAAGTTTTATCTACATTCTTGAATAAGATTTGTCGAAATTTTGTTAAAGATTATGCTCAAGCTACAAGGAGTCTATGAGAGGTTAAGGTATCAAAAAATTCAGCCGAAAATCCTACAAAACGGAAAAATAGTCCGAACAAAATCTGATCGTCCGTTCATGAGAAATTCTGAGTCGAAATTTTTTCATGTACGCAAGCGCAGTTCAGCTTTTTAAGAGCGCGCGATTCAAAAAGAAAGAGAAAGAAACGAGAGAGAAAGAGACGAGAGAGAAAGAGAAAGAGAAAAAGAAAAAGAGTTGACTGAGAAAGAAAAATACAGTTTTGAACCCGCGATTAAAACAATTCCTATTTCCGTATCCATAATCCACAGTTCTGTCAAATAACCTTAACAAACTTTCGTAAGAAAGTTGGGATTGACTTGTTATTATTAATAAAACAATTTACATATAAGTTATCTGACTAGCTTTATGTAAAATATTAATAGAATCATCATTAACTGTTCTAATTGAATATAATTAGTTGGATTAATACATCAGATGACCAATTTTACTCTTGATAAAGTTAAACTTGACATTAATTGGAGTCACATTGACATTTACATTCAATCATGATATTAATTAATAATACCATTATGGTTGTTGAGCGTTGATTCACCTGAAATAGATAAAATTGTTTTAAACAAAACAAAATCAACATTCGTTTTAATTGAATGTAATTAGTTAAATTTACACACCAGTAGATCAACTTTACTCTTAATAGATTAAATTTGCAATGGAAGTTATTTTCCATTAGTAAAAGTAAAGTTCTATCAAGTGAATCAAAAACTCTACTGTATTATAATTTTGAAGCTTTTCTTTTACACTGTTCTTAGTTGAATTAATTGAAAAATCTAATCATGAATTTGACCAAATTTACTAGTTTTATTCTCGTGGTTGTATTTATAACTATTTCATTTGTGACAGGAGGAGAAAGTGTATATGTTCATGGTGCTGGTGGTCTTGGTGGTTATGGGCAAGGTGCTGGTTCTGGTTCTGGTCATGCTTACAAACGTACGCTTATTGATTAGCACAATCAGAAAATAAAATGAGATGAAAGTTTTTCATATGGTTGTACCCTCTCTTCATTGTGAGTTTATTAAAATTAAACCAGAATAAAATGATTCTATTGAAAATTAATAAAAACTACCTCGTGTGTCTATTGTGTGCAACACAAACTTGCCTATCAATCCTTAAATATCTACTCTTGGAATCACTTGAATACACTCACAGTCAAAATGAAAATTGATTAATTGTCAATATCTTCGTAATTAATTAATTAACTAATTAGAAATAAGAACTTTCTAGACAACAACAACCAATTGATCATCCCAATCATGAAAAATTGGCGAAAACACCATATTCCTTATAGATAATGTCGATGATTAAAATCACATTATTTATGTCGAAACAATTCAGATGATTTCGAAACTTTAGATGACAATTTTCGTTTTTTTCGTTAGTTCAATTGACATTAACTGAAAGTAAGTTATGGTTGTCAATGGAGATGATACTGATTCAGTTGATTAACTTGTATTAAAATATGTTACAAATTGATTGAAATTATGTATCAATTTAAATGTGATTTAATTGTGATAAAAATAAATACAAAGTTAATGAATTAATGTACATATATAAGTTGTTTTTTACCAATCAGCTGCTGAATTTGCAAGATAGTCTTTATTACCAACGTTAGATGCTTGTTTGTTTTGCATGGCTTCAAGTTTCGGACAATTAATGATTCGATGACCGAATCCACCACAATAAGTACAACCTTTTCCATCACCGAGATTGAGAAATTGTTCATGTTCTGATTGTAGAGCGATTAAGAATGGTGGTAATTTTTGCTTTGCTTCGATTAATAAATGTTTCAAATCAAGAAGAACCGATTCTTCAACTGATCGATTAACGAATGTGGTAGCAAGTCCTTTTTTTCCAGATCGACCAGTTCTACCGATTCGATGGACATAATCTTCGATATCATCTGGCATATCGAAATTGATGACATGTTGAATTTTAGCGAAATCTAAACCCTTTGATGCGACATCAGTAGCGACCAGGACATCTTTCTCTCCTTTTCTGAAACTATCAACGGCGGTGGATCTTTCCTCTTGGTCCTTTCCACCATGAATTCCAACAGCTTCGACTCCTTTAAGTAAAAGGTACTCATGAATCGCATCGACGTCTTGTTTTTTAGCTGCGAAAATCAAAACAGGCGGTGGTGTTTTCTGGAGAGTTTGAAGAAGGTGAACAAATTTGGCTTCTTGTTTAACATATTCGACAGATTGAGTTACAGTTAAACTCGCGGCTCCAGCTCGACCAACGTTGAGAGTTATTGGTTTAACCAAAGAACTTCGAGCAAAGTTCTGAATTTTCTTTGGCATAGTCGCTGAGAAAAGAAGAGTTTGCCGCTGAGATTTGAAGAAAGAGAAGATTGTTCTTATATCTTCTTCGAAACCTAAATCAATCATTCGATCGGCTTCATCTAGAACCATGTGTCTGCATACTTCTAAATTTACTCTTCTCTCGTTCAACATGGCGATCAATCGACCTGGAGTAGCGACCACAATGTGCACTCCATTTCTGAGCATATCGGTTTGATCTTTGATTGATATTCCACCGATACAAAGACAAGGTTTCAATCTTGGAAGACCATCCGATTCCGCAGCTTCACAATAGTATTTGATTATGTCAAATGTTTGCTTAGCCAATTCACGAGAAGGACAAACAATCAGTCCATAAGGACCTTCTCCTTTGACGAAAGGCATCGAATATTCTTGTTCAAGTGCAAACATGATAAGAGGTAAAACGAACACCAAAGTTTTACCAGATCCTGTTGACGCAATTCCAATCATATCTCGACCCGATAGAACACTCGGTAATCCTTGAACTTGAATTGGCGATGGTTTTTTAATCCCTTTTTTCCTCAACGCTTTTCGAATTGATCTTGGTAGTTTCATCTCTCGAAAAGTTTTAACTGGCGGACAAATATCTTCCCCATCAACCAAAATTCTGTACTTTTCAAGGATTCTGCTCCTCTTTGTTTCCGACATTTCCTCGATATATTTAGGTAACTTCCATCCGGTTTTAATTGGCTCAGTATATTGAATTCCTTTGGCCAATTCAGCAACACCCATGAGAGCTTTTTTCTCAGCAATACTTTCAAGAATTTTCTTCTCCTCTTCCAATTGTTTCTCTAGAGCAGTTTCTTTCCTCTGTTCGGCCAATTTTTTCAGCTCAGCATGTTGATCAAATAGAGAGACATTATAACGGGCCATCACTTGATCGTCATCAGCATCTTGACTTGTATCCGGTCCATTCGAATCAGATGCCCCTTTTACATCGTCATTCTTTGGTTTAATGTATTTTTCTGCGATTTTTCTCCTTCTCTCTTTAATTGGAATGTAAACTTCATCTTCCTCTTCAGAAAAATCGGCGGCGGCCTTTCTCCTCTCCTCTTCTTCAGCTTCTCGACGTCTCTTTTTTATCTCTGCACGAATTGGATCATAATCCTCAACACCTTCCATTTGAAAAAAAAACAATAAAATTAACTCAATTTAAATAAAAAAAAACGAATCACAAATAAATTCTAAAACAACTCAACTTATTCAATTGAAATGGAAAAATTTTTGTTTACATGTTAGTTGATCAAGAGAAAACCAGGCAGAGCCACTTGAGAGACTTTGATTCCATTGTTGCAAAAGTTTCCTCAACATTTAAAATGATGAATTAAATTTTTACTCAGTTTGACTTTCAATTAATTTATTGATTTGTTTTAAATCACATTAATTATTTGTTACCAACAGAGTATAAAAGGTAAGCTAACAATCAGTGAATTTGTTACCTCTGCAACCCAAACATTTGCTACTTCCAATTTTTCCAGCAACTTGAGTGACTTTTAATGTGAACAAATTGATGATCCATTTCCGTTGAATCTATTAATTGTCAAACCAAATTAATCTCTAATTGGTGATTATCTTTACATCTAAATATTACACTCATCTGATTGGTGAACAAGTTTCTAAATTATTCTCAGCAATTTGGTAGCAACTGATTAATAAGTGATTCTATTGACTTTCTTTAATTTTCTTTTCTTTCCTGGTCTTTCTAGATTTTCTTATGATTTAAGATCATAATTATTAGTGTGACTTGAAATTAATTAATCAGACAATGGAGATTGAGAATTAGATTCACTCTGAGAATGAATTGACTACAGTAAAACTGGAATACCTCTGAAAAAAAGTTCTGGTAAAAAGTTAAATCTATTGACTGGAAATATTATAAAGTTAAATTGTTGTTCGATTGTGTAAATTGTCAACAATCATCAAACACTCAAAGTTTTTATCATAAACATCATGTTGATCCTTAACATTATTTTCACTATCGTTGTTTCAATTGTGATTCTATGATTTGAGATCTGTTTTAATTGATTGATAATCTTTTCCTTTTCAAGAGCAAAGTTATTCTCACCATAGGACCGGTTATGGCAAAAAGTAATTCTAACAAGAAAAACTCCAATGAGAAAATCAATCGCCGTGGGCCTGAAAAGCAGAGATACTCAGTGATTCCGAAATCTCTTCTGTATTTAGCAATTTTAATTCCAACGATTCTGTTTGCTCCTTTTATGAAACCAATACACTTTAAGAGTAGAGAGTAAGAATTGATTTAATTTAAATTTCCTTTCACTTGACATTTTGATTATTATATTAATACTTTTCCATTTCCAAAGTTACACAGAATTTCTTGCTGAATCTTTTGATGGCGTTTACGCTGAGAATGAGCTTTTATCTAAAGCCGAGAAACTGTTTACAAATCAATTTGATGGACCCGAAAGTTTAGCTCCATTTGAAGGTAATTAATTTGATTGAAGCTTTGTAATCAAGCGCATTTTAAGGACATCTCCAGTTCTTTTCAAGTACCATGATTGTAAGATAAATAGGAGACTACAAATTGTATACTTGAGCTAAGGATACGATGAAAATGAATATGAAGATGTAAACAATAATGTAAGACAATCTAATTAATTGTTTCTTTATCTGTCAATAGGTAAACTCTATGCCGGAGTTCAAGATGGACGAATCCTTGAGATTTCAAACGATAAATACAAAACATTAACCACCGTCGGAATATCTAATGGAACTTGTCCAGTTTGGAAAGAAAAAGAATGCGGAAGACCATTGGGTAATCGAGTGACCAGTCAGGGTCAATTGTATACTATTGACGCTTATAATGGTGTTTTAAAGACAGAAATCAAATCGAACAATCCAAAACCCGAAATAATAATGTCATCAGACTTGAAGATTGTCATTTGATGATTTGGTAATTGATAGGCGCTTTCATCGATGACCGAAAGTTCTTATTATGATCTGAGTGAAGTGGTTCACACGATGCTTGATCTTGATGAAACCGGAAGGGTAATTAGATATGATGAAGATACTAAACAAGCGACCATTGTGATGAAAGGTTTAGCGTTTCCAAATGGAATTGAATTAACTGACGATAAATCGGCAATTTTAGTCTGTGAAATCACCAATAAACGTATCCTTCGGCATTATATTCGTGGACCTAAACAAGGAAAAACTGAAATACTGGTCAATCGATTACCAGGTGAACCCGATAATATAAGAAGATCAACTCGAAAAGATAAAGAAACCTATTGGGTCGCTATCGCCATCGCAAGAACCAACAAAAATCCTGAGATTAATGATTGGATTGAAAATAAACCGATATTGAGAGGATTTGTCATTCGATTGGCTCATTTAGTTGGTACAATGATCAAATTTTTCGGTGAATTAACTGGAAATGATAGTTGGACATTAAAAGGATGGGAGATCAGGAAAATTAATGCATTTCATTATCTAACATTCAGAGGAATGATTTTGGAAATCGATTCAACCGGTAATATCATCTCTTGCCTTCATTCACCTGATGGTACAATTAACTTACTTTCCGAAGTACGAGAAGTGATTGAAAACGGGAAGCGAGTCCTCTATTTGGGTTCCGTTTACAATAAATACATTGGAAAACTAATTTTACAATGAATTTGTTCACTTTGGTTGAACCAGGAAGCCGATGAATGAATCTATTAGTACCTTAATTTGATGAAAATTAAAATCATTTTATTATTAATATTTGATAAAAAAGAGGAATCCGTTTTGTTTTGGTTCACAATCGCTCTCGTTTTCAAGAGACACTGAATGTAAATCTCGAGACGGCAAGATAATATACAGCCGTGAAAAATGAATTTCGAATGATTTTTTAATCATTCGCGCAGGTAGTGACTAAAATTAACTGATTATCTTTTAAGATAATTTTAATCAATAGGTAAATCATCTAAGTGTTATCACTGATGATAGAGATTATCAATTGATTTTTGTAACAAGTTGCGCGAATGATTAAAAATCATTCGAAACTCATTTTTCACGGCTGTATTATAAAGTGGGAGTTTTATTGTGAACTTCTTTCTCTGATAATAAGAGTAAAAGCCTTGAGAATTGTAACTTCACTAAAAGTTAAGTTGAGTCGGTTAAAACAAACAAGTTACATTGTTAACCCATCTATAGTAGTTTTATAATAAATCACCAATATAATAAATCAAATGATCACAATAAGTTCACAGAAGTTCACAATAAAACTCCCACTTTATAATATATACGCCGGATTGATCGGATGATGTTCAAAGCTGAATAATCAAAATAGTAGGATATCAAACTATACGATTGTCTAGGTGATCTAGGTGACGTTAGTCGAATCGTTAATTAGCATAACAACTATATAATATATTAATATGATGATTTGTTTCCGTAAGATACGTTTCCCTTTGAATCTCCTCAATTTTTATGATTCCGCTTTAAACTGAATGTAAATAAATGATCATTTCAGCTGAAATCGAGTAAATAAAAAACTTTGTAAAAACAAAAACGATTGAAAGTTAATTACATTTATCGTTACATTTATCAGCGTTAATTTCATTTCAATTTCCGTACAATCTTAATTTCGAAATTCAAATAAGACAGTTTTTGTTAGCTACATACAAAATAATTCGACGTAACCCATAGAGGCCAGTGGTTTTGAGACCAAGACAGAGAAACGAAAAATAGAATCAGAGCAAAGGAAGAGAGAGAACCAAAGGATCAACTTCTATTCCCTCGAATTTACTCGATTAATAACGATCTTTATATCAAGAAAGTTTGATATAAAGATCGTCAAGCAGCGATCAGGAAAATCGCCGAAACCATTGAATAAGCATTATTGTTTTGTGTCAATAGCATTAAATTTATTCATCTCAATGGGTAACTCGAACTACCAAAAGTAGTTATTATAAAGGATGTTTCGATTAGTTATTATTTTAATTATTTCATTTAATTTTCTCTACCGATAATTGATAACAAAGTATACGAGTCAAGAATTTGATTAAAATCTCAAATGGATTTATTGATAGTTATCAACATAAGTAACTCAATTAAATTTATCATTTCTAATGAAATAAGCTAACCATCTCTATGGATATAATCACAATTAATACTTAGCTTTATTGTAAATTTTTTATACACTGTTAATCATGATCAATCACCTTTAATTGCCAGTAGATTGTCTAATTGGATACCGAACTCAACAGAATAATAGTTTAATTTTCAATCTAGTCAATTTGCTTCGTTAATACAATAACTAATCCTCCAAACACTCAGAAATTGTCATGAAAATGATAATTTTAATTTTAAGTAATTATTTTGATGAGATTTAATTAAGAAAAAAATATTCGCTCTAATTTATTCAATGGGGGTTAGTTCCAATTAGATAGATGGAGCTACGATCGGTGGACGGTTTTAGGTACGAACAATTTCAGGTACTTGACTGTACCTAGCCTACTTTAAGGTCGAAAGAAATCTTCTTACGTATTGATATGTTAACTCATAAAATTTTAATGCTTTAATCAAATGAACAATTTAATATATCATAATTGGTGACTTAAATTGATTTAATATTTAAACAATTACATTCGCATTCAAAGGTAATATCAAATTTGTATCACCAATTAGGTCTCTACCAGTGGCTGTATCAGAGCCTTGCCCACGTTCACATTAGCTTCCTTTTCACTATGACCACCACTGAAACTTGGACCATCTAAGGCATTGGAAATATTCTTATTAAGATCAAGCGCTTTGGGACTAAACGAATTCGGCTGACTTGGCTGCGAATTGAAAGGAGAGGGATTAAAAGCATTGGGACTAAACGAATTCGGCTGACTTGGCTGCGAATTGAAAGGAGAGGGATTAAAACCATTGGGACCACTTGACTGTGGATTAAAAGCATTGGGACTAAACGAATGCGGCTGACTTGGCTGCGAACCGAAAGGAGAGGGATTAAAACCATTGGGACCACTTGACTGTGGATTAAAAGCATTGGGACTAAACGAATTCGGCTGACTTGGCTGCGAATTGAAAGGAGAGGGATTAAAACCATTGGGACCACTTGACTGTGGATTAAAAGCATTGGGACTAAACGAATGCGGCTGACTTGGCTGCGAATTGAAAGGAGAGGGATTAAAACCATTGGGACCACTTGACTGTGGATTAAAAGCATTGGGACTAAACGAATGCGGCTGACTTGGCTGCGAATTGAAAGGAGAGGGATTAAAAGCATTGGGACCACTTGACTGCGAATTAAAAGGAATGGGACTAAAACCATTTGGACTTGCTGAAATGGGATTAAAAGAATTTGGGCCACTTAAACCACCACTCTGGCTTGGATCATCAAAATCATTGGCCACGTTTTTTCTTGGATCAAGCCCTTTGAGATTACTTTGACCTTCATTTGCAGCACTCTCGGTGAAAAGCTCAGCTTGTATTTCCGATTCAGTTATCTGACCCTCTGTAAGCAGTGAAATAGTAAAAGACATAACCACGAAGATTAAAATTAGAACTTTAGACCAATTCATGATTTTCCTTTTTCATTAAATGGAAATCTAAACAAGTTAGAAGCACGACTTTTGTTATATTATTTTCAACTAAAAAGAAACACTGGATTGATCGACTGATATGCAAATTCATCCAAAACAGTAAATGACACTTTTTTCATTAAAACTAGTTGGATGATTATTCAGATGGCTAAAGTAAATCTTGCATTGACTTAGTTCTTACTGTGCTGTTTGGTACAATCATCATATAGTGTTTCCATTATTTTTTATAGCAATCCGACGGTAAATTCAATTAAATTTTCAGGCTTAATGAGAGTTAACCCTGTTGGTTATTACGATCTTCTTTACCTGTTTAATCACATTCACCTTGATCTATTTAATCATCTTCATCATCTAATTAATCATCGACACTCAATCATTGATGTCGATATTTTTTCCCATAGACATAACACAGTGACAATTCATGTTGACGCTAAATTTAAGCTAATCTTCAGCTTCACTTTATCATCTATATATAATCTTATAGAGCTTTGAAAATTCAACTTAACGATATAAATAACAAGTCTAATTGATTGGTAACTTGTGAGCAATCAACTAAAAACATTAAACTTTTGTCCAAATTTGAGGCTCAAAAGTGACGCTCGGGACTGATGTCACTTTTCAATTAAGAAGTGATATTAGAATATGAATCATATATCATCAGAAAGGTCTAGATGAGACGAGTTGAATGATATAAGTACGAAGGTTATATCAGCAGTACTTACGGAAATACAAGCGCTTACATTTGATTCATTTTTCATTTTCAATAATCAACACATTTAGACTTAAGTAATTACCAAGATAATCTTGTCTATCCTTTTCGTTATAATTAAGAAAAAGTAATTAATTGTAAACTAAAACAGCCAAAAAGGATCAACGAAAGTCCACTCAAGGTCATAAATGGACAAACCTTAATTTTCACATTTTTCTTCTTTTTCTGTTTATTGCTCTCAAATTCTTACCAATGGTTTATTCTTTGATTTTATTGCTTTAAGACATTAGTCATATGGATGTCAAAGGTTAAAAACGGAAACCAACAACCAGTTTCTATTAAAAACTTAAACTAATTAATCAGGTCAATTTGCTTATTTTTGTAAAGTCTACGGACATCATTTAAACCAATTTCTCTTCGAATAAATTTGTCTTTAGTTGAAGTAATTTCATAAAGTTGATGTTGTGTTTATTTCTGTGCTGAATTTATTTGATTAACTTGTGTAGTTACCTGGAAAAGTAACTAAGTCTTTCTACACGGAAAAGGTTAATTGTTTGTAATCAACTTTAATCAACTAAAACAAACAAACCCAAAACCTAAAACCCAAAAATTCAGCCTCAGCATTATATGATTTACCCTCTGTCATCGGCAAAATAGTCATATTGTTAAGTACAAACTGGGTACAAAGGTTAAAACTAACCCAACGAGGACTCAATGGGGTTGTAAGTGTGAAAGGTGGTTTATTGTTAAGGGTACAAGATATGACCTAAGAATAAAGTTAAACTCAAAAGTCGTAAGAGAAGTGACCCAACTTTACCCTTAGGTCAGGTTTTATAAAGAAATCGTCGGTGGGCGTTGAACGCCTGTGATTGGTCTAACAATATCATTCGCAGATAAAACGATAACAACAATTTGTCAATAAAATCGATGGTAAATTTGAATCTGTTGATTATCTAATCACTTATATAAATTAATTCATCACTGACTGTATATTTCATCGTCATGATTCTATGAGGATGAATTATTTTTCTATTGATACAGTTACGATTAAAATTTGAAGTATTAATATAGTTTATGCTACGTTTCTCTAAGAAAGTTGTGTTTTTGATTCTGATCTAAATCAGTAATCAATATTAATCGCTCAGAGGTGATTATTAGGTATGAATGCTAAAAAATGTATTTGGAATCATCTTCGGATACGGTAAATTGTTTCTAATTGTTTTGATCATCATTACATTTTAATTAGAACCATAACATGTATTTATCAGGAAGAAAAAAACAATCAGTTGATTTGATAAGAAACTTAGTTAACTTCGGTTAACAATTGAATTAACTTTCTATTTTTAATTTTTTTTAATTTTTTTAATTAATTTTGTGGTTGTCTCTTGATCAATTGTCAATTGTTTGTTAATTTTTCATCTCACAATTAATAGTTTGATTCAGTTCTTGGATTCTGGTGAAAAATGAAAACTGAAAAACAAATTGTCACAATTACCCAATTTAAATTATTAATAAGTTAATTTGTTCATCTTTTAAATTGTAAATTTTGATTATTAATTACGATTTGTGTTAATTGTTGAAAAGGGAAAATTAATTTTCATATTTATAATATATTACAAAGGTAAATTATTAATAATAGTATCATTATTGGTTAATTGTTAATTTGAGGCAAAAAATTTGTTGACAATTTTTGTGAATAATTAACAGTTTGAGATGTTAATTGTTGTTGCTGTTGATAAATTACACAAAATTACTTGATCAACCAAAGTGTGTTAAATCATCAGTAATCTGATTAAACAATTTAGAGGATAATACAAGATTGATGATTAGTATTATTATTTGAATCATTAATTGTTGACGTTCATCAATCATTCGAAACTCATTTTTCACGGCTGTATGGGCAAAGTCATAATTTTATTTTTAAATCAATAGAAACTGTAATAGTTTTTAATTCATTAGTTGGATTTTTTTGACATAGGTAGGTTAATCTTCTACAGGTAAAGCAAATGACGTACCCATAGCTTGAAGCTTAAGCGGAGATATATCGCCATTTTGTGATTTCAAAGTTGGAGCTTAAACGGTCGGAGGAGATCTCGTTCCTCTAGTAAGAATACGATTCATAGAACCTTCCAATTAATTAGTGAGTTCTATGATATCAGCCTTCATATTATCACTTAAAGCTCCGCTCGCAGCGGTAAGCCCATTTAAATCAGTAGCTGGACGCAACTCTGGTGATCCATCTTGAGCTCTCGTTATCATTAAAACAGTTATAAATACAATCACAGAGACAAAACTTGAATATTTAGTCAAATTCATAATTTGATTTTTAAATCAATCGAAACTGTAATAATTTTATACACTTGTTAAATTTTTACTTTATTTTCTTTATTTTTAGTGTCTATTTTTACTTTTAACAATGAAAAATAGCATCAGTTGATATTTCTTATATTAAAAAAGTAAGAGTAAAATTGATCCACCGGTGTGTAAATTTAACTAATTATATTCAATTAAAAACGATTAATGTTGATTCTATTTTGTATAAAACTAGTTAGATGATTATTCAGGAGATTCTAGTAAAATTTAACCTCATTTATCTAATTTGCTGCTTAAACACAATAGACATTTAGAACCAATTGATTTTATTTAATCTTGAACATTCGAGACATTGAATTTCTACAAAATTTCGTCTATTTGCGTTCAAAATTAAATAAAAGTGTTTTCGATGATTCGAACTATCAAGAGCTAATTGTAACCTATTTCTGAGCTATTTCTGAGCTATTATTTGGCCTTAGAAAAGATTTGAGAGAAAAATGTCGATAAGTGACTTTTTATGGACAAAAGTAGAATTTCCATACAAATCAACGTTTATTTAATTTTTTAATTATTTCGTTAATTATGTGAGCAATTGATCTGAGTTCTCGATAAAATATCATCGATACAATAGTTGACCCAAAGAACAGGGGAAAAATTAGATCGATTCAATGCAGAACTATCTCAATTCAGGCCAAATTCTCAAACTAATTGAATATAATTTTCAATAAAATCAATTTCGAAATTGAATAATTAAATGGCCTTTAGCGCTGAGAATTCAATATTTGGCATATGCATAGGCCATATTATCGAAAATAAAAAATGCAAAATTTCATAAATTTATCTCAACTCGCAAGAGAATTAGACCCAAAATGAGACGATTCAGAAACTGAGTGAACGGGCTGTATAAGATTATTAATCTACAAATACAGCAGTGGAAATGAGTTTCGAATGATTTTTTAATCATTCGCGCAACTAGTTACAAAAATCAATTGATAATCTCTATCATCAGTGATAACACTTAGATGATTTACCTATTGATTAAAATTATCTTAAAAGATAATCAGTTAATTTTAGTCACTACCTGCGCGAATGATTAAAAAATCATTCGAAACTCATTTCCACGGCTGTATATTCAAATTTTGTCTCTGTGATTGTATTTATAACTGTTTTAATGATGACGAGAGCTCAGCTATGGTTGTGGGTGACGCTCCAAATGATGGTGTGATGGCTTAACTCATCTTCGTGCTTTTGTTTATAATTATTTTACCAATAACAGAGGGTGAAAGTGGATATGGTCAGAGGTTGTTGATGCTCTTCCTAGGCCAAGTGCCGGTCTCAAATTCCCGACAACGAGAAATTGCGACGAGGGTGGATCACCTGATGATGATCAAAGATAGCCGTTAGAATAGCCCTTTTGGTAGGTCTTTGCTTCTGCTTTTTCCCACATCGCACGGGGGGATAACGTGAATGCAAGCTCTTTTGTCCAAGCTAAGGTGAATGTGTTCAATAATGGTGCGAAAATCATTGACAAGAACATGAACAAGTTCATAGAGTACAATTAATCCATTTGTGGCTCTTTGTTCACTCGTCATTCCAAAAATAAATTCTTTTAATGATAACGACTCCTCTAGAACAATAGCGATTGACATAAATAACCTTCATGTAAACGAAAGTCAGTGAGTATAATAATCCAATTCGCTTTTTGTCCGGGCTAATAAGTGACAACTAATTATTTAAGATAGGTCGATGTAAATCAAATAAACTAATCAAATCATTACTCTGAGTTAAAAAGCTAACTAAGGATATTGGTTTACACTTTAATCATTACACCAAAGAACTTGTTAAATTAAATTAATTTAATCAATTACAATTGAAGGTGCAAGTTGATTAGAGAAATTAAAAAGCGACTTTGGGTTTCTGGTTCAAGTTTTTCTTTAGCTGATAAGAGATGGCGGCACAATTTATTCGTTGAGTTTTTAATCATGATTCAGTTCACTGAATCGTTAACTTGATTATTGTTTTTTTCGTTCATAAATAGTTAATCAAAAGTAATCAAATTATTGACAGCTAATAAAAATTAAGAGTTTAGATAATCTGACAGATTCAAGATCAGATGACATTCCTCTGGGTTAATCTTTAATCTTTAGTCTTGGTGATTAATACAACTAATCTAAGAAAATTAATAAACCATTGGATTGTGATGATAATTGATGGAAAAAACAATTCGTCGATAATAATAAACAGTTTTAATAATCTAGAAATACTCATGGAATTTAGTAATTCACTAGGTAACAATCAAGTACAATTTGAGCTCATGATAAAAGTTAATCGTCAATAAGTTGAACTGAAAAGTAATTAATAAATTGAGCAACAATCAAAATTTAAATTGATTCATATTCAAACTATCAAAGGATAAGTAATGAGAAGAAAAAATCTAATCCCTAAAATTAAACTACAATCAATCAAACAAACAATTGAAACAAAATTCTTATTCAATTTAGAATCTAAATACGTCATTTTGGACGTTGATATAATCGCAATTAGTTGATTACAATTAAATCTCATTGGTGTTTTGAATAGAAGAGAAAAAATCAAACCAAACCACCAATGGAAAGATGAAATTAAAAGAGATAACTGATTGCAAGAAATTAAAAATAACACAAAACCAGTTCAATATCAATTCTTTAATTACATTAAAACCGTTTAACAACAATTAATCAACAATTAGAATTTAATTTTGTTGGAAAATCTCCTAAATGGAAAAGTTTTTTTTTGATCAACATCATTTTTCTTGTCTGTTTCCCCATACGTTTTCAATATAAAGTTACTCTACAATTAACTCCTCCCAATCTATGTTATTACAATCAACTTAGCATCATCATCATCATCGTCATCCATAGTTATTCCTGCAGATTCAATCATGAAACAGGTTCTCACTCACTTTCTCTCTCTCTCCCTCATTGCCATCATAATTAGCAGCCATCGAACATTTTTTTTAATGATTCTCATGAAAATTAACTTTTAGCTCCATGTTTATTATTAGCATGATCGCCATTGGACTTACCTGGTAAACCAGATTCCAGATTCTATCCACTCTCCCCTTCCCACCTTAGCCTAAAGATTCAGGTTCTGACCAGTGAATATCCCCGCCTCATCATCATCATCATCACCATTATCAACAACATCAACTTCATCTTCATCATCATCATCTTGTTGATAATTTTAATTTTAGTTGAAAGTTTTCCCATCTTACGAGGAGTTAAATAAATTGTTACTTCTTGTCTCTGAACTAATTAACTAATCAAGTGTCTCTTTGTGCTAGATTTTAATGTTATTGTTGAAAAAAGTTGATCATAATCAATTTGGTATCTACAATCAAGGCGTTCGTTTGAAACCCTTGACAATTTAGGTTTAAATTGTTTGTTGAAAGTTAAATGTTTATATTGATTTAGTTTCTTTTTGTTTACTTTCAATCAAGTTAATTCACTTTTGTTTTACCAATCATAAAATGGATCCAATTAATAAATCAATGATTATTGATAATCATATGAATAGTAAGTTAAATCATAATAATAATTGTAATTTCAAAGTTGATCAAATGATTTGTATGAAAGGATATCCTGTTAATGGTGAAACAATTGCCGGTAATCAAGATGATGATACTAATTGTGATACAACAATCAATTATCAACCAGATGAAAGTGATAAACTGAAACTATCTAAATCAGTTCGTGAGACTATTTTTGATGATGTTGGTCATTATTTTAATCAATTATCGAATTACTTGAAATCGTCAAATTTAAAAGTTAATCATAAAGAATCTGAATCATCCTTAATCGCCCTTCAAATTGGATTTAATCAAATCCTGATGACATCCTCTCGCTATGAATATAAACACTTGCCCGCCAATGGTTTTGTAACTTACTGTGTTCTGATACGTTCCTGGTTAATTAGATGTTGCGAAAAGTTAAATTGTAACAATCAAGCCGATCAATCCGCTCAGAAATCATTTCTTAATGATATACAAATTGTGATAAAAGGTTTCCTTTTGATTAAGGAAATGTTGATGCATTTCCATCAGACTCAATTAGAGGCACATCAAGTGTCCAAAAGTGCTGATGAGATTAATGAAAATGTCGATGATGATAATGCTGATAGCGATGACAATGAATTAGATTTACCGTTATTTTCGGCTACAATTGATGAGACAGTTTATCAGCTTGATAAGTGTTTACAATCAACTGATTTCCAAGAAGCATTGGCAAGATCGTTCAGTATGTTCTGGTTATCGCCTCGAACTAAAATGTTGTTTCAGTTGTACCAGAAGGGGATTTCTTGGACCTACGCTAATTTCATTAAATCGTGGCGAGTTCTGGCCAGTAAACGCTATCGATGTAAAACTTTTGTTAAACTTGCCAATCGGGCGAACATGGGGTTCCCCGTTGATGTGGCCGCAGTTATCGATGGTCATTTGACTAGAAAAGTTTGTCGAAATCTACTCTATCGTAATAAAGACGCAATCGGTTCTAACTTTTGGGTCAATCGACAAGGCCGATGGTTTGTTCCACCCATTGGTCCAGGGATAGTTGAGGAAAACCCGATCATCAATGGTCGACCCCAAATCCGATGTCGATTCATTAAACATCGATGTAAACCAATTCGAACTGAAGTTTTGATCTTCCATTGTCACGGCAGTGGTTTCATACTTTCCAGGCCTGATGTTCATGATGTGAGTTCGATGATTTTTTTTAAGAACTTTTTTTTCCTCCTTCAAACTTTTTCTCATATTTTTCCTCTGTAAATTATAACGATAATTACCTTTAATTATCACTAATTGTTTCAGTTGACTGTTGGCTCGTTTGCGGTTGATTATCAACAGTCATTAAATTCACTTCCAGCAAAAATTTAATTACCATCATTGTTAATTGTTTTTAAATTACAATTAATTCTTGTCATTGAATTGAATGTTGGTTAGTTTTAATTGTCCAATTAATCAAAATCCGTAGCCAAATATACCGATGTAATCAGACACCTGACAATTGTTTTTACTGGCAGTTGAACAGGAATTAGTTAATTATCATTCAATTGATTTCCTGTTTACCTAATTTGATCACAATTAGAGATGAACAGCAATTGATTTGTAAAATCAGGTTGAGAATTGATTCATAATCAGTTGATTGTTGTGATTAATGTTACAATGATTTAACTTGATTGTCAGTAAATTGTTACTGTATATTGATGCACAAGAAGATTAAAAGTAAATTTAATTGTCAACAATCAAGAAAGTTGACATTTTTTTCAAAGTTATTTTTATTTGAATGTTTATTCAACAATTATCATCTATCATTTTAATTTGTTAGTTAATTGTTATCAAGGCAAATTAGTTCAATTCTGTTTCAATAACAATGACAATCAACGGTTAATTAAATCAAATTGTTGATGATCCTTGATGATTAAAATTAAGAAGAAAATAAAAAATATTATTAATGAGATTTGATTAAAAAGTTGTATGTGTTTCTTTTTGTAATCAAAGAGCTACCAAACAATTAGCTGATTGTTACCACTCAGAATCACATTGAACAATCAAGAGCTTCAATAATCTTCACAATTAACTGATAAAGGATTAAATTAAGGTCAAGCTAATCCGATGTGACTAATAAACTAAAAGTAGCAATTTCGTTGCAACGATATCGTTAATAACCCCTAATCAATTAACTTATTGCCAGAGAATTGATATTTACAATTGAGATGTTTAATTGTCTACAATCAACTCATTGTTAAAACAGAAAATCAAGTTCAATGAACAATTAATTTAAATTGTTAATCATCAGAGAGAAGCGATAGAAAAATTTTCTCATTGATATTTCCTTGAACAATTAAATTATTCACTAATTTTGTTGTTACAATTGATCAGATAACAAGAAGATAAATAATTTACAGTTGAAATGTTTTCCAACAATTTAAATACGAGCGTTAGTTAAATCGTGAATGATTAGTGATTAAGAGATGAGGTTGATTAATCAGTTAAAAACACCATTAAATTGACAAGCTAAATGATTAATAAATGAAAGTCAAAGTGACAAAAATGAAAATGTAGTTAATTAAACGCCAATGGTTGGTTTAAATTGTAATTGCTTCAAGCAACTTTTTCAATACAATTGATTGATTTGATTTCCTAAAAATCAACTCATACAAATATGAAATTAAATTGTCTGGAAGAAAATTAAATTGCTAAAGATTGTTGTTAAAATGTATTACGAAAATGACGAAAGAAGTTAGTAACAAATTAAAATTGATTGATTTCCATTACGAGAGATTACAGAATTGGTAATAATTAGGCAACAATTTACTAACAACAATTTAAATTTAGCTAAGGAAACAATTGTATTCCTCCAATGGTCAACTTGTTTTATTAAATTTTTCCGAGAATTTCTAATTCAAGGTTAATTACCATTTTTTTTTCTTCTAAATTGTATTTCTTTCACGATTAACTTGTTCGTCAGGTTAATTTAGTTTAAATTGTTAACTTCCAATGGAAATCAATTGCTATGTTTGTCTTTGCCATTTACAATTTTGGTTGATTTTCAGTTGACAATTTATTGATTGTGTTACCAAGATAATCAACTACATTTGATTACTTTCACCATTCTGATAAAACTTGCAATCAACTGATTGTTGATTGTTGTAAATATCATAATGATGATGATTATTAGCATTTTGCAATCAAATTTTGCAACAATTAGACGTAAACAATTTAACGTCACTCTTTGTAATCAAAGGTCCACAGAAAAGTAATCAATTATTCAATTGAATTAATTATGAGTCGAAAATGCAAAATAAAAACTAAGATTAACTTTAAATTAATTTTCTTGCTAAAATTAAACCACAATTAAATTTAATCTAAAAATAGATTAATTATTCTCAGACATAATCAGGTTTTAATTTAAATTCAGTAAACACGATTAACTAATCGACAGAGGTACAGTTTCAGTAATCAGTTGATCATTAGATTATTGGGAAAAAAATGAGAAAAAAACAACAACAATTAATTAACCATAGGAATTATTTTGTTTACCAAAGTTTCTGTTATTAATGTATTTTTAATTGTGATTAAAACTTAAACCGGTTTCATTGATCATTAACTTTTGCCGTATACAATTAACAGACAGATACTTAATTTACCTTCGGGTAATTTAATCGTCCTCGAGATCTAATCAAAGATTAAGATTAAATCACTCAAAGGTTGACAAGAAAAAAAAATATCACAGAGAAAATTTTTCCAGCAATTAACATTCACCTAATAACTAAATCTAATTAGCAATTTATTAATACAATCTAAATTGATCAGATATTTATTCACAAGCAAAGAGAAAAGTTGATTATCCTGATTAGTTGATTGTTCTAAGAGCAAAGTCTTAATTGTTATCACAATGAACTTGAATCTCTGAGTGGATTAGATTCTCATTAATCCAACTGTAGATTGTGAGTTGATTTTATCCAAATTTAAATTAGATCAGTTAAATTAAGCTCTTCCCTCTCAGTTAATCATAACAATTTAAATCAAATTGTGATCAAGTTGATTTAATAATAACTAATATAAAATAAATCATTCACAGTTAATAATCAATAACATGAAAAAGTTGCCAATCAGTTTTGATGCCAAAATGTTGAAGCCCAAATTTTTACAATCTAATTGTTAGTTTAACCCAATTTCAACATAATCCCAGAGCTAATTGATTATTAAATCAACTTTGAGTCCCATGAACAATTTGAAACTGTTATCTGCCAAATTTAAACCAAATTGAGGAATAAACAAACAATTAACTAACATTGGTTACTTTCCTTTATGAATTTACAATATGGAAAACCATATGAATCGAAATGAATAATTAACTGAATTAGAATATTTTCCAAAGTGGATTTGATTTAATCACTTTACTAATTTAATTCACAGGCTTATTTGAAACCTTGGGTCGCTCAGCTTGATGGTGTTTCCATTCTGAGTGTTGATTACAGTTTAATGGCCAAGTATCCTGAGCAATTCCAGGATGTTCTTGATGCTTACCTGTGGGTTACCTCAGGGGATGAATCTGTGGTGGAAAAGATTGGTTTCCATCCAAAGAAAATAATTCTCATCGGTGATTCAGCTGGTTCCATGTTGGCAATGTCAATACCTTTACTTTTACATGAGATTAGAAAAAAATCTCAATCAAATGAGAACAACAATAGAAATCATCTCAACAATAATAACATAGAAACACCATCAACACCGATTAACATGCCCTTTGCATTTATATCTTTCTATGGGACTTTTCAACTGACCGGTGCTTGGTCAAGCTCCAGAATAATGACAATTTTTGACCCACTTCTTCATTATGGTAATATACTTGCGATTGCTGGATGTCTTAGTGGTATTCAAGGTCGAATTGATGAACCAAAAGATATTCCCAAAAATCGATTGGCCAAAGTATCTTCGTACATTGCTGAAGATATAAGATTAGTCAGTAAGTTTGCTAAGAAAAAAATCGAAAATTTTTAATTTCTGATCTTCTCATTTCTTCTCATAGAGCGAAGTTTTTTACCTCGCAAGGTTCACCCATGGTACATTGATAACGGTCGAATAGCTGGTGATCAGTTTCAATCACTATTCAAACGATTGCAATCACCTTATCTTAATTGTCCGACATTTGATTCGTACGAGGCTTTGAAAGAGATGTCATTATGTTTGATTACTTCATTTGGATGTATCTTCCTTGATGATAATATTGCACTTGCACGATCTTGGAAAGGTAAAGACAATTTATGATATAATATCAACAAAAAGCCCCTTAGGCTTAATTGTTATTTTTTATACGAAAAATTTAAACAACCAAACAAACGAAAGTGAATGAAAAGTTTCATTTCCCTTTCAAGTTAACTTGAAGAGTAGAGAGAGCGTAGGGACATCTATGTTCACTCGAATAAACTATTAATATATTCGAGTGATTTTTCCATCAACAGTTTAATTCGTATTTACTTTAGATTCACTGTGCTAACAGTGAATAGTTTTGACTGTCAAATCTAATAAATTGTTTCTCTTTTCCAGGACCATGTGAAGTTCATGTTCTTGAGGGACAAATCCATGGATTTTTATTCATGCGACATGAAAAAGCAGCGATTCAATTTGCCAATGAAAAAGTTATACAATTTGTCAATAAATTGATCAAATCGGAATCCACACTTAACTCTGATCAATAAGAGAAATTTTTAAATTTCTTAATTATGTTCTCTGTGAGAATGATCTTAATGTATATTATGCTAAGATTTTTATATTATTAAATGTTACATTGTATTTTCTTTAACTCATTGAAAAAATTCATCCACTTTCACTGAAGTAATTTAGTAATTCAGTTAATGGAAAAGCCCTTTAATTTTGTATTATAATCAATTTTTCTTTCAATATTGGAGAAGGACTAATATATTATCTGTTTACAGAAAACTGATCGAAGTCGTTAGCATTACCATGTGATAAAATTACATAGATTTACTTACAAATACGTTCAAAAGGTCATTGGGAATTCCCGTTTCAACTATTCTAAATCACAATCCAATCGGTATGCAATTTCAGTCAATCAACTCACAAACTAATCAACTGAATTATCCTTATTTCCGTTGACGATTTTTTATATGTCTCATTCAGAAACTAAAATTAATTTAATTAATATAACTGAATAAATTGTTTCAGTTAAAGGTTTAATTGTCACATCGAAATTTTTTTTTAATCTAGAACCTCAATAGTTGTGTATCGAGATCAAAGATAAAATTAAGTTTAATTTGTTCAGATTATCCTTAAAGCTTTGAATTCAAGTCTTTTGATGATTTTACCTCAAATATTTCATTACATTGAGTGAATACAATCGTCATTTAGTATCTATTGATGGAAAAGGTTTTACTTGTGGTGAAGTCTATTCAAAATAAACACGCATTGTTAATGTTTAAAAATCATCCTAATTGTTTTATGAAATAAATTGAGGCTTAATTTTAATCAAGATCATATTTTGTTTCGTTTATTGTTTTGTAATTTTAGGATTTAAGACAGAAAAGAAATAATTGGTAATCCCTTTTGACGAAAGCTAATTACAAAAAAGACGGTCAAGACCCTGTGTAATTTTATCTAGGCGAACCGTGTCCTTTTCGGCCAAGTACAATTCTATCTCTGGGTGCGGTCGAACAGAAAGAAAATATCGTAGGTCTTTTAGAAGACCAATAGTTTCATCTACTAATGTACAAGTTAAACTATTCGCTCGATATGCAGGGTCTAATTTTCGATAGTCAGGAGGACTTTGACCACCGAAAGCATTCGGATTAATTTCAGGCAGAACAAAAGCTTCACTTTTAACAGAAGCCTCAGCATCAGATGACTTACCCTCTATCATTGGTAAAATAGTCATATTAATAAATAAAAGCACCAAGATAAAAATTGGAATTCTAGTCAAATTCATGATTAGATTTTTGAATATAATGAAGAAACAAGAACAAGAAAAAGCAAAATTTAAAAATAATAATAGTTTTTGATACACTCGTTAGCACTTTACTTTTACTAGTGGAAAATAACACTCGTTGAGGTTTTCTTTTATTATTAAGAGGTCATCTGACACGTTAATTCAACTAATTACATTCAATTAAACAATTAAAGTTTTTTTTGATGTTGTTTTGTTTTGTTTGAAGCTATAAATTTATACAGTAGTAGTATGTAAGTGTACCCCTTAAAAGCAGGTACCCCTTAAATGCAGGTACGAGTTTAAATGCACTCAATATTTGATCACCAGATAATTGAATTAAACATTTTGTTGCTTCCTTTTCCGTTAGAGTTAATTACCCTGAATTGTTTAAAAATAAAGGCAGGTGAAGAAAGACTAAAGAAAAAACGTTTCAACTATTGAATTAATTATTTTCAATTTTATAAAAGGGAAGCCTTTGAATGCATCACGTAAACTAAACATGAAAAACAAACAGATAATTACTATCGAAAATGTTTGTTCATGATGGGTGAAAAGTATCGAATTAGATAGTTCAGCTTGCATAAGAAAATTAGTATAAAAAGAGAGAAAGAAAAAGAGAAGATTATCAGTAATCTATTAACTTTCAATTCTGATTGATCTCTTGGAAACCCATTCATCCTGAGTTGGATCATCTTGTTGAGCTTCAAGGTTCATCTCTCTCGTTCTCGGTCTTTGGATCATCTTGTTGAGCTTCGAGGTTCATCTCTCTCGTTCTCGGTCTTTGGATCATCTTGTTGAGCTTCGAGGTTCATCTCTCTCGTTCTCGGTCTTTGGATTATCTTGTTCAGCTTCAAGGCTTATCTGGTTTAGTTCTCGGTCTTTGGATCATCTTGTTGAGCTTCAAGGTTCAAATCTAATTAGCAATTTTTCAACTTTTTGATCAACAACAATTAATAGTTAGATTGTTTTATATTAAATCAAAGGTCTTGTTTAGTAGGTTGGATTAATATATAAACCAAATTAATCGGTAAATTGGTTAACGAGTAATTAACTAAAAACATTAGATTTTCACTTATTTTTCTGGTCCAAGTGAACCATTGGGACCGACACTAATTTTAGTGAACATTAAGATGAAAGTTATACATCAAAGAAAGCTCTTAATTAGCTGAGCTGAATTATATACAAATGAAAACCCTAAGTTAATTACTTACCGAGATATGGACACAAACGTTTGGACCAATTACCTTAATTTACCAATTTCATCTTTTCATCTTTTCCCTTTGGCTTTTTCACTCTTTCTCATCTTAATTATAATTGTTTGAGCACCTTAATTATAATCCTTTTGAATGGTATCCATATGATGGTCACGGTGTCTCCTCGTTTTCACAATGACCTCTCGTTAATCTTTTAAGTAAATGGTAAATCTCTAGTTTAATCCTTTTGTCTTTGTAAGTTAGTACTATTTCAGGCTAAAATTTTCAGAGAATTCATTCAATTGATAGATTTGGTTGAAACTGTTGGTGCTGTTCTGAATGAAGTTTGGTCATTTTTGGTTTGGTTTGATTAGGTTAGGTTAGGTTTGGTTAGGTGTGAGAAGTAAACCTAATTAATTATAACAATTAACGGCCCGGAGGGCCTCGGACTTCCAACATAATTAATAAAATAACCAAGGGCCCGGAGGGCCTCGGACACTCAACCTACCCAGCTACAATACCTAAGAATCGCAAAAATTTTATATTTATCCTATTTAAATCTAGCAAAAACAAAAGGATTAACATTAATGTTCACTTAAAATATTGTGAAAACGAGGGAGAATCGATGGTCACTTGTCCTCCTTGCCTCGTCCATTGTGACCATCCAATTCTCTCGCTTATCTTTATGCTCCAACCTCTTCGTCTTCGAGTTAATCCTCTTTACTTTTCTTGCTTATTTTTATTTGTCTTAATGGACTTGATTATCCTGAGTCCATTGATCGCTTCCAGGTCACTTCAACTGCCACTAATTATGAGTCGACCAATAACACGAAAGTGACCAATTATGGACATGTTTTCTTTTCTCTATTTAAATGAAACTCTTTACAATAAATTTACACACCAAGTTACTGACAACACCACCGATAAGTTACCTTACTCATTTTTGTTTTGACTGCGCGTTTAACTGCTGAATCCTAACCGCGATTGTGAGAAGAGTAAATTATTACTAATTTAGTTGCATTGTGTCAATGAGAAGATCTCAATTAAACCAACAACTTATTTAGACAATTCTAAATATTGTAGTTTCGGAGATATTAGCCCTCGAAGATCAAGGGCCACTCTCTCATTCCGGTAAAACTGTTGATCAAATGAAAAAGTGCTCGATCCACGATGTTAGCCCATACTAGGATAGTCTCAAAAATAAGTTTCAGATCATTCTCGACACTTGGGACTAATCGCCGTCCATTTATTTAAATACAACGGAATTGTGGCCAGAGCACTTTGGATATTTTTTTACCAAAACAAATTTAATTTTCTGTAAAGGCATGAAAAGTTGTCGATAAAATAAAAATTTCATGATCTAAAAACTCATCGTTGCTGAGAAAAAGTGACCTGAAGTTTTAACTTCGAACTCGATTTTCTCGAAAACCGCTGATCAGATCAGAAAAAAATAAATATATTTGGACTTCATATTTGTGACCCTAAAAACACAAAAAGTTTCAACTCTTAACTCAAAACTAAAATTCGGCGACCATCCTCCTTAATTCATTACTGATTGTATATTTCATCTTCATGATTCTATGAGGATGAATTATTTTTCTATTGGTACAGTTACGATTAAAAATTTAAAGATACATATTAATATAATTTATGTTACGTTGCTCAATATTAATAGCTCAGATGTGATTATTAGGTATGAATGCTAAAAAATGTATTTGGAATCATCTTCGGATAAGGTGAATTGTTTTTAATTGTTTTGATCATCATTACATTTTAATTAGAACCATAACATGTATTTATCAGGAAGAAAAAAACAATCAATTGATTTGATAAGAAACTTTGGTTTTACATTAAATTAATCGGTTAACAATTGAATTAATTTTCTCGTCGATCTGTTAACAAAAAATTATCATTGAAATAACATTATTTTCATTTGTAACTGTTGGGATAAGGATAAAAGGTTAATCAGAATTTTCAATCTCTACTTAGGGATAAGAATCAATCAGTTTCAACTGAATTTACTAATTGTTCATCTTTGCTTTTACTGGACTTTAACATATTATATGTATCTACATTCTTGAATAAGATTTGTCGAAATTTTGGGTAAAGATTACGCTCAAGCTACAAGGATTCTATGAAAGGTTAAGGTATCAAAAAATTCAGCCGAAAATCCTACAAAACGGAAAAATAGTACGAACAAAATCTGAGTAGCCGTTCATGAGAAATTCTGACTCGAAGATTTTGCTGTACGCATGCGCAGTTAAGCTTTTTTACAGCGCGTATTTCAAAAAGAAAGAGAAAGAAAGAGAAAAAGAGAAAGAGATGAAAAAGAAAGAAGAAAAAGAGAGAAGAAAGAGAGAGAAAAAGAGAAAGAGATGAAAAAGAAAGAAGAAAAAGAGAGGAGAAAGAGAGAGAAAAAGAGAAAGAGATGAAAAAGAGAAAGAGATGAAAAAGAAAGAAGAAAAAGAGAGGAGAAAGAGAGAGAAAAAGAGAAAGAGATGAAAAAGAAAGAGAAAAAGAGAAAGAGACGAGAAAGAAAGAGAAAGAAAGAGAAAGAAGAAAAAGAGAGGAGAAAGAAAAAGGAAGAGATGAGAGAGAATGGGACGAGAGAGAGAAAGAAAGAGAAAAAGAGAGTAGTGAGAAAGAAGAAATTTAGTTTTGAATTTTTTTATTAAAAAACGATTCCCATTTCAACAAACCACGGGTCTGGCAAACAACCTTAAAAAAACTTTCGTAAGAAAGTTTTTTCCCGCTTGTATAAATTGAATGATTTTGAAGTTTACAATTAGTTAATTTTGTGGTTGTTTCTTGATCAATTGGCAATTGTTTGTTGGTTTTTAATCTCACAATTAATGGTTTGATTCAGTTCTTGGATTCTGGTGAAAAATGAAAACTGAAAAACAAATTGTCACAATTACCCAATTTAAATTATTAATAAGTTAATTTGTTCATCTTTTAAATTGTAAATTTTGATTAGTAATTACGATTTGTTAATTGTTGAAAAGGGAAAATTAATTTTCATATTTATAATATATTACAAAGGTAAATTATTAATAATAGTATCATTATTGGTTAATTGTTAATTTGAGGCAAAAAATTTGTTGACAATTTTGTGAATAATTAACAGTTTGAGATGTTAATTGTTGTTGCTGTTGATAAATTACACAAAATTACTTGATCAACCAAAGTGTATTAAATCATCAGTAATCTGATTAAACAATTTAGAGAATAATACAAGATTGATGATTAGTATTATTATTTGAATCATTAATTGTTGACGTTCTATCGTTAATTGTTGGTGATAAAGTGGAAATGGTTACAATTGGATTGGTAGTTGATGATGTTGTGACCAATTGATTGTTGGATGTTGGTTGATTTAAGGTCGTTGATGTGAGTGAAAATTTAATTGAATCTCGGTGATAATCAAGATCACCACTGATATAATTAGCTGAGTGATCCAAACACTTTGATTGATTAATCTCAATTAAACGTAAAATATCCCGGAAGATTGGGACAATCCTCCAATTATATTTAGCTGAGCATTCAAGGTAATTACATTTCCATTGTTTTTTAACTAAATTAGCTAATTCCTTGAAAGCTGGAGTTAAATCATCCCAATGGTGATGATTATGGTGAAAATGAAGGCGATGATGATGATGATGATGATGTGATGATGAAGAAGAGGAGTGAGTCTGTTGTTGCTGTTGTGTTTGTTGTTGATTTGGTTGTTGGTTTGGTTGTTGGTTTTGGGTTTGTTGTTGTTGTGCAGCTGATGATGAGTTAAAATGGGTATTCCTTTGGGTTCTTGTTGATAACCATGATGAATGATGATGAGAAGATGAGAAAGATGATAAAGTTAAACCAGAGAAACGTGGATAAGTTAATGGATAAAGTGAGTAACGTGAGTGACTTGAGTGGTGGCTGTGGCTACTCCTCATGTTATTTAGGACACTTGTACAGAGATCAGCCTTATTGCCGACCACATAGACCGGAATATTGGACATATTTCGGCTTTCAGATAGTTGATCACGAATTACTTTGACATATTGGAAAGATCCTGAAAAGAAATCACATTTAATTAGATTAGTATCTTCAGTCAACCTTTGTGCATAATTGAAGGTTAAGGTGTTGATTGATTCAATGACTAATGTTATAACATGAAAATTGATTGAGACCATAAATTTTGTATTCAATCTGCAATTTCAATGTTGATTCAATGAGTTTGTGTTTGCATAGGGGTTCTTACTGTTAATTAGCAAAGTTAATCAGGTTATTATCATTAAAGATACTAACTTATAAGTGATAATTACTACTGATAACATAACAAAATCTTAATCATTTACTTCATTTTTGGGTTTCCCATTTTGATTAACATTTATCACTTATTTTTGTTTATGTTGGTCATTTTTGATTATGATTGAAGTGGACATTGGCTACTACTTGTTCATCTTAAATTGTATTGAGTCTTGAATTTTTCTCTCTCTTGGTTTCGTCTTTTTTTCCCATGGACTCATGGGATTCAGATGATAAAATGGTTACACTCACTTGAATGTATTATAGAAATAATTTTTTTTCTCTCCATCTCAATCATCTGATTGTGAACCTTTTCTTGTAGCCAATTGTTTTGTCACTACTCTATGTTGTTTCCATTGTTAACTTAATTAACTTGTCAACTGATGAAGATGATGATGATGTGCTCATGATACTGATGAACCAGGAAGAAAATGAGATTAACAGCCAAGCGTGTAAATGAAGACACTTTTTTTCTGATTGTCTCACAGGAGGAAAGTGAGAAAGTTTCAATTTCAACACAGAATTGATATAAAAACCTCGAATTATAATCAACAAGAGTGAGTGTCATTATCCACAAAGTATCATTATCACTCATTGGTACCATCAAAAGTTGAGAGCTGATTAATCAGTAAATGGTTTTATCACCAATTATCTTAATCCAAAATACTGATCAAAATGTTATCTCCAACTATTAGCTACAAATGATTAACAGAAAAGATGAAAGCTAAACAATACCTGGTAATTACCTTTCACCACCAAAAGTAATACATTAATTATTCATACTCATTGAGTTGAACTAATTATTATCGCAATTGAACATTAATCATCATTGTCAACCCTTATTACTAAATCAGTCTAATTGTTATAATTAATTTGATATTAACCGCAGGGGTAATAACATCACCTCTCTTATCATCAAATACTTCACATGGATCAGGAACTACGATAGAATCATGATAAGCCCTGAGCACTGAATTAAGAAGTTATTACAATTATATTGTGCAAATGGAGTAGAAAATATCGAGGAGTGGGTTAGGGTAAGGAAGAGGTTTTCTCTTTTCTCAGGAAGAGAAAGAAAAGAGAGAGAGAGAGAGAGAGCACGAGATGAGCCTGAGAATGAATTTCTGAATCTGAATATATTAATAAATAAATAGATTGTTGGTTGAAGCTCTAATTATACGTTTCGATTTTTGGAACTCGAAGAAATCTTGACTTGGAATACTTTATCAACATTTTCTATCTTAAACTAACTATTATAATCAATTGTTATCATCGCTCTCATGATAAATCATTTTCAACAATACAATTTGAAATTTAACTTTGCAATCTAATAAAGGTTAATAATAATATCCGAGAGAAATGTTACAAACTTGAAGATTATTTCATGGCTTTTATCAAGATGTATCATGAAATATTGAATTCTAAATAATATTATTTGTTATGATAAAGTAAATATAAGAAAAAATTGAATCAGAGTAACAATCAGTTTAAAAGAGTAAAAATTTTCCTCTTCCTTTTCATATTTATTATCACATTATATTATTAATATGAGACTGAATATTTCAAGTTCTGTATTCCAGAATTTCAAATTATACACCATGATAATATTCAGCTAACATGATGCTCAAAGAATCATCAACTACTATATATTATTATATTAATATGAAAGTTAAACTTCATCCACCTTCATGAGTAACTCATTTATAAGAGTTCATCATCATCATCATCTTCATGAATTTATCTTATTTGTGCTTTTTTCCTATTCTGATGAATAAAGATAATCACTATCATGTAAACTCAATGGAATTGATATAATCAATTGGGATCATGTTAAGACAAACAATCAATCAGTAAATGAGTGGAAACATTTGAGGCAAAAATTTGATTTCTTTGCCTTATCCATGATGAATGATCATATTAATAATATAAATCTGTTGAGAATCAAAAATTCATTGCAAACCAATCATGATCACAAAAGAAACCAAAATCATCATGAATAATGATTAATATTCAAGAAAAAGTATTTGCATTATCAATGAACTTTTCCTTCTCTCTCTCTTTATCCAACTTTTTCCTCCATCTTCTAGAATTGCCTGTTCATCAATCATCAATCAATTGATAGATAAATTTCCTCAATGGTGATGATTAGTTTCAAATAATTTAGTTTTTGTGTCTTGTAGATTTGAGAAAAGTTCATTCATCATGAATCAACTTTTTCCCTTACAGTTTGTTTATAATGATAATGTTTCCAGTTTACTTGATTCCTCATCAACTGAAATATCTTGTTGGCAATTTTCCGGCAATCAGTCATATTTAATGTCATCAGCATCAGATTTTTTCTCTTCTCTTCTCATCTTCATCATCATTTATCTTCTACCTAAAACAGAAAATAACAGTAGTATGTTTATGGGATCTTTATCATTTTCCATTATTCCTTTTTTGGTAAAACTTTTTTTTTGTTCATTCTTCTTTCGAAAACAAGAAGGAGAATAAAAAAAAGTCTCGTCATCAGCAGGTTACAATCTCCATTTAATAATAAAGCATCATAGTCCACCCACTATCATCAACATCACCTTCCCATCTTTCATCATCTGTGATTCCTCATCTTCCTCCTCCCAAGAATCAACTCTACTATAAGTTATCATCATTATTATTAAAGCCTCGAGTATTAAAAGTAATATAAGACGTGATAAACATGAGTAAGAGAGAGTAAGAGAGAGAGAGAGAGAGAGAGAGAGAGAGAGATGATGATGATGATGATTAGTGAATCGTAGAGGCAGAAAAAGCAGATGAAGATGATGAGAAAGAAGGAAAAAAGCGAGTGAGAGAGAAATTGATATTACAAAAGTTATATATTTTCTCCTTCATCTTCATCTCTTCTCATGAGTCTTATGCTCTATGAGTTATTCAGTTGATTCAGTTTCATGTAATATGCAAGCCTAAGCATCAACAGCAGAGTATCAACAATCAATAAAGGGTTTTATATATGAAGCCTTTTTATTGTTATATTATATTAAATGAAAATGCAAGAGATGAAAATATTCAAGAGGTAGACATGAGATAGATGATGAAAACAAAGAGGAAGATGATGAAAGAGTTTGCAGGAAAAAAATAGGAATAATATTATATTAGGTAAATACTAAAGATTCTGAGTCTTCCATGGGAATAGAATTAGAATTGAAATAGACGAGAAAAAAAAGAAAAACGAATTGCATAACATTCAGTAAGATGGTGATCTGTATCATCATCGTAAAGATAATGTTAACAGTATTGATAACATTTTGAATCATGTAGAGAAAAATAATTCAGATTATTCATTTTCTTTTATATTATTTGATTGTTGATGCACTTAATACCTTTGCAATTGTAATAGTTTGATTCTGAGTGTGTCCAATGTCTTGGTAATCATTTCTAACCATGATGATACAATTAAAGGATGGAAATGAGTTGGTTAACTGATGAAACTTATAACATTAAATTGACCGAGAAAACTGATAAAACATTGTTAATGTCCAGGTAAAAATGTTGACACACCTTTGAGATTTGCTTTTGTTGAATTACTAAATTAACTGACCAATATACTCAATGATGACATTTCAAATACAATTCAACAGGGAATCTGAATCATTCCGGTTTCTTGAGTAGTAGTACAATTTAAATTTCACTAAAATCCTGACCATAACCTTTTCCCAGTCCACTTTTTTTTTACTTCAACTAATTACCATCATAATCAATATCAAAAGTTGACCAAAACCATTGAAAACTTCAATTCTCTGAACAATTAACTTGATTAAATTCAACGAGTTCAATTAATTGAGACAAAGGCTTGAAATCCAGGCTCTTACTTTTAATTGAAGCTGATAATTTGATTTTCCAGTCAAATTTTAATATTGTTTTTACCTAATTGAAAAACTAATCATGGTCAAGTCTTTGCAAGTGAATTAACAATTAAGAGGTACATTTGGTGATTAGTTAATTGTTTAAAATAATGGCCACTAAGGTTTAATAACAATAAATGAACGATATAAACAAAAAGTTAAGGCTCAGGGTTCATGATGATGGTTAATATTTATTTTCACTGAATTTCAATTGAAATGAATGAAACTATTCAGTGGGTTGGAAATTTTGAAAATAAACTTGCCTTTTAATGATTCAAATATGTCATTAAATTGCAATTAAATTATGAGCAAAGGCTGATTGTTCATTAGGATAATCATTAATTTCTGTCATCTCTTTGCTCCGAAAACTAATTTATCTGAATCCATGAAAATCTAATGAATGAATATATTGTAATATGAATGAGGTAACAAAAGAAAAAGAGGAAAAAAATTGGATAAGATTATGATCGGAATTCAGTGAATTTCATGTTAACAATTTACTTTACAATTTTAGTTGATTGTTAATGGATCTTGTGAATGATGATTAAGACTTTAATTCTGATAGTAAGTTTATTCATCTATTAGTGCCACTTAATTTCAGTGCTGTAAACATAAATCATCAATATTATTACATATTCACTGAGATTGTACAACCAACATTATTATTATTATCATCATCATGGTGATGCTCATCATCATGATTGAAATTAATCTAATCTAATGGTTAGAAAAGGAAAGGAAATGTTATATATATTATATTTTTAAGAAAGAAAATTTTTTCCATCCTCATTATCATCACCTCCCACTTTTCATGGTAAAATTCTGAATAAAAGATAGTTCAACATGGAAAGAAAAATTTATTATCTCTCAACTAATGGAAACATTGAAATTATCAGATAACCAGGAAAAGGAGATTCTAACTGAATATAAGTTATCGTACAATTATTTCGTGTTAATTACATTTCTTAGAATCATCATCATCATCATGATAATGAGTCGGTGAGATTGCGAATTCATGTTAACGAAAATGAGAAGAAGATAATTTAATGTTTAATTAGGAGTAAACATAATTAGATTATAACTCTTATAATCTTTTACTTTTCTCTTCTCTATCAATTCATTTTTCCACTTTTATTATAATAATAATATCATGTAACCAAAGTGAGTATTGAGTGGGAGTATTTCTAGGGAATTGGAATATCAAAGTTTTAAGATGATGTTAAAAGGTTAAGGATGAAAGGTCACCGAGGGATAATAATGGTTAACATGAGAAAATGATGAAGATGAAGTGAAAATATGTGTTCGGAAAACTTTTAATTTTACATTTTCTCCTTTTAAAAAGTTTCGTAACTTGATTAATGATAAACTGACCATAAGTTGATTATGATTAGAGAGAAAATTTTATTGTTGTTGACCATTAATCAGTTAATCTCATGGTCATTTAATGCTCTTTAGTTTCATCTATTATGGCTTGACCAGTGAGCTTTTTTTTGTTACCTTATTTTGAAAGAGAACATCAATTTTTCAGATTCAATTGAGATTCATGTTTCAAGCTTTTTCCTTTTTCAATTGAATTTTCAAGTTCTACCAATGTTTTGACATAGATTCCGGGTTCTTCTTTTGTTATAAACATGGTACAGTCTGAGAATCTTGGTGAACTAACTCTGGTTAAAAGTATTTTCTATTTTCATTGTCAACATTCAATTCATGATTATCGTAAAAATCCTCATCATTTTCATGGTTCTATTGATACAAATCAAGGGAAATCTCTCCCTCTTTTCCTTGTGTATTATTGTGATGATGGTAAAGAGGATGAAATGCAATCGAAATGACCATTGGTTAAAAGTAGGTCAATAAGTAATAGCAAGTGAATAGAAGAGAGAAAGAAAAATTTAGGTGGGGAATCAATAATGAGAATCCTTGAAATCATTGGAATCATGTTTAACTTAACGAATCAATTGATAATCAGAAGCAAATTGAATATCAAATGCTGATTATTCAACTATTATTTGGATATCAGATTATCTCATGATATTCAGTGAGGAACAGAGAGAGAGAGAGAAAAAAAAAGAAAGAGATAAAACTAATGATTATCATGGTAACAAAAAAGTATCATGATAATGATCAGAATCTTTCAAAAGATAACGATTGAATTCAGGTTATTTGGAATTTATTTTTTGGGTTTTTTTTCCTCTTTCTACATTACAAATGATTTTTATCATTGATAATATCAGAATAATGTGAGATGACACTTTATGCTGATACCCAAAGAGAGGACAGATTACAGGGTGGGTTTGGTTAGTTGAAGGGAAGCTACTGGGAAGAGGAGGGAGATAATGTTTGGGGAACGGTGGATAAAGTGAAGAGGTTATTTGTGATGGAGAGTAGGGAAAAAAATCAAAGATTATGAAGAGAAGATGAGATGAGATAGAGAGAGGAAAGAGAAAAATCAAAAAAGAAAAAAATGATGAGCATGATCAGAATGATTATTTGGAACCGGAAATGATGAGGCAAAGAGTCAACAACAACTGAATTTGAGAATTTGTGGAGTGTTAGTGAGAAAAGATAAATGAAGAGTGAAGAAGAAAAAGAAAAAGAGAGAGATGATGAAAATGATACTGAAGATGGTGATGGTTAGTAGAATGAAAAAGTTCATCTGATAAGATGAAATATCCATGAAAATTTTCCGATTTCTCAATTTTCTGTTACATGGAAAGGTAGAGAAATGAAACATGAACACGAAGCATGGTTACTAACTTTGACTATTACCTCGATATTTGATTGGTTCCAACGTTCCTAATTCTTGGTAATGTTATCATGAAGGTTACTTTCAATCAATCAAATTTGATTAATTTGATAAAAATCAGATTTGAAATGGTAAATATTATAAAACTTTTGATCTAATACATTCATTCAACCATAGGTTAAGACTGACGCCTTATTACTGAACAGGGAGGTTGATTGTGGAGTGAAGTGAGTTCAATAGCTGATAATCAGATAATAATGAGGCAGCAGGAGGGTGGGAGATACCCTTAATCGTGGAGGATAAAGTTGACATGATTTGGATGAGATGATGTCAGAATTAAGCTGATTTCTGACATTAATCAATAACCATAAAGCTTAATAATGTTCATATTCACATTCTCAGTTTAATTGTGATTAGTATTATTGATATAACATTCTAATTGGGAAACAATATAATCTGAGACTCAAAATATAAACAGAATACTATTATCATCAATTCATTCATACTTCAAACAGAGTATCTTCATGTTGAAATAATCTCGCGATCAATATGATGATTAATAACAACTAATTCTGATTCTAATTCTGATTCTGATTCATACTATGAAACTTTTTCTTCCCTTTGAATAAAAACAGTTTCGTTCAAATTTACTGGCAAATATTATCCGTTTCCCTGTATTAATATATAACAATACAATAATGAGAGTAATCATGAAATTTTCATCTCTTTTCTAATGGAGGAAAAGTTGTTAAAATCTAAATTACGATTTCATGGTGGACATGATGGAATGAAACTCAGTATGAAGATAAATACAAAAACATGAAATGAATAAGAATCAAAATGGGAAACCTTAAACCTTACAAATTCATCTACCGGATTACTTTTAATAACCGTAAATACAAACGATGCTCAATGAAGATGAAAAGATGACCAGTAGCATGATGGTAAAGAATAGGAAATAATAATACTAATAGTGGACAGGGGAAAGATTATTACCTGGAGAGGTAAGATCAAAGATGAGAAGGTAACCATGAGCACTTCTTAGGGCACATCCTCGGTAATCTGTCCATTCGTAAAATGAATTGGTCGGAAAGTAATTAATCATTGGCATATCAATTATCTTTAATTGATAAACACAACCGTTCATTATGATGGTGAATGAGTAACTATTATCAATTGGGTTAAGTATCGTTGGCCCACGAGATTCAATGAACGTTGATTCCAAGAACTGTTGAATAATTGAGCTTTTACCAGTTCCAGTTGCTCCAAGAACTACAAGTTTAACAAGATGCATAACAATCCAATGATATTAATTAGATTTCGTTGATAATTAATAGAAAAAGTTTTAATAATAACACTCAGGTAAAAGGTTAAGGTGACGATGGCAGTGGCGGCTGATGATTTAAGATAATTATTAAGCAAATTTATCAAAAATTTAATCAGATAATTGTAGTGATTAACTATTGGGATTATATTGAAGATGAAGGTTCTGATGATGGTCAAGTCTTTTATTATTATCACATTAAACGGATTCATTGGCATCTTTGACCCTCCAGTTTGGTAACGGTTTATTATATTGATAACATGAAACACCAAATGATAACAATTGATAATAATTGTAACAATTAATCCTGATTATGGTTAAGATGTTAGATAAAATTGCAATAATCAATGAGATAATTTCATGTGACTTTTTCCGTTTCCGTCGATATAAACACCGATTAATATTTAAAAAGGGAAAAGGGTCAATAGTTGAAATGGTTTTACTATTGATTAGTAAATTGTTACAATGAATGTGTAAATTGTTGGTGTTCAATTTATGTCGCTGTTGATTAATTTTTTGAGCAAACCAATGAACCAATTTTTTGAGCAATAATGATAATAATAATTGACAATCAATTGGATTATGGTCTAATGTAATCAATGGAGATGACGATGATGATAATGATGAGGATGATGAGGATGATAACCTTATTATTATTATTATGATTATAATCAATTTGTTATCAATGTAACGGTAAATTACTGTTATTGCCAATGTTAATATCATAATATAATGATATTAGTATCATAATGATGATATTATAATTGTAATTGTATTACTATCATTGATAATGAATCAAGGGTAATCATAATTGTTGATGATAATTATGATAGTTATTGGATTGTAAACAATTAACAACAAATCCAATGGCTTTAAATTATCAATTTATTGCTTTAATGTGTTTCTCTTGATATATATAATTAAGATTTGTTATCCATCATCATTTAAAGTTATCACTTTTATCACAACAATTATCTTGATCATTTTCATGTTGATGGTTTTTCCTGTTGATTAGTTGATTTTATTACAAACATAATTTTTATATTCCTTGTGTATTTGTGATCACTGATTTTCCAGGATAAACTCAACTGATTTGGAATCAGAATTTTCAACTTTTTCTTTCAATTCTGATTGGTGATGTTAACACATAGAAAAAGAGACACAAACATTTGATTATTTGGAATTTTTTTTATTTCTTTTCAATTGTTGTTGATTTGTTGATGATTTTTGTCACTAAAAGAACAATATAATACCTTGAATTTCATGGATTTCAAAAGTTCAGTTCATGATGATGATTGAATTTCAGTTTAAAAATTGAACAGGAAATCAAGTTAAAAAAGTAAAGAGGCAACGATGAACTGAACTGGCGAAAGTGAGGAAAACAACTGATAAAAATGATTTCGTCGGCGGATGAAGATGAATTTGTAATATAATTAGAAGATGTAGATGATGATGAGGATGAATAAAGATGATAAGTTTGTCCAAAAAAGAGGCAAGTTGAAAACACTTTGTTTTTATTTATACCAAATAGATTACTTAATTTTCTGTCTCATCATCTTGCTTATATTCACTCTTTCTCTCTCTCTTTTTTTCCCTTTCTTTATGTGTAAAGTCTCTTACAATCATCATTATCATCTTATTCATCTTCTCTCTTTCTTTACTTGTTATTCTCTTTGTCTTTTTCTCTTTCTTTTCAAGCTTCTTCTTCTACTGCTCTTGAGCCTCTACCATCACTTGCCTTTTTCATTCTTCATCATCAGTAGAAGCAAAGGAAAACATCATCATCATCATTTCTCTCTCTCTCTCTCTCTCTCTCTCTCTCTCTCTCTCTCTCTCTCTCTCTCTCTCTCTCTCTCTCTCTCTCTCTCCATCCTTATCATCATAATCATTCTCATACCTCTTTCTCTTTCTCTCTCTTTCTTTCTTTGCTATTCCTTTTTGCTTAATCTCAAAACGTAAGCTTAACATTGCAATGGCGGATGAATGAAGAGAGATGAAGAGAGATGAAGAGTTGGTGGGAGGATGCGAAATTGGGAGAGACGAAGATGAGGAGGATATAGATCGATACAAAAGAGAAGATATTTCAGAGTCATCTCACCAATTTATTCTCTCTCTCTCTCTCTCTCTCTCTCTTCTTTCTTTCTTTCTTTCTTTCTTTCTTTCTTTCTTTCTCTATCTGTTTCTCATTCTGTCTTCATTTTTTTCCAATATACTATCAACATCCTTCACAGAATCTTTGAAAATGCTTTACAATTTTCCCTCTTCTTCCCAATTCCCTTTACCACCTTTCACTTTAATGGAGCAATTCAGCCCCTTCCCTTTTTCACCATCACACTCACTTTTAATACTTACATATCACTTACATCATTCTAATCATCCTCATCATCTTGAGATACCTTTTCATTATCCTAGCAGCATCCTAATCCTCAATTGATGAGCAATATAAAAAAAACTTTCAAGCAAACAATTCAGTTCATAAAAAGTAAATATTAAATATATACAATGTCAATGTTAATCAAATTAACACGGAAGTTAATTTAAATCCATAATCTTTTCCAGCCTCATGATAATTTACGCTTTTTTTATTCAATCATTTTTATCATATCCTTTTTAATTTCATCTAAATTATTTTTAAATTGCTTGTAAATATTTACAGTTGATTTTTTGTCATCAACAATCAATCGATTGTTTATCATTTCTGTTGTTTATCTTTCTTGTAAATAATTAGACAGCGATTGCGATGAAATCATTGACGATACTGTTTAGAAGTGGAAAATCACACTAATTGTTTTTGTCATTTTCTCACAACAAAATGAACCAATTTAAGTAAATTAATCTCAATTTCATGATATCAACTTTCATGATAAATAATATATATCATCATCTTCATCAAGACAAAAGATGCAATCATATACTTGACTTAATTGATCACCTGTTAGAAAAGGGTGATAAGGATGAAAGATGATGATGATGATGACAAGAAAGAATAAAATTAATGGGCAAGAATAAATTCCCATCTCTCTTATCATCATCATCATCATTGATTGTGGACAAATCTCTCTCTCTCTCTCTCTCTCTCTCTCTCTCTCTCTCTCTCTCTCTGTCACCCTTTATGTGCTGAATTAGGTCATCACCAAGCCTCCTAAATCTCATCTTCATCCTCATCCTCATCTTTTGCCTTCTACTTTTTTGTTTGTTTCAATTGGAAGAGAAAGAAAAAATCATAACATTGTTTTAATTGAATTAATTCAACTCAATTGATTATCGTTATTAAATCAACTTAATTTAGTTCAAGTTGACTGAAATCAAATCAAATGGCTCTCACACTTTGATCTAATAATCTTAATCAATTGACAAAATAAATCCAATCAAATTAAATTGTTTCACATGTAAATCAATCCAATCAAGTCACTAAACATTTGCTAATAATTTTCATCAATTCAATCAAGGACAGAACAAAATTTATATTATTAATAATAAATCTGAGTGAAGAATCTGCAACAAGAATAATCAGAAACAATTTAAATCTGAAATGATCATAATGGTATTGGTTTAATACGAAAGGGGATTAAACGACAATCATATCATTTTTTAAACGAAATAAAATTTCATCTCAATAAACATAACGGTAAAAATTTACCCTGAGGCGTTTAAAGTTGTTGCAATTTATTTAACATCAAGGTGATGTGGCTCGGTTAAATTAGAAACAAGGTTTTATTTATTTTCTTAAATTGTTTTTGGAGAAACCAAATTGTAATTTAATAACAAGTGAAAATAATGTTAATTTAATTGCCTTGTAATTCAGTTACAATTGTTTCAATATTGAATATAAACATAACGGTAAAAATAAATATCATTGAAAAAAAAGAATACAAAAAAAAACTTATAATGAAGATGAAACAAAATTCATGTTCTCAATGATGATAATGATGATAGTGTTGGTGGTGGTGGTGGTGGAGATAATTAATTTGATTAAGTTAATGAGCAAACAGCACTTGGAATATCCTTAATTAGTGAATCAATATCTTCTTGTTCATCAACAGGTTTATTACCTGATTTTGTTTTCTCATTATGCTTATTATGTTTACCATGATGTTTACTATTTGTCTTCGAGATGGATTGATGATGTTGTTGATGATGTTGATGGTGATCAACGTGTGGATGCTCTGAGCCTCGTCTCTTTAAACCTTCCAGATAAATGTCTCTGTTAAATAATCCAGCATTTAATGGAGCATCATCTTTGCCTGGTTTAACATGTATCTCAATCAGAGCGTAAACTGGCTTATGATCAGAAGTTTTAATTGATGTAACACAATCATAGGTGATACAATTAACTTGATTGTTTATCCTTTTAATTGCATTTTCTTGACTACTATTATTATCTATTTGATTTCTGTTGCTTCCACTTGAGCATTGATGTTGATGATCAGATGATGATGATGAACTTTTTTTCCTGTGATTAGTTTTAACTCGGTACAAAATCCTATCAGTGTAACTTGGAACTCGTTCAGAGAGTAAATCAAATCCATCTGATCCAATACGATATTTGTAGGTTGGAGCAAAAGAGATGCTTGAAGCTTCATTAAATCCATGGAAAATATCACCTTTATTCAGAGCCTTTCGAAGTTGATCATCATGAAGAAGTAGTTCGAAAGATGTTAAACTTGCTCTATTCGAATAAGAAAATAACAAAGAAAGAAAGAAAGAAAGAAAGAGAGAGAGAAATTTAAAAGAGAGAAAACAAACACCATGAAAGTGAATGAGAGAAAAAGACAATCTTCTTTTCAAGAACATTATCTGAATAACTTTGCAATTCCAATTTTACACGATTAGATGGATTCCTTATGAACACAAACATACACTCAGACTACATGGTAACATGTTTATATCTACACATACAATTTTCTGCGACGATGATAATACAAACAACATTCAACTCAGCGAGAAACATTCATCAATTGCATGAGAGAGATAAAAAGAGGAAAAAACATTGAGAATCTCAAATTCTTAAGATGAAAATATTTCATCATGAAAGAATATGAAGGTAGAAAAAATCATTCTCTTAGACAGAATTTTATCTCTTTACTCTCTTTTCCCTATCATGTTATTGATGGATTTAGAAAATGATGAGAAATTATGAGAAAATAAAGATGAAGATAAGTAGATGATGATGAAGAACAGAAAATAATCAATAGAAATCCAATCTCTTCGGGATTGGTTCTGAGGCCCGTTTGATTTTACTGAACATCATACATGATAATTAATCCTGAAGATTATGAGGTTGTAATTTAAATGGATTTTAATTAAATTGCAACTCTCATTTTCTATGCATGAATCTTGATTTTCACCTTGTTTCAAATCTGAAATTCATTGTTTGATTATCGAAATCTTAACAACTGGGAGTGAGAATGATGAGTGAGGTGTAAGAAAAAACAAATACCATGAACAATGGAAGATAAAAGTTATAATAAAGATAAATAGAGAAAAGCACGAGATAAATTGCATGGAAAAATTCAGTTCCAAGATTGAAGAAGAAAAAAGAAAAAAAGAAAAAGGTATGATATTGTATTCTCTTTGAGAATTCTGATGAAGATGAGAATAAAAAAGAGTGAAGAAAATGAAAAGATGAAGCATGAGAAAATGGAAGATGAAGAGAAATCATATTACTTATTAAAGAATAAGTAAAAGAAGAGGCGGATGATGAGAAAGATGATAAAGGAGAGAGAAAAAGTTGACATCCTGAGAGGAATTGCCTTCGAATGCGTTTCAACATGAAATCGTTTTTTCTTTTTTTTCGAAATTTCTAAATCACATATTTTTCTTCTTCAGAATTAACATAATGTTCTTCTGTCTCTCTCAAATAAATATACATGGAATACTTTCCTTCACCACCTACACCCAATTTCCAATCGTTATGGAATCTAATCGAGTTAGAACTTGCTAGTTAGCGAAATTTTTGTTCTATCAGATTTCTCTCTCCTCTCTTCTCGTGTCAATCTCATCCAAGATGGAGAGTTTAATCTTACTTTCGCCATCATCATCAACGTGATAGATAGTCAGAATATCGAGAAAATTCTGAACATCGATTGATGGATTGAGAGAAGAAGAAGAAGTAAAAACGTTTGCAATTACGAAAAAAAGAATAAAAAATCAATGATAATCTTTGTACAAGAGTAACATTGGAATCACTTGATACCTTTTAACTTGATTGAATTATTTTCATGGATTAAATTCAGATGAAAAACTATTAAATAATCAATTGAACAGATTCAAAGATATACTTGATTATCGCATGGTAATGGTTACGCAATTTCCATGGCAATTTCAGTTTTTTTTTGTTATTTTGTTTCTCTCTTTTTATCGAACCAAAGTTCAATCCTAATTCCTATGGGCATTCAATTAATACTTTCAACTGGTTATCATGATCATTATCAAACCAGAATATTAGCTAAATTTTCAGGAGAAACATTGATAACCGTATTGATTTCGAAGTTAAAAATTCATTATTCCAATCGAAAAACAACTTCAATGATAAATATTTATGAATTAGTGTTTCGAAAGTTATATTAATAATTAATAATTATTTTCTAATGATGAAATGATGATGAAATTGAATAATAACATTCAGATCAGAATGGAAAAAGTTGTGAATGAAATTGATTTAACTTCTGTTGTGATTATCATTTCAATAAGAGAATCATTAATTTCATCAAATGTTTCAGATTCCATGGTGAAAACCTAAATTGTGAACTTGGTTATTATCGATGGTGCTGATAAGCATCTTCATCTTTTGTCTCTTTTCTTTTTTATTTCTTCTCTCTATCTTATATATATACTTAATTCTGATAGAAAATTTTTTTCCTTCTCAATTCTGGTTGAATTTTTCTTTCTTTTCTATCACCTCCCTTTGTCTTTCTCTATCTATTTCCAAATCCTCCCCTTGTTACTCCTCCTGATATTATTTCACCCACAATAAATGTAATAATATCAATAAATAATGTATAGTTTGAACTGAACTGAGAAAAAAAATCGATATCAGAACAAATTTCAACTCATGATGAAAAAAAGATCATGTTTACATTTCCAGAGACATTTCTGAGTCTTTGCCATGTCACAAATTCTAGAAAATTTTCCATTTATTCTCTCTCTCTCTCTCTCTCGTTCTCTCTCACCTTCCAACCAATATCATCTTCAACATTAATTATCACTATGAATCATCATATGAAACTTTCGTCAAACCAGAAAACTTCATTTCACCGATATATCAATTTTGTGTCAACAATCATGATGATTATAAGAAGATAAAAGAGAATGATGGGAAGAAAAATTTCCAATTCATTCAGAATCAATTTTCATGAAGATAATAAAAGATAGACACAAATCGATGAAAAAGTAACAAAAAAATCTGAATTTCTAAATACAATTCAACTGGGAAAATGTATCCAAATGAATATTGGATGATGAGAAAAAAAATTTAGTAATGAAAATGAGTTTTTTTCTCTTTTTCCTTCCATTACCATAATAAGTTTATCAGAGAGAAAAAAATATTGGAATCATGAAGAAAATTCTGAAATATATCAAGTACTTACAATGAAGATAATAACAATGACTTATATTAAATGATAACAATGACAATATTTAGATTCTGGGTCAAGGGTCTGAGGTCATCATGATGATGACCAGAACTTTTTTTCTGCTCTAAAGTAAATAGGAAAATAATAATATCAATATAATGTCAGGAAAAAGATGATGAAGGAAAGTGGGTTTGGATGATAAGTCCCAAGGTGGGAAAAGATGAAACAGAAAAAAAAATATAATAATAATGAGCAATACAAATATTTCCACTCCCTTTACCCTGAATTAGATTCAATATCATGATGATGGTGATGATAACAATGCTATGAGAAGTTGGAGTTTGGATGAAAATTATTATTGTTTTGTTCAGTTAGATTATTGATCGATGGTCATTAATTCAATCATTGATCAATTTATCAATAATAAATCTGAAGATAATATGAATGTGCTCAAGGGGAAGGTACATAATATTAATCGACGAGATTAACAAGGAAAAGGAAGTAATTATTATCGACTTTTGTACATTAGATTCCAGTCTTCTTCCGCTTCCTCGAACCTGCTTTTTATTTCTTATTCACCTTCAACTTTACTGTTTAATCTGGATAAGTTTTTGTGGGTAATTTTGGTTATGTTAAATTGATTGTAATTCAATGAGATCCAAGGGAAACTTACTTGGTTAACATTTTCAAGGCTTCGGTGTAATTTTGTTCAATCCGGAAGTTAAGGTCACCAAACCAGAAGACAAAATCAAATCGAGAGGTGACATCGTTAACAGATTGATATGAAGGCTTCAAGGGTCTCAGGTTACGAGGTAAATCAAGGGATCGGCAAATTTTAACATAATCATCAATACGATCTTGGTTACGATTTGGGTGAGCGGGAAGATGACAGTTGATAAATAACAGGCTGGTACCAAAGAGAGTAAATGAAATGGCCAAAGCTCCTTTGGTTTTTACCATGTTGGTTGCCTTTGAACGGGAATTGTAACTATCATCTTCGGGAATCGACACGTACCAGATTAGATCGCGACGGATAAAAATGTAAAGCGAGAGGACTCCAAGTGAAACTGAATGAAGCAAAACATGAGATGGACCCAAAGTCGATTGAAGGTTAACAGTTAAGTCTCGGATTCCATTAGAACCGCCAGTTGAGGTTGTTGTAGGTGTTTCTTGAGTACCGATGGCGTAAATATCGGCCAAATATTCAGATCCTTGACCTTCACTTGGTAATAGTATTTCATTCCAATTTTCTGGACCAGGACGATTTCCCATATTCCAAGTAACCAAATAAACTGAACTAATTCCTTGTGGTAAAACGGTTTTCAGCTCATCTCCACCCAATAGTGATCCCTGTAAGTGAGTGAAAAAATGAACATTAAATGCAAATAGATTAACTCAGATAAGATAAAAGTTAGAAGATCAGAGAGTAAACAATTAGATATTTTCATTGGCTGTAAAGCTTAATGATTGATCTTGAAAACATTAATACATCACAATTAAAGATTTAGATCTTAATTTAGTGTGAAATATAAACATAAATCTTAACATGGTTGGTTATATTATATAATACATGTATTAATACTTAAAGTATTATAAAGTAATAAATTAGAAATGTTGATTGTCATTAACTATGCTTGAAGATTTCACTAATTACTGATGAACATTTTTAAAATGATTTAGTTTAATTGTAAACATTTAGAAAAAGAGATAATTATGATCACCTCATGTCCAATTGCACCAAAGATAAAATTTCTTGATCTCGCTTTGGATGTTTCAATTTTACCGATTTTGTATGAGGAAGAGGATGAAGATGAAGATGAGGATGAGGATGAGGATGAGGATGAGGATGAGGATGATTTAGTTGCTGTTGTTGTAGTAGAAAATACTGTAGAAGATGAAGATAAGGACGAACATGATGATATCCTCGATTTAGCACTGGAATTATTCGCAGTGGATTGAATAAAATCCGATTTGATAGGTTTCTCACTTTTACCAGTTTCATGGTGATCATTAACTTTACTATCATTAATCATTTAATCGATCATCACCATTTCACACTCATAACAATAATTAGTAGAGATTGACAAAGATTTGGCTTGGAAATTAATTAAAATACCAACTTAAAATTTGGGACAATTAACTGATTCCTCTTGAAGAAGTACTTGTAAATAGTTAGTGTTTGTTTTGATTATTGAAAATTACTCATTGTCATGACAACGATTCAATTTCCTTGGGTGTTAATAACCTTAATAAACGTTATTCTTAAATCATTAGCTGGTGATTGTACTCACTTCGTGAAAACTTCATCTCAATGCACTAATTGGCCTGAAATGATTGACTATTTGATATCTATCATGTAACTTTTGATTCCTAATCAGTTGACCTTTTAAGAGACTAAATCACTTAAATGAGAGGACAATACTTAATATCATATCTCTGGATTAACTTTATCTCTCATTGATTGTATTCAACTACATGAATGATTTAAAAACTGGTTGCAACCTCAAAGTCTTTTGCTTTTTATGTATTAAAAATTATAAGCAAACAAAATTAGTTTGACGGTAGTTTTAATCATTCGTGCAAGTAAAACGGTAATAATTCATCAATCAAATCAATGGTGAACTTGAATTTTTAGTTATCATATTGAATGATAAACTAATTTAATAACTTTAGAAGAGTTTACAGTCGCCGTCAACCCATCCTCTTTGCCTTTATATTAGTTAATCTAACTCGCAATTTAATTAATTAGAGAAATAAAAAATTTTCAGCTTTCTGGTTAAGGGTTTCTTTCATTTATAAGAGATGGCGACACAATTTTCTAATAATCGCACAATTATTACGATCCATACTTTGATACAAATACTGAGGATAATAGGGTAAGACTCAAGATATGTCCGTCAGCTCGATATTTTAACTTTGAGCTGACTTTTTTTCGGCTTAAAGTTCAAGCTACATATGAAAATGGACTTAATTGTTCAGTTAATTGTGTTTGTTTAAATTAGGTTAGGTTAGGTCTTCGCTAATAAGGGTCACCATGACCAAAGAAAGGCCCGGAGGGCCTGAGACAATCAAACCGAACTTTAAGCCGAGAAAAAAAATCAGCTGAAAAATGAAGATATCGAGCTGACGGACATATCTTGAGTCTTACCGATAATAGAGAGATGTTAAAATCACCATTAAATAATATCGATATGATGATAATACTAAAGGTTTATCCTACCTGAAAATGAAGATGGACAAACGTGCATAACGATGCAACATCCGCATACATCCAACTATCATCTAACAGCAACTTAATATTAAAACTTTTACTGTTTTCATGTTACAGCGTATATTGAAAATTTACCGAAAAATCAAGCATTGGCTTCGGTTGCAAGGGGTATGCCTCTCTTACACTTTTTTCCCCTCTGCTCACCATACCTTCCTTATAAAGGGTGTTTCACTTAATTTCAGATATCAGATTTCAGACAAAATGGGAAGCTACAATTAGATATAAGTATCTTACCTGAGATTAAATGTAAATCAAGATAAAAATTGAATTTTTGTTGGTAAAATGGTCAAGAAATGATAAAGTTGTTGTGATTGTCACTTTTTTACCAATTGTCTCTTAATCTTTACTTAATCTATGGCGAGATACTCTGATTGTAACTTCCCTTTTTGTCTGAAATTAAGTGAAACACCCTTTATGTTAACCGATTACAATTAATCACCTTAGTATAAAAACTCTCTCTCTCTCCTTAAATACACAGCTCAGTCAATGCCTACACCTCAGCTGTCATTACTCCTCTACTGTTGTTACTCTCTACTACAGTCAACTACCTAATTTTGTCACTTTATTTTAAGCTTTGACAGCAACCTCAGGGGAGGCTCGATGAATGAGAATTCATCGTTTCCGGGAATGACGACCGTACCAGGGAAAGGGGAAAGAGGGACAAGGAAGGGAATAATTGATGAGGAAAAGAAAACAACACAATAATTAACAGTTTTTCTTCCCTGAGGTCGAATACAAATTTGAGATAATATTTAAAAATTTTTGAAAAGTTTGATTGTCCAAATTCCAAAAATGGTAAACTCATTAAGTATGAAACAAAAAGAAATAAAAAGAAATTATAATAAACAAATAAAATTAGAATTTCAATCTAATCAAAGAAATAGAGAAAAGAAAATTGAATCAGATTACCAACAAAACTTAACGAAAAAACGAAAATGTTTGAGGTTATTACGACGCAATAATAGCTCATTTTTAAGACTAACAAAAATAACTAAAGTAACTGTTGAACTATCATAGTTTTGGTATTAACTTGATCCGTATGATAAGATAAATAATAATAACACAAAATTCAGTTTTAAATTCACAGGTAAAGTTGATTAAATTAAAGTTTATCAGGAGCCATAAAAATCGTGTCCTACCTAAAATTGTCGATCGTGGCTCCATCTTCTTAATCGGAACTATCCCCCCAATGTCCATTCAGTATCTATTATTTATTATTTCGATTCGATTTATTACGAAATTAAGTTTCGTAACTGATAGCTGTCAGAATAAAGTAATCGATTCTGGTTGGTTCGAAAAACTTGGTCTTTCTAAGTGTATATGATCATTGTTTACTTTTGCTCTAAGGCTCTAGAAAACTGCCGAAACAGGAAAGTACCACTAAATGGTTATTCAGCTATGCAGCTTTATCAAAAATAAAATAAACATTACTTTTAATGAGTGAATATCATCAGTTAAATTTGCATATCAGCTGATCAAATTACCTGATACTTTGTTAACAAAAGGAAGCGATTCGCTGAAAGAAAAATGGGAAAAAGGGCAAGGATATGATAGAGAACATATTTCGTCTCGAATGATGCTGTTCGGGAGTTGGATGGGATTACTTATTACTTGTGAAAAGTTGTGCTTTTAAGTTTTTGGTTTCTAAAGAAAAAAAAGAGATATGCCTGAAATGCTGAATATGAAGATGAGGTAACATGAAGAGAAAGCAAGAAAAAAAAAGATTGATTGAAAAAATACATAAGCATGTGAGATGAGGATATTACTCCCCAAACAATGATGAGAAATGTCAGCCAATGTGAGTGGAGTTAGAAGCCAAAGGTGTTATTTTCTTAATCCAAAGTCCAATTTTTTTTAAATTTATTTAGATGTTGATCGGGATCGTGATCGTGAACGAGATCGAGGAGAACGAGAACGTGATCTTGATCGAGATCTTCGAGCAGGAGAGTAAGTAGGAGAGCCACGACTTCTTCTAGGTGAATAGCTTCGAGAACGAGATCTTGAACGACCACCACCAGTTCCACCATGATTATTTATAATACAGTCGGAGAAAATGAGTTTGACGGTGGTTTTATATCATTCGCGCAGGCAAAAATGATAACAACAATTTATCAATCAAATCAATGTTAAATTTGAATCTCTTGATTATCTAATCATTGATAAATTGTTGTTATCACACTTTCTGCGCAAATAATTTAAAACCACCGTCAAACTCATTTTCTCCGAATGTATATACGCTGGATTGATTGGATGATGTTCAAAGCTGAATAATCAAAATAGTAGGATATCAAATTATCAAATTAGATGATTGTCTAGGTGATCTAGGTGATATTAGTAGAATCGTTAATTAGCATAACAACTATATAATATATTGATATGATAATGTAATACATGTATGTTAGTATGATGATCTGTTCCCGTAAGATACGTTTCCCTTTAAATCTCCTCATTTTTGCTCATTTCGATCAAACTAAATGTAAATAAATGATCATTTCAGCTGAAATTGAGTAAATAACAAACTTTGACAAAACAAAAACAACTGAAAGTTAATTACATTTATCGTTACATTGATTATCAGCGTTAACTTCATTTCCATTACCGCACAATCTAAATCTCACAATTCAAAAAGAACAGTTTTTGCTAGCTACATACAAAAGTAATTGGAGACATCCCAATGAGCTAGAGGTTTTAAGATCAAGAGAGAGAAACAAAAAAGAGAATCAAAGCAAAGGAATAGAGAGAACCAAAGCATTGACTTCTATTCCCTCGAATTCCCTCGATTAATATCGATCTTTATATCAAGAAAGTTTAATATAAAGATCGTCAATCAGCAATCAGGAAAATCGCCGAAGCCATTGGATAAGAATTATTGTTTTGTGTGTCAATAGCATTAAATTTATTCATCTCAATGGTAACCCGAACTACCAAAAGTATTAGTTATTACATAAAGGATGTTCCAGTTAATTATTACTCTAATTATTTCATTTAATTTTCTCTAATGATAATTGATAAGAAAGTATAAGAGTGAAGAATTCAACCAAAATCTCAAATGGATTTATTGATTGTTATCAACATAAGTAATTCAATTAAATTTATCATTTCTAATGAAATAAGTTAACCATCTCTATGGATATAATCACAATTAATACTTAGTGTTATTGTAAATTTTTACTCACCTTTAATCGTGATCAATCATCTTTAATTGCCAATTGACTGTCTAATTGAATACCAAACTCAACAGAAAAAAACTTTAATTGTGATGAAAAATTTTAAAAATAATAGTTTAATTTTTTAATCTTGTTAATTACTAGTCAATTTGCTTCGTTAATATGTAACACAATCAACGATAAATTGTCATCTAATCAATTGACTCATTTTCTTGATGAAAGTGTTAACGATAACAATTCAACTACAACTGAATTAAAAGATAAATCATCAGAATCAATTTGGAAAAAAATTGAAACATGGCTCGGATTTAATTGGAAATATTTCGTTTTCGCAGGCGCGATTTTCTTAATCATATCATGTTTAATTTATGGATTTAATTATAAACGATCAAAACATGAACAAGTCAATTTTAAAAGTGAGCAATCAACTAATCAACGAGAACATCCTGATAATTACAGAAAAAGTATCGATTGTGACGAGGAAAAAAATTCCGAATCAATCGAAATTGAATCTAATCACAACGAAAGTTCAACAATTAAGATCATCGCGAAATCGCAGATTAAATTACCAACCTTATTGTTAAATCGTAGCTTAAAAGGTGACAGTGATTTAGATACACCCGGAGTATTGGAAGCAAGTGGATCAAAACCATTTACAATTAGTGATTAATCAATTATACGATTTAATTTTTTTTCTTTCTTTTAGTTTACCTTGTTATTTTTAGTATCTTTTAATTATCCATAAATCTTACAGAAAATTTTTGCTAATCAAAGATTATTATTTGTATAATTGATTGTTATTAAATATTGAATAACTTTAAGTATTTTTTTACTCATTTAATTGTAACATTTAATCTGATCAATAGATTAGATTTTTCTAATGAAAAAAGAAAGTAAATAATTTTATCTGTGATTATTTATAATTATCTCAGAATCACATTAGATCCTCGCCTCTTTATACTCATTCAAAGGGCTTTGATCGTAACAATCATTCACTCTGTTTCATTAGATGATTAGTAAATTCTCATTGTTTTGAAGTCATACACTTTGTATTGCCATAACAATTATTTAAATTAAATTAAATAAAAGAATTGATTATTTAAAAGTTGATACTCGAAGTAAGAGTTCGTAAATATTTGAATAAGAAATCGTGAATTACGATTCGTGATAAGATTTGAAATCTTAATTTTTGACCGAATTTATTGTAACCATGGAAACTGAATTTCTGTTTATTGAGCTACTGCGCATGCGCGAACTCAACATGGTCAAATTTTAAATTTAATCTTTAATTCAATTTGTTTCTCATTAGATTACAGTTGGAATTTAATTGCTGTGAACTTATTGTCACATTGATCGTTTAATTTAATTCGTTTGTTTCAATAATCTCTGTTACAACAGTTGGATTATCTTTTCTTATCTCTCTTTGAAAATCATCTCATCACATTTTCCAATCTTCACATTGGTCAAGATTTTGAATTTTTCTCTTCTTTCTCTAAGTGAATTCAGTTTATTAGCTTTTTTAGCTTATTCTTTATCTTAATTGTTATCGTAAATTAATCCACAAATTTACCAAAATGACTAAGATTGTAGGTAAGTCCTCGTATCTTTGTCTCTCATTCATTCTCAAGGTTTGATAATCACATTCTTTTCTTTCACTTTTCTCTCTTTTTCCATGTGCCTTTTGGGTGTTTACGCGTTTTTTAGGTGGAGATGATACTTGGGATGATGAATTATTGATCCAAGAATATAATAGATCAGTTCGTTTGGTTGATCAGCGTATAGAAGAGATTGAATCTGGTAAAGTGATTGGGACACAAGTTCCAATTACCGGTGACACTGAAGTAAAGGTTAATGAGGTGAAAAAGGACAAAAGAAGAAATAAGAAAAAAGTGATTCAATTGAACTTTTATGGAAACCTGGTGATAATTGTATCGCTGTTTTCAAAGATGATGGTATTGAATATGAAGCTCAAATTGTTTCCATAGACCATAAATATGGATGTTGTGTAGTTAAATATCTTGGTTATGAAAATGAGGAATTACAATATTTACAAGATTTAAAACCATCCGGAGGAGCAGCTTCACAATTAGCACAGATTAAACTTTTCGCCGCAAATGAGTTGCCTGTTGATGAAAATGCTGATAATTGTGATCTAGATGAAGATGAAGAATTAGTCATCGGTAAGTAACACAATAAAATTCTGTTCCATTGACCTTTTTGATTAATCATTCTCTCTCTCTCTCTCTCACACACACACACTCAACATTTCCATAGGTACTACTCCGACTATGAACACATCGCGACCTGAATTTGTTATGCCAGAGATTCCGACCCGTGCTAATCAAGAGGCACCAAAGACTGAATTTGTCTTACCACCTCCACCACCATTTCTAGTTAACAATTTATCCGAATCATTATCCAAAGAAAACGATGCCTTGGCATCCATGTTAATGTCATGGTACATGTGCGGCTATCAGACAGGTTATTACACTGCAATTAAACAAATGAAGGTTAAAGAGTGAGAGAGTAAGAAAATTAATAGGTTTTCTTTTCTCTTTAAAAGTTTCCAAATTTGTTATTCCTTTTGGACATCTCACACTTTATCTCTTTTCTTTTCTTTTTTCCTTTGTTCTTTTGTTGCCCAGAATAATCAACAGATTATCTTTATACATATTTTTTCTCTCTCTCTCTCTTGTTTCTTCCCTCTTTCTACTTATGTGAAAATCTTGTGACTATTCTGAGAATTCTCTCTCCATCTCACCTTTTGACCTTGGATTAAGGTTGTGTGTGTTGATGAAAATGTGATATTTCAAGTGCCATCTTTAAGATGTCCAAACTTTTCTTTCTGGTCACTCGCACTCATTACATATCATCCAATAATCTTCTTTTCCCCTACTATATCTGTCAACTTAATATGTAAATAAAAGTTTTCTACCAAGACACAATATCACTTGTCTTTTCCCCTTTTACTAGGCCAGCAAATTGTCAATGTCAAAGGTGAAATTTAAACCAAATGGAGAACAAAAACTTCTAAATGGAAATACTGTAAACAATTGAGAATTAACGACAAACCATAGTAGCAACAATTCTAAATTTAACAGGAGCTGAATAATCAACCAATTCTATTCTTAGAATAATTTTCCAAATTAAAATCACTTAATCCAATCAGAGAATCTCCTCCAGGTAAATTGAAGTAAAATAGAATTTTTTGTAAATTCTATTTTACAAAAAAATCAAAATTCTTTCTAGATTAATCCTTAAGTGGACTGATCGAAAGGAGGCCATTAATCAAACCAATTGTTCCAAACCAAAGCAAATCGATAATCCAATCAATCTAAATAAAAGACAAAAAAAACAATCAATTAACCAAACAATCAACAAAAATCAAACAATCAAGTGAAAAAATAACAGAGTTTTAGTAACTGTGGACCAAAAAGAAATTCAAACAGTCCAATCAAATGTATTCTCTTGAAGATAAAGGGCAAAAGATTAAGATTTTAAATGGATTAAATTTGCGAGATTAATTAAAATAGACCAACAATTAAAAAGAACCAAATTAATTATCCATTTAGTTGAACCGCCAAAATGTTCCACAGGAACCGGAAAGCAAAATGGAGAATTCGATGGTAACGCCATCTGTTGATTCGCGCTTCTTATACTCTCAAGAGCTTCTATTCAATTTCATTTCTCCTTTTGTCTTCTCATCTTTATCATCTTTTGTTGACCATTACAATTAGTTAATTTCATTTAATTTTCTGTTTCTTAATTATCCTCTTATAGTTGACAATATCTTAATTTTCTTTGATTGGTGACTGTGTTTATTTTCTGTACTTTAATTGGTTCTTGGATCTTGTTGGGTTTTGTCTCTGTGTTTTTTTTTCTCTTCCTCTCTCTCTCTTTTTGTCTCTGTTTTTTTTTCTATTTCTATTTTCTTATAATTACTAAACCTAAAAATGTCACACCGAAGTAATAATGAATGTCGCATTTATGTTGGTAATCTTCCGCCTGATATAAGAACTAAAGATATTGAAGATCTTTTTTACAAATATGGTAAAATCACTTTTATTGACTTGAAGAATCGTCGTGGGCCTCCATTTGCTTTTGTTGAATTTGAAGATTCAAGGTAAGTCTTTGGTATTTCTTTCTCTGTCTGCCTCTACTTCTCTCTCTCTCTCTCTTTCTCCATCTCGCTTTCTTTCTTATTCTCGAACCACCATCTTCAATTATCTCATTCTACTTGAATTCTTCTCTTCCCATCCTCTCTCTTTTTCTCTCTTCTCTTCCCAAGTTACCGCGTTTTCCACCTTTTGATCATTTTTACCTTCCTTTTTTATTCACCCAACCATGTTTACCTTCTTCAACTTGAGACACTCTAGTGTTTGACATTTTTCAAGGTGTTTCTCGCAATCTAATTCTCCTTGTTTTTTACCAAATTCTCAGCATTTATCTTTACTCTCATTTGATCACACATATATTCTTCTTATTCCTAATCATGAACATGCTTTCTTCTTCTTCAGGGATGCTGAAGATGCCGTACATTCCCGAGATGGGTATGATTATGATGGCTACCGACTGAGAGTTGAATTCCCTCGAGGTCGAGAACGTGGACCCGGTGGAGCTTTCATTTCTGGATCACGATCTGGTTCCAGTAGAGCCCGAGGACCTCCAGCTCGACGGTCACAATATCGAGTAATTGTTTCAGGTATTTTTCTTTGACATTTTGATTTAATTGCCCAGTGTTATTGACAATTATAGTAAATCTGATTATTTTGCTTTTTGTTTCTCCATCTTTAGGGCTTCCACCAACTGGCAGTTGGCAAGATCTTAAAGATCACATGCGAGAAGCTGGTGATGTTTGCTATGCTGATGTATACAAAGACGGTACTGGTGTAGTTGAATTCCTCCGTTACGAAGATATGAAATATGCTGTGAAAAAGCTTGACGATTCTCGTTTCAGATCCCATGAGGTAATCATTCATTTCTTGTAATTTTTGTCATCTTTTTTTCTCATTATCCATCTCAACTCTGCCTCTCACATTTCAGTTAACAATTTTTAAGAGGGTGTGTCTATTATGATCTCATTTCATCATATATCTTGTTATGATAGCATCTCTTTGCCCTTTTCTTGTTCTACATTCCTAAAGCTATTTAATCATGTTCTTTTTTTTCAATTTTTAATTACTGAAGGGGGAAGTAGCTTATATTAGGATTCGAGAAGATCATGGTGGAACTGGTGGTGGTCGTTCAAGATCTCGTTCTCGAAGCTATTCACCTAGAAGAAGTCGTGGCTCACCTACTTACTCTCCTGCTCGAAGATCTCGATCAAGATCACGTTCTCGTTCTCCTCGATCTCGTTCACGATCACGATCCCGATCAACATCTAAATAAATTTAAAAAAAATTGGACTTTGGATTAAGAAAATAACACCTTTGGCTTCTAACTCCACTCACACTGGCTGACATTTCTCATCATTGTTTGGGGAGTAATATCCTCATCTCACATGCTTATGTATTTTTTCAATCAATCTTTTTTTTTCTTGCTTTCTCTTCATGTTACCTCATCTTCATATTCAGCATTTCAGGCATATCTCTTTTTTTTCTTTAGAAACCAAAAACTTAAAAGCACAACTTTTCACAAGTAATAAGTAATCCCATCCAACTCCCGAACAGCATCATTCGAGACGAAATATGTTCTCTATCATATCCTTGCCCTTTTTCCCATTTTTCTTTCAGCGAATCGCTTATATATTTGACTTGCTGAAAATGAAAACTAAGACACATTGTTCATCTACTATTTTACCATATTTTATTCTTCTTTTTGTAGCCATTCGAATCCAAATATTCCTTTAAATGCGTTGAATGTCCATTGAATTCAATATACCAGGAAAAGCATTCATTGAAAATAATAAAGGGATCAATCACAACCACTGTCAAAGATTTTGGGGGTAAACCGGCCAATTAGCCAGGAACCACTCAACTTGTGCCCTTCTTCTTGTCACTTCTCAAAACAAAGATGTTGATGTGAAAAGCATCATCGTCAAGAAAAATTGAAATTGAAATTTAATTACAATAATTAATTCAATTCTCAAAAAGGTTGAACAAAAAAGGGATTGTTTGTGATTTTCAACCTTTTCATGCCCACAAAACAACATTAAGGAAACAATTTTGTGATTAAAGAGGAGGATTTAAGGATTAAAAAGCAAAAAGAGTAAGAGAGAGATGAGAATATTTGGGGAAAAAGCATTTGACTCGGATTAATCTACAATTCGGCTCAAAGTTGATTAGGAGAATCAAATTCCAGGAATTTCTCTCACTCTCTCTCTCCTCACTCATTCTCCCTTTTACAATTAATTGTGAGGATTTAGGATCAATAGGATGTGTTCGGATAGAATCCACCCGGAGAGATAACTGGACTATTCTTATGCCATCTCAGTCTCTCCTCTGGAATCCAATCCGAGCCCAACACTAAATGGATAATGAAGAGTCTCGAATGTGTCTCAGTGATTCTCTCTGAATAGTTACAATTTTAATTTTTCTTTCTCTCTCTCTCTCTGGGATCAATTACTGAAATGTGTGAAGAAAGAGTTACGATTACACAACAATTAAGAGGGAGCGAGGACAATTACTCTCCATTGACTGGCTTTTCATTCGGATTTTCGATGAATTTCCAGGAAAAATTAGAATCAAAATTCCAAAGATTTTGTTCATGATAAATTGAAGGAAACTCATGATGTGAGTTAATTAATTATCATTATTGAAACGAATGAAAAGTAACTTTTTCATTTACAATTAGCTTTACTCTTTCATCATTTTAATATGATGAGAGTTTGTTTTTTATTGAATTGTTTTCAATTCTCTTTTCCCACCAAAAGTTATTCCTCTTTGTGTTGATCTTTTATCCTTATTGGTGTTTGGTCATTTGATCTGAGTGTTTGTACCATGATTGTTAATCATCTTGATTTAATTTAATCTTTTTACTACAAACTTCATGGTCGCCAAGTGTCTCACTCTCAGTGGCCTTTGGTTCACATTTCTCTTGACTTGTAATTGGAATCTCCGCTCGATCGCTTTTAGGTCCAGGCCAGTTAATTGTTATTTCCTTGATGGAGCAAAAGAAAAGAGTTTTTTTGTCATAACAATTTGTTAGTCACTAGTTAATCTATTTTCATGTTAATCATTTTCTAACCTCATTAACTCACCGTAACATCTAATTCTAGAATATCTGTTCTACAATTTTCTAAAATTTGAGCTAAATTTGGGCTCGTTCGGCCAAAATCTCCATGAACAAATTCCTTTATGTAAGTTCCAGCCTCCGTTTTTAATTCGATGATGAACTTATGTTCGTCTTGAGTTTTCTCGCCCAAAATATGATGAATTGTTCGAGTTCTATCCAAAAGTGATCTCCTGTTTATCGAAATACAAAATCAGACAAATGGTCAAAACATCAACAGTAAAGGTCAACTGGTCATTCGGAAAGAGTTCAACATTTGAAAGTTTCTCTCTCATACCTGCTTGGCCGAATATACCGTTGTTTGCGTGTTGATGAAGATGAGTAGTTAATTAGTCGATTAATTGAGTGTCCACTTTCTTGATTGGCTAAAATTACTCATCTAAATCAATTGAAATCACGCAATAACAGCATATTTGACCGAGCTTATCAGGTATGTTCCAATGGTTCCAATGGTTCAACTGATGGCAAAAAGTTACATTACCTGTGTAATACTCTGATTGGTGTTTTCTGGTTGATGATTAAATCCTTAATTGCTTTCAATTTATCGATATCTTGGTCGGTAAAAGGCCTGTCAATGCAACACAAAGCCCGATAAACTTTCATCTTATCCGTTTCACCGGCTCTCAATTGTACCTTTACCTCATTCTTATCCATTAATTGAAGATATCTCACTTGTACATCTGAACAATTTGAATTAATTGATTTCTCAATCTCATCTAACAGTTGATCACTAATGGTAATTACTTGAGGTTTAATTAGTTCAATAACAAATGGCCTTCCATCACCAAGCATCCTTACATCAACATCTTCACGGCCACTGGAACTGAATCTGGCTTCTAATTGGTTAATGAGACATGAAAAACAAGTAACAATTAAACGGAAAATTAAATGACAAACAAATTAACTATTAAATAAAACAAACCAAATAACCAAATTAACTAAATTTCACAATTTGAAAAATTTTCCAATTACAAGTCCACCAGTGAACACAAATCTCTTCAAACATTGTAAAGGTAAAACCTCATTACCTTGGTTTTATTTTCTTTCCTTTTATTCACAATTAAATCGATCACAATTAACTTACTTTCAAATTTAATTCGTTTCTCAACTTGATCAACAATTAACTCTTGAACTGAAGTTTCCATCCGCCGGACACCATCAAGTATCCAAGGGGTTTGACAAAGATTCCGACTGAATTTATTGTATCGACCAGCGATATAAAGTGATCCATTATCCGCTCGCTGGTCCGACTCTTTAACCTCCATAATTAATGATTATCAAATTGTAATCAAATCGAAACAATTAAAAGATAAAATAAAGTCACGAACACAAAGAAAAATTCAAATTAAATGATTGTAAATAATTCACTTCATTCTGGTTAACATGTGTGCGATCGATTATCGAAAATCGATTTGAATCGATTTTCTAACGGACGATTAGTGAAGTTTTTTTGTTTACAAAAGTTAATCGAAAGTTTTTTTTTCCTTTCAGATTAATTGTTGTTTGAAATAAAATTGAAACCATTTTTAAATGTTATAAATATTTAATTGACATCTATTATGAAAATTTAATTATCACAATTAAGTTAATTCTGTTCTCTTTTTCTTTTGCTTTCTTTTGTTTTTCTAACCTTTCAAGGTGAAAGGTTAAAAGGAGGTTTATGTACAAATACAATATATTGAAGGTACAATATTAATTGTGTGTGTTTGTTGATCAAATTAGTTAATTTGATCGGATAAAAGTTTTCTCTGTTAACAAGAATCAACTTAATTGCTTAATCAATTTCTGTTTCATCTCAATGTTGAAATGTTGAGGTTAAAAAACAAAAAGCTTCAATGAAGGAAGAAAAATAATTTCCTCTTAAAAAACACAATCAAGATACAAATGTATATATAGAAAAAAGTTAAACACTAATCATTTGGATTAGTGGATTGAGAAATTTACAGAATGTTTAAAAAAGCGGGAAGAGAAATAGACCTAATCTTAAATTTAGGTTATGTTTGTTGATGTTGAGTTTTCATTTACAATTTTTTGGGGAAAAAGAAACGAAAGTTGAGTTTAAGAAGTCGAATGATTTTTGAAATATTATTGTGTGAGCTTCGAGTGAGATGGATAAAGACAATGGATGACAAAAGGATGGATGTTGATGATAATGGCAATGATTGGAAATGAGTCTTTCTTTTTGTTATATGTTTCGACTGGAAACACCGCATAAATTGAGTTGATGGGCGAAGAAATAAAAAATAAATTATAATCCTCATCGATTGGCTCGACGATCTTTGCTTTTATTGCGATTTGTACTGGACTCTCTGTCCATGTAAGGTGCATGCAGTTCAACCTTTAATTTAGCGGTGGTTGTTACTTTGGTGGTCACTGTTTGAGGTGGATATGCATATAGATTTGTTGAATTGAATGGTGGATAAATTGTGGTCGTCGTTGAACTAGATCTACTCAGGGATGAGGCACCACTGTCGCTCGCTGAAGCGGGACTATCACGACTTAATGGGGTTTCTGGACTATCACGATCAGAAGATGAGCCTGATGAAATGTTGCCCGATTTCTGTGAAAAATAATGAGAAAAAACAACGTAAATTGGTAAATAGAAAAAAAACAAAGTTTTAAAGTTAAAAAAAAAAGATTTGCAAACGGATATTTACCTCATTCGGTACATGTGATGAGGTAGTTTGTGTCATAATTTGTTGAGGTGCTGTATTAGTGACTGTTGTCGTTTCTACAACCAGTTCGGGTTGGACGACAATCTCATGGGATGATTGGTATGAAGGTGGTTCCTCTGAGATGGTTGATAATGAGATTTCAGATTGAACTCGAGGATAGATTCGTCTAGAATATGAAACAGAATGTCGTGAAGGTTTCTTCTTGATTGGCGGGAAGAAGGTGGAGATGGAGTTGAAATTCTGTTCTCGTATTCATGAGGAACAACTTCACCGGGTGGACCAAGATAGCACAAAAGAACAGGATAAAATACTAGACCGTTCCAACTCGATATGACTATGGCTCCAGAGAAAACTAAGAAAAAATCTCTGTGATTGGAAAGTGAAACATACAAATCAATTAATGAATGATCTTGAGTTTTGGAGCAGAAAAGCATAGGAAAAAAAGATTAAATCTTACCTGTTGATAAAATCAAATTCAGAAAATGCTAACATTGAGATTCCTAAGAAAGTTGAGATTTCACTTCTGACCAACGGTGGAAACATGTGATGAAGAGCGGCAATGACCCGATAATCTCGCTTGCCCATACTGGTCAAGAAACTCTGAATAGATATGATTAGATAGATAATCAATATTAATAAGATATTTTCATTGAATAATTAAGTAAAACAATTAACTCACCATTAAAAGATGAATAAGAATGTGAATACTTTTACCAACTGTAATGATAAGGACCACTGCTGGTACGGCACTTAATCTGATCCCTAGTAGACCCATGAGTCCAAAGATTTGGACACTGGTCAGTGCTAGAACAAATGTCAACATTGATGAAGCCCAACAATTGACCAATAGGGTACAAAGGGCTACAAAAATGATCGCAAAAACAACAATCAACGAAGAACCCAATGAGACTCGTAGACGAATATATTGTTCCCAATAAGTGAATGGAAGTCCCGTCGGGAAATTGGGTAAACCTTTGTCTTCGTAGTTCTTACAAATGGCTCGAATCTCTTGAATGGTTGAAGTAATTTCTTCTGTTGAGTTCATATTGTGCAGATAAAAAGGTATTTGAGTGTAGACTAAGGGCTGAGATTTTGGAATTTTCAGGTCAAAATCTGAAGCAACATGAATCCAGTGACGGGGTTCAGGATGAAAATTGGCCTGAGATGCTGAATAAGCGATAGCATCATTAGTAACCCAGGCAGTTAGATAATTATAAAAAGCTTTTGGATTAATGACACCACGATTATCAACTAATTTAACTTTGGTAACCTGAAAGATCGTAGATAACAGAAAAATACAATTTTTAATCAGTTATAACTAATTAATCATAGAATTGATCAACTAATCAATACTTACTAAACTTTTGTCCACCGGATTATCAACTCTACCAGTTTGAACGAGCAATTTATATGCTAAAATACCTTCAGCTGATGCATTGGCAAACCATCTTTCTTGACTGATTGAGCCGTTTTTCCAGTCAATATCAAATGCATTCTGTAAGCCAAGAAGCCAATCTCTGAACATGATTAACCAAAATTCAGGTAAACCACCATCATCATTTTTAATTATCCTTGGAACTCTGGTAAATGAGTTATGATATTCAACTAGAAGTGCTTGATTGGTGGGATATTCAAAGTTACCCTGAGTAACAGCGTACATATTGTATACATTAAAATATTGTCTTTGATTAAGTAGAAAACGATATTCACTGGTACCACGTGGGACAATGTCCGTTAAATCGAGTCCATCTTTGACTTGGGTAACGCCTGACAGGCAAATTAAATAAATTATAAAGCTCACAATCATCACCAGTAATTTAAATATTCGTCTCTGTAGTAAAGGTATATAGATACTGGCTACAAAATAGTTTAATGATAATCTATGGGAAAGAGGTGGAACCATCTCATCTTCACGAATCCCATCATCCATCTCATCTATATCATCCTCTCTATCAGAATCACAGTCATCTAATGAGGGAGATGGTGGTGGTTCTGAGGGTGGTGCAGATTCAATATCACCAAAATAAGCTGGTGGTGGTGAAGGTAAATTGTAATTAAGAGGAGGTTTAATTGTCCTAATTGGCATAACGGGAGTTGAAACATTTGATGAGAAACTATTTTTATTTGTTGTTGCACATTTAGTTGTTGTTGTTGATGAGGATGATGATCGTGATGATTTATTATTATTACTATTTGTTAATGGTGATGATGATGATGATGATGGTGAAGATGATGAGTCAAATAAATATGGTTTGCAAGAATAATAATTAGTTGATAATGGTGATGATAATGAATCCATTTGTTTTAGAGTAGGAATTTTTATCGTCAATTTATGATCACCTTCACCAGAATCATCTTTATAATAATTTCTTGAAGATGATGAGGATGATTTTCTTTCACGGTGATTATTTACTTTAGAGTATCTATCATGACGATGAGAACGATGAGAATAATTTTCCTCTTGTTTTTGTTGGCTGTGTTGTGAAGATGATTGTGCTTTTAATTGTGATGATGATGATGATAATCTGACTTTAAAACAACAAAATAAATCATATCGACGTGATTTACGTCGCTGCAAGTCCAAGCTCATTATGGCGGGAAAAATTGTCAGCAAACAAATGGTAATGAAGGTAATTAAAATGGCAGTTTGAGCTACAAAGTATCGCAAAGCAGGAATGGGTATGATAGCGGCCGCTCCGAATGAGCATAAAAGTGTAAAAGTATTAAGTAAAATAGAGAAACCAATTTGTTGAAGAGTATCGGCAATTGGATTCTATTTAAATGGAATAAAAAAAATACAATTAAATCAATGAGTAAAATGTAATTAAGTAAGAAAAGACAGAAAAAAATTAATTCTTACCCTAGATTGAGTATCTTTAGAAACATTTTCTTCATAAGCATCCATTAGTAAAAATAATGGAGCTGATCCCAAGCCGAGTGCTAGAAACGGGATAATCTGTAAGTAGAAATAGTAAACAATTAAAAACATTAATTATTAATCAACAAGAAGAAAACAAAACAACGGCAAAGGTTAAAATCGTGTGAACAACAGTTTAGTAGGTGGATAGGTCAATGTTTGAATTTGAGGTCAATTTAATCCAAATCGAACCAAATAATAGTTTAAATTGTTGACCATTATTACAACAATCAAATGCCGTGAATATGTTTCGTTGAGAAAAATGATTTTCAACAATAAGTTTAACAATCTATGGGTATTAATATAAGCAGTTGAAAAGATGATAGTATTATAAGGAATCAATTGATTTGAATGACAATTTCAATTGATTGCATATATATTTTTTTACGACTTTAGGTCAAGATTCGAGGTATAATTTTAAATCTTTTATCAAGTAAAATGAAAAAAAAACGATGACCAGGACTTAAGGTATTCTAGCAAAAAAAGAATAAATAAATAAACGACCATTAAGAGGATTTTGAAGGAAAAGTAAGTGGACAAAGAAATGACAAATGAAATAATGGACAATCTTAATGATCAATAACGAAAATTGATAAACACAAATAGTTATTGGAAAAATGATTTCTATTAAAATTTTTGCTAATCATGAATTTGATCATTTGTTTGATTGAAAAGTATATTAATATTATTCTGATTGGAGGTTAATATCAAGTTGAACATGTTTTCAGGAGAGAGAGAGAAAGAGTTTCAATAAATATCAATAGTTTGAGATTGTTGATTGTCACGCAGAGGAGAAGAGGAGAAACAACAACAGAAAAAGTTGATTGATCTAAATGATGTTTCTCAGAATATATTCGGAAGATGATGATGCTGGTGATGATGATGAGATGCAGGTTTACGTATCATTGGAGAGAGAGAGGGAGAGAAGTAACAACAAGAAATATGTATTCTGAGTGATTGAAAGGTAATCACATCAACTATCATCTGGCAGTTGTTGAGAGAGAAGGTGCGGCGATGATGATAAAACAACACTAACATTTTATTATATATCATAAGAAGAAAATGAAAAAGGTTCAAATTTACAGGTTAAAGGTAAATCTTATCTTCGCCATGGATGAGTGAGATAATCTTGACTGAGTTTTCTTTCTTTTCTCTCTCAATCGCAGTGTATGAAAGAGAGAGAGAGAGAGAGAGAAAGACTAGTAAAGTGCGGTTTTTAGTTGGGTGAGTTGATTGGTTGATTGAGTTTTGCTTGATGATGATGATGGTGATAGAAGGAAAAGAGAGAGAGAGAGAAAGGTAAAAAAAGCAATCTGCAAGATGATGATGGTGAGATGACGATGAAACTTTGTTGATTCTCACGCAAGTGAGTCTATCTAACAAAATTTAGAAAAGTAAACCAGATATAGACATTTATACAGATATAAATTCTCTTGGAGTTTTTTTTGGTCTGCTTAAGAAAGAGAGAAAGAGAGAAGACCACCTCAGAAGATCAATTCAAGGTAAAAAAAGAAGAAAGAAGTGAGGTAGAGAGAGAGAGAGAGAGAGAGAGAGGGAGAGGTAAAAGAGAAAGAAAGAGACGAAAAGAATACATAACTTACACACTAGTTTATTTTGACGATATCAAGGTAAAGAGTATTTGTGATTGATGAAGATGCTATCAAAACGTTACTTCGAATCGGTATCAATGTATAGAGAAGAAAAAAAGAAAATTCTCTTGTCAAATTTTTCTCAAAATTTATGAGAAATTGAAACAAAATCAACAGATGGACCTGAAAGGTAAGTAAAACCCTTGGAATATATTCCTTTTTGCCTTCAAAAACCACAAACAGAATATTTTTGATTCGAATTGATAAAAAAAAGTTTCCAAGAAAAAGATACTGAATGAGAAAATTTTAAATTCTGACAAAAATCAAACCATCTTATTAATAATTGTATCGATATTCTCACAAACAATGTCTCAAATATTATCCTTACAATAACATTTGTGTAATATTAGTAACATAATAATAAACACACAGGAAAAGGAGGATAAAGATGAAGAGAGAGAGAGAGAGATGCTGATGAAGAGATAAAACCAGATCCTCTTCTAATATTTTTACATACTGAGAGAAACTCAACTGGATACTTTGTTGATTTCTCACAAAAATAGCTCTTGTTTTGTCTCAAAATGTAAACAAAAGCACAGCAATGAAAAAATCACCGTAGGAAAAAGTCACCAGGAGAGAGAGAAGAAAAAAGAGACAACGGAAAACCAGAATTTTTTTTCTCATCTTCAGTAGACTTAAAACTCTCACAAGTTCTTAATATCCATGTTTATTATTTATAAATGCAAATCATAATCATAATATATTTGTGTGTGGTTGTTGTTGATTTTTGGTAAACAATCATAGGTAAAAAAAAGCAGCAAATCTACTTGCACTGATGGAAAACAGAAAAAACAACAACCGAGCAACAGCAATCATAAAATAAAACAGTAGCATCAGAAAGTCAAATTTACTCATGTAATAAAATGTACATGCTTTTGCCTATTACTTATGTTGCATACACAAACTATTAGTGAAGAAATTAAGTTAACACTGTTATAACAAGAAAATGAGTCACACAGTCAATGAGATTTCCTTCTTTCTCTCTCTCCCTAATCTGGATTACGGATTATTATTTGGAGATCAGTCTTAAGAATTTGTGTGCTCATCAAGGAGAGAGAGAGAGAGAGAGAGAGAGAGAGAGACAAGAAATAGGATTTGGCTATTTGACTTGAGAAAAAAGTTGAAAGCTTAAGTCTTCAAGTTCCAAACACATATAACATGTCTCTCTGTGTTTCTCTCTCACGGATACTCAATATGATTTTTCTACGTGAAAGTTACAGAGAAGTAGAGAGAGAGAGAGAGAAAATATTTGATGTAACAGATTCACAACAAGTAACAAAAGTAAAAAAGAAAACTCAATATGTTGTTTTCTTTTCTTGTTGATGTTTCTTTTGATGGATAAAAGTTTAGGTTTGTAAGGAGCGAGGGAGAGAGAGAGAGAAAATAACTTGTAATTGGTGAAAAGAGAGAAGAAATAATTTTTGTTAGAATCATCTCTTACCTGAGTTGTTGATGCATTAAATGGGAAACCGATGAGGCAACAAAATCCTAATCCAGAGGCGATGGCAAGGGCGATAAGTAGGACACCAGAAATACCAAGGGCACTTTGTGAGTAACCAGGATTACCAAGATTAATACGAGATAAACCGGTAAAAAGTAACAGTAAACAATATCCAATACAAAGATGGATAATATTGGGTATGGAAAAATTTTTCATAATATCAAGTAGGGCAACATTGGTAAACTTTTCTATCTTATAATCGGTTATTGAGTTTTCCTTAATGTACCGATCAACTTCAGAGACAAATTTCCGTTGCCAGGCCTCCAATACTTGACGAGCTTTCTCAATGGTCCAGTCAATGTGTAAAACTCTTGAATTATCTTGCCAATAGGCGAACATATCTTGTTCCGCCATTAATTGAATGATCGATTGAAGAGCATGAGCTTTAACTATTCGACCATTTTTACTTTTCTTAATACCGCCGACAATCAATTCTTCCGGCCAGTGCATCCATTTGGTGGCAAAACCATAACAACCGCCTGAAAGTTCATAGCCAACATCAGGCTCACGAAGTGTATGCTTATTGGGAGCACTTTCGGGACACTCTTCATCCTGAGGATTTAAACATGGACGACTCTGGTAAGCTGTCGATATCCCCGCTCGTGACATTAAATTTTCAAATGTCTCAAATGGATAACGATTATTAGATCCTAAGCTTGAATAGGTACGATTCTTGGCCAACTCAAGTAAAGATTCTGGATTGAAATTGGTCCATGCAAGGTTGAGATTTAATCTCCTGGTAAGATGAAATAAAGACCAACCAACAACAGGTAAAAAGAAGGAAAAAAAAGATTAAGAGGAAAAACAAAATTAAGGGATAAGGTAAAAATAAATTAACATCAGATTAACAAGATAATTAAGAGGTTGGGCTTTGAGGGTTTCTTAAGGTAATTTGTTAAAGACCAGAAAACAAAAACATGGGTGAAGAGAGTTGATGAGAATATCAAAGTTTCTCAATGATCGTTTTTGATTAAGTTGTAAATTGTTAAATTGAGGAATAGAGAAGGAAGAAAACAATTTAATAACACTCACGGTATAGTAATTTCGGGTCCCAGTAATTTAGAGCCTTCCCAGAAACAATCTAAGGGGGTTATTATTGCGCAGGGTATTAATTTATCCAAAGCCTACGAAAATTAAGTGATCAGAATAGAGAAGAGAGTAAATTAGAAACAGAGAAACAGATATAATAATATAATTATCAACTCTCGTCAGCAATCAACAGGAAAGAAAGGAAAATAATTATACTGAGAGAGAGAGAGATGAAAGATGATAGAAAACAGAATGAGGTGATGAATCTCGAGCAATCATTTTTTTTTTCTCTTCTTCTTCAGAGTGATAATGATGGTCATTTGTATGGTCAAGTAACACGTACCGCATCTATAAGTTGCTCTTCAAAAGCTGGAATACTAAGAGAGTAACAGATATCCTTTAATCGCCAGGATCTGGTAGAGAAAAACAAGAAACACAGGAAATAGTTAATAAATTGTTCATTAGTTCAATGCAATAGATGATGATGGTGATGGTTATGGTGAGGGAGGGAAAATGGTTGAAAAGTTAATGAGTTTGAAAATTAATAACCAATGACATGGAAACTTTCAATTAACACAACACACATTTTGAGGGAAACGGGAAAGGAGTAGAGAAGTGATCATTTTAAAAGAAAATTATATATTCAATTTAATAGAATTATGATTATTACGTTGAAAACATGTCCACTGTAACTTCCGTTCCAACTTTTAAGGCCTCCAAATGTAAAAGTAACGCATTTGAATGTAAAATGTTGACATTTTCATCGCTTGGTGTTTGAATTAAAAGTTGATTGGTATTTTCAAAACCATCTCCAAGTGTTGATTTAACATAATCAATTTCTTTTTCCAGTCTACCACCAGCTAGAATATTTTACAATAATAATGGCCAGAGAACACACACAAGAGGAGAGAGAAAGAGAGAGAGAGAGAGAGAGAGAGAGAGAGAGAGAGAGAGAGAGAAATAAATAAACATTAGAAAAGTGTTGGTGGTAAATTGGTGTTCTGATCATCATCATCATGGGAACAGTGAATTATGTTGGAATCATCACACCACAGTCTGGCTTTTCTTTTCTCTGATGATTTCTTTTTGGTTAATTATCATGTTAATATCCTTTTTCTTTTGTAAAGAAAAGTGACCATTGGAAAATAATGGATAAGATGGTAAACGGCTCACAATCTAATCACTTTGGTGGAATCACTAATTGGTCAGAATTTGAAAGCAAAAAAAAAATGGTTGATGGTGAAACATGATGAACATGTTGATGATTATTATGATGGTATGATGATCATCATGGTGAAGTGTGTAAAGGCCACAGAGTGTGATTTTAGCCAGTGAGTGTGATGATTATGATGATGATGACGATAAGATGAATAATTATAATGATGAATTGAAACGATGATGATATACCTTCAACACAAAGCTTGTCAATATTGGTGTCAATTTTAGCCGATTTAAGGCCAACTAAAGCACTTAATAAGGCCAATAGTCCAACAAATAAAACGGTTCCCGGGTTTCGCTGTGAAAAACATCCAATATCATAGAGATGCCGTTGGAATTTACTTCTAACCACCAAAGCAGCTTTGTTACCGGTAGCTCTACCCTGTTAGAGATGAAATCAGTGATGGAGATAAAAGAAGAATAAGATAAACGAAGGAAACAGATAAGATGAAGATGAAGATTAGTAAAGCAAATAGAGAAAAAAAAAGAAACAATCATAAGAGGGGGAGAGAAAGAAATAATAGAAAGTTTAGAGACACCAGAAAAGAAGGAAAAATCAGGTATTAGGAAGAACCGAAAAAAAAGACAAGAGAAAAGAACAAAATTCTCCAACCTTTCGGATTTGGCGTAACGCAATTGACGCATTAACCCAAGATGTTTTGTGTATTAAATCCGTAGGCCCAGGAAACAAAGAGACTAGTTGATCTATTGGTGGCATAACTTTGAACACTTCACATTAATTGAAATCCATTGAAGATTTTTAACCGAAAAGTACCAATGGCTTTTGCTATATAAAAAAAGTTGGAAAAAAAAGGAAAATGAGAGAAGCGTTTACAAGAAACGATCAAGAGGAATGAAAGAAAAGAAAGAGAATTGTAAAGAGAGAGAGAGAGAGAGAGAGAGAGAGAGAATATTATGGTAAAAGAGAAAGAGGCGGTGGTAAGGGAGGGTAAGAAGAAGAAGAAGAAGAAAAAAAGAAAAACGTCTTGAAAAGAGAGTAAGATGTTAGAGAGAGAAAATGATGGCGAAAGAAAAAAGAAAGAAAGAAGCTAAGGGGCAGTAAGAGAAGAAAGAAGAAAGTTGCAGAGCAAGTTAATTAAGTTGTTTCTCTCTCTCTCTCTCCTGGTTTGGGTTTGATCTTCTGATGTCTTGATTAAGACCAAATGATGATGTCTTAATTTTCTTCTTTCTTTCTCTTTCTCTGTTCGCCATCATCTTCTCTCCGTACAGCCCAAAAAGAATAGAACAACCAAAGGTAGTAACCTTATCCACCATGTGAGTTTTTACCACACTCTCTGTTTCCTTGATCTCTTCTTCTTCTCTTTTATTGTAACAAAGAGTGAGCGATGATGATGAAGACAAAAAGTAAACTCCTAAAACATATAAGAGATCATCTCGTTTTCGAAAGAGAGAGAGAGAGAGAAAGAGATAGAAATCAAAATGAGAGAAAAATGAACAAAGAATATCAACTTTATCCTCTCTCTTTTTCTCTCTCTCTCCACCTCCTCCTCCTCCTCCTTCTTGTGTGTTGTTTGTTGTTGTTTCTCTTGTCTCGTTATCCAGATTATTCCGTTGATTGTCACCTTGATCACCCTTCTTGATAATCCAACGAAATGTTCTAAAGATTAACCAATTTAAATTGTCACCAAAAGAAGAAGAAGATGAAGAAAAATATTAGACAGAATAAACAAAATGATCGGATTAAAGTAAACAGCCGGATATGTTTAGAGAGAGAGAGAAAAAGATAAAGTGTTAATCTTTTAATCTCTTCTTTCGAAATTGTTGTAATTCTCCTCCGTGAATTTATAGCAAATATTCACTTCTAATTGTCAACTTAGAGAAGGAAAATGTAACCAAATTAAACGAAACAATTAAACAAAAAAGAAAAGTAAAGTAAACAAAGAAAAACAAAAGCGAAAATGAGTAAATCCGATCCGAATCATTAACCGGGCGATCAGAAAAACCCAAAGAATTAAAATCGTTACCGAAAATCAGATAATCGATTTTCTAATCGATAATTTTTTCTCTTCAATTCGAAAAGTTTGTTTTTTGTTTGTTCTTTTATCAATTTAATTTGGACAATTAATCAAATCGTTAATCTTCACTATTTGTCTTCTCTTAATTACATGTCGTTAATTGTTGTTTAATTAACTAATTTGCAAGAGAAATTCTCAAACTTTTGGAATTGAAATCCCATTGGTGAATCTTAATTACTCTCTCATCGTAATTAAAAAGTTTTTTAATCAAACGATTTTTAATTGCATTTGTCTTACAATTTGATGGGAAAGCTTAATTTCCTATCAACAATTAACTTTGAGTAAATTAGTTTCCGGCGTCAACAATCAAATTAACTGGGGAAAAAAACTAAAAATCTAACAATAAAAACAACTTTTGATTACTAATGATCGTTAATTAATCAATTAACAGAGTAATTAGTAATTAATCTGGCTCATTAATGCATTTTAATTGTGAAAAGTTTTCACTTTGATTATCATTTAAACTAATCAATTAATTGAATCTTAATGATAGTTACCTTTTTTTTTTACTTGATGATTGAATCAATTGATAATAATAGTAAATGATGATCACCTTGATATCGATATCAATGTTGATTAACTGTTATCATCATCATAATCATCATGGTGGTAAATCAAATAAGTTCATCATCATGATTGATTCCCATGAGAATCAATGATAATTACCAACAATCAAATTCAATAGAAAATTTCCAAATTTCTCCCTGAGAGAGAGAAAAAGTTAAACAATCTCCATTTCCATTTCCTCTTCCGGCACGGTGGTCAGTGAGTATTCACCATCGATAATATTGACCCTTGGGATACGTCTCAATGTCGCAACTGTATGAATATTACCATCACAATCTTCAGCCAATTTATAATCACTCTCACAGCAAACAGCATGATTAACAAGCTCCTGTAAACAATTAATTGAAACAATTAACTTCCAATCATGATTCCAGGCAAGAAAATGATTCCAATGTTCAATTGAGTCTACAAATTTAAAATTAACTCATTGAAAAGTCAAATGAAACAACCATCATTGATCAACAATTGATACGATAAATTAATCGGACACTTGATTACCCTGATTAACTGATTAACTTTGCTCAACAATTTAGTTGAAAACGTTCAATTGAAAACTTATAGGGAATTAAATTAATGTTTCAATTTAACTTTCAATTCAGGTTTTCAACGTAAATTCAACTCCGGTGGTCAATTGATTAACATTTAAGTTTTTCTTATGATTATGATTATTACCTTGATTTCTTAATAGTTAATTAAGTATAAAAAAAAGGTCCATCACGTGATTAAGTAATTAATAGACTAATGAGAGTCGCGTGCGGTTATTTTAACATGATTATAATGATTACATATGAACAATCATGATAATATTATTTATCCATTAATATATGTATGAATTTTGAGAAGAAAAAAAAAAGATAAACAACAATTTAAGTTACATGATATTTGGACTCATCTTCAGACTGCCCTCAGGCTATTTGGCCTTTTGTTTGTCTTTTAATGTTTTCTTTTCACTTCTAATATCATTTGCCTTTTTTGTTAATCTCAGGTTATAATCAATTAGTTGATTGGATGGCTTGCAAATTAATTGTAATGGTTAATATTTTCACCTTAATTTGGTTCATCAATATATCGGGTTGTTGTCCACCTTCAACAATTGAAGCCATTAACTTTGATTCATATTCCTTATTATCTTTCAGATTAAGATGATGTTAATTGTATTGCCATTAATTAAGATCATTTTTGAGACAATTTGGATAAATGATGATAATGGATATAAGAAAGAAAGAGAATAATCAAATTAGTGAAATGAAATTAGTTCAGAATTGCAAACGCATATGAAAACATAAACCGACGATTGAGTAACAATTAACTCTCAATTAAACCAATCCCAACATCATCATCAACAACGAAATCATCTTCCTTTTTTCATCTTCAAACAATTCGTTATGTTTTTTTGTTAACTGCTCTCTTGCAGTGATTGTAGTTAAACCTCCTCCCTCTTCATCTCTCTCTCTCTCTCACTCACTTACTCACTAGCTCATTCTCTCTACCTCCCTCCTTCCTCCTCCTCCTCCTCCTTACTGAAGTTTTATATTTCAATATTATGGAATCAGGGTGGCCCAAGTTATAGCAGAAAAGAGGGTTACCATTTTGGAAGAAGAAAAATAAAGAAGCTTCAAATTCACTTTATCCTTGTTTTCCACTTTTTACACAAGCATCATCTTCATCATCATCATCATCATCATCTCTCTTCCTTTTCTCTCTCTCTCTCTCTCGCTCTCTCGCTCTCTTCTTATGACCACCGAGTTGGTTCCTATTGCATTTCTACAAGTAAACTGAACAAGAAATTGGTGAATCTTTTACTCTTCAAACTTTTTTTCTTCAGATTCTTCATCTTCATCTTCATCTCTCTCTCTCTCTCTTTCTCAACGTTGCGGTCATTTTCATTCTAAAACGATCTCCAATCGTTTATCAATCATTTAATACCTTTAGATTATAATCTATTGACCAACACAAATTAAATAGTTATTCCAATTAAATCACTTAACAAATATTACCAATTGTTAGCTCTTGTTTACTTGTAATTTAATTTTTATCTTATTCTCTCTCCTATTATTGATGAATTTACAATTGTAGTATTAAGATTACAGTATTTTCCCTTTACATATACAAATCTTATCCAACAGCTAATGATTGATTTATTACAACCAGAGAAAAATATTTGCTCAACTTAATTACAAATATTAATTATCGACGGAAGTTTATTTACTAATCGATAGATGGCGCTTTTGCAAGAAAAAAACTTTTCTTCGAAAACTTAATTAATGTTCAATAATTTAGTCCACTTACTTTGAAATGAGTAACATTTTTCATTAAGATCGGCAATTGAAATTTTCTCATCAAGAACCATCAATGGAATCGCCGTTGAACTGTCATTACATTTACAAATTCCCACAGTATTGGAAGAGATGACAAACGGAATGTTAGTTGAACAATTAGTTACGAACCCACCTCCACCTCCACCACCACTGCCCACATCAATGTTGGTCCCACAGTCTGTCAAAGTGACTGTCCCACCACCGCCACAATTAACTGGATTACCATTTACCGATCCACCAACAGAATCATGACTAAGTTCAGTGGGAAATTTGATTCCCTGGTTATGTGAATTATTTGCTGTTGTAATCGTTGATTGTTGATTTAACTTTTTACTTAAACCATTTTCATCATTATGATGATGGTGACGATGATGAAGATGATGATGACCGGACTGATTAGAGGTAAAAGCGGTTAAACTGGACGATGAACATGAATCATTGGGCTGAACGGCCGATATAAAGGGAATGTTTCGCTTATAGTAAATAAGAGTGGCCCATGAAATCGTTAGACAACCAATCGAACCACCGATTAGAAGGATAACAATTAAAAGGGTTGTTCCCATTCCAGCGATTAATTTGATCTCACTGGTCGATTTACGTTCACCCGCGACGGTAGCAACAATCGACATCAATGGATTATCACGATCGATAACAATTGGATCGGAAAGTGTTCGAGTTCGAACAAATTCCCTCGAAATTGTACTTTCACCAAGTTTATTTCGACTCGATATAGTTACTATATATTCACTCGCTGGACTTAATGAGTCGATGGTGAAAACTGTTGACCCTGTGGGTGGATAAGCATAGAAATAATCAGAGGACAACTTGACCTGTTCCCCTGACAATGTGGACGATGATGAGGTCAAAAACGATCCAAATGATGATGTCAGTGAAATCGGTGCCAATGAATAATCACTTTTGATGAGTTTATATCTAATTCTGAATGATTGTTCATGTCCACCATCAAAACTGGGCACCCATGAGATGGTCAAACTATTATGTGTAACATTGACCAGAGTTAAATTAACTGGAGCTTCCGGAATACCTATTAAACAATTAAAGTTAACAGTTAATCATCACAATCAAATAAAGGTAACTCTCAATATCAATCAATCAAAAATCAACATCACGATATTTTCATAGTTTCAAATTACATTTCGAGCCTTGATTTCATATATTAATAAATATATTACTTATAACAATTTAAAGTAACAATTTAAGTTTTTAATTTAATTGTTAACAATCAGTATGATAACAAAAACTAAATCATTTAGATCTCGAGTTACAATTTAATCTTGAAATGATTTTCTGTTTTCAAGACAAATTCAATTACTTGATCATTTAAATTGTATTGATATGTTATTATTATTATTATAATTAAATAATCATTGATTAAATTGTCTGATTACCTTATACTTATTGTGGTTAAATTGATTATCTCATGATAATAGGAAAGGTAATATGTCGTGTTAATATAAATGTTTACCTGTGATTACCTGTGATAACTTGGGTTTACCTTTATTATCATTGATTAGCATCATCATAATCTGAATTTATCTTAATCATTTATCATGCAATCACGAATCACTAATCAAATTGTATGATATGATATTTGAATTAACTATTATCATTATTATTATTTAGTAAATAATTTTAAACATTTAAACGATAACAAAATAATCAATTGTTACGATTTAACTAATAACATGTAATTTTAGTTAATCATGATAATCTTATGAAAGATTGGGAAAAAAACGAAAATTATTTCAATTTAACTTTAGTATTAATCTCTTGATTAACTTAATCGAGATCAATTTTCTTGATTGTTGTTATTGTTATCATTATTTTTCTTTTCTCTAGCAACATTGGTCACGTGAGATGATACGGATTAGGATATGAAGATGAAGATGAAGATGATCAATAATATGAAACGGAAATTGTTTTCTTGCTTTCTCATCATCATCAACCTTTAACCTTACCTTCAACCCTTGAAGGCTTGGTTTCATTTGGAAAGTGACCAATGTCCCTTTTGCTGGTTTACGATGTCTTAACTTTTTTCTTCTCTCTCTCTCTTCTTTAAGATGATGATGATGAAAAAGAAAGAGAAAGAGAGAGAGAGAGAGAGAGTAGAAAACCGTTTATACTACAAACATAGCTTGAGGCCCTATTACAGGGTGGTCTCTATCTTAATCCATAAATATACATACAGATATTATCCATTCCCAAAGAGAAATCATCTTTCTCTTTCTTTTTTTCTCTTTCTTTTCCATCATCATCTTCAAGCTTAGCTACACATACAAGGGGGTAGTGAGCTGAGTGAGCAAGTAAAAAGTTGAGTATTGCCTTAATAATGATATAGTTAATTTATTACCTCAAGATTGTTTGGAAGATGATGAAGTAAGAGAAAAAGAAAGAAAGAAAGAAAGAGAGGAAGACGCTTTTTTCGTGGTGGGCCATAAAAGCATGAATTGAGATTTGAAGGAAGACGAAGAAGACATAGAAAAAGGCAGAAAGAGAAGTGGAAAGAGAGAGAGAGAGAGAGAGAGAGAGAGAGAGAGAGAGAGAGAGAGAGAGAGAGAGAGAGAAACCCACCAACTGTTTGACAAAACGATCTTAGGCCAACCTCATATTGAAAACGCTCAAACCTTCAAAACGAAGTTGTAATTGAACACCCATGCTCTTTCTCTCTCTCTCTCTTTTGACATCTTCATTTTCTCAATTTTGACATCTTCAAATCTTCATCTTCTTCTTCAAGACTGACCACAGCTCTGGACATGAAGATTTCTTCAAATTTTACAGTCTCTCTTATTTTCTCTCTTCCTCCACGTTGCTCTTTTCGCTCTCTCATCGAAAGACAACTTTTCACAATTCTCTCTCTCTCTCTCTCTCTCTTTATTAGTGTTAACTATTCAGTATTCAAACCGTTTATTTTCTGTTTGTTTGTTTATTTCAATCAATAATCAAACCAAAGTAGAGAAAAGAAAAACTTTTTGTTTGTTTTTCTCCTTCTTTTCCTCTCTAACTCATCATTCCACTTGTTATCATCACCATTACAGCTAACCTACAATTTACAATTCGACACCGAAACAATTAAAACAATTATGTAACCTTAGAAAATTAGATTTGTCAAAATCAGAACAAATCAATTCGATTTTCTCATAATCAAGATTAGTTATCACAATCATAATCACTCTAATTCCCAATCAATCGAATAATCTATCAAAGACATATACAAGTATTGATAATTTCTCAGTTATTACTTAATTAGATTTTAATATTAGTCGAATGATAAGTTTGCACCAGAGAAGAAATTTTTTCTTCTATTCCAATAGATGGCACTGACATTCATCGAACTAGAAAAAAGTTTTTTTTTGTTCGTTTCCACGATTAGAACTTTTTTTTCGTCTTCTCTTTGTACCATTGAAAATTTTCGCTAATCTATTCACTCTCAGTGTGTCTTATTGAATTGAAGTAAAAGTTTAATACAATTTCAATTGTAGTAAAAATTTACACAATGTTAACTTTTAATTGTTTAAATTAATCCGTTAAAATGGTTTAACCTTCATTAACAATTGAGAATCAACAATTGACATTCAAATATTTCTCAATCATTCAACTTGATACGATGTACATTTAACTTAATCGGCTTATGGACCATTATTATCACCTCAGTGACCTTGAATAATGCTTATTATTATTATTATTATTATGTCCAGTTTATTATATTGTCCAGTCGGTCAGTTTTTACCTTTTCTCAATCCAACCCTGATGAACAATCAAAACTAATCAACCAACTGATAATTAACAACCAATAAACTGCTACATAACTAAAATACGTGTCTAAATTTGTGTAAATCATTTTGATTGTTCAATTTATTAGCTAATCAACCCAACAATTAAAACTTCAAAGGAACCAAAAAAAACAGAATCCAGGAAACAATTAAGAGAAGATAAATTTTCTCGTTTTTTTTACAATAAAATTGATTAACTTTTTGTTTTTCTAACGATAGAAAAATATTATCAATAAATTATGATGATTAAACAATCAACTGATTATGATTTGTGTCCGTTGATTGTTGTTTTCATAGAGTTAAGAGCAAAAAGTTTGATTAATTGTTGACAAAACAACGAAGAGGAAAAAAAGTCTCAACAAAATCAAGATTTTAAAGAGAAACGTAAAAAAATTAAGCTCATAAATCTTGATGATTAACAATCAACCATTTCTCTTAAATCATTTGGTACAAAAGGGAGAGAAGAAGCAAAAAAAAATTAATTTTAATTTAGTTTGGAGAGAGTCAGAAAAATATGATTAACTTAATTTAAAGGTTAATTTATGTTGGTCCATTGAATTTGAATTACCATGTTTGCTGGATTTGCTGCTGTTAATGTTGTTACAATTGATTAATTGTCACTGATTCGGTACAGTAATTGAAATTGTTACTTTGTTAATTTATTATTAAGCATTTTAAGCTTGAGGCCACTTTGAGTCTAACGGCGGATGTACTTTTGTTTTCAAGCTTTTCATTTACACTTTTCTGGCCCAGGGGACAAAGAGGAATAGACGGAGAGAAAAAAAGAAAGAAAAAAAAAGAACTGAAAGAAAGAGCGGAAGTCTCACAAGTCCGTGCTGTCGTGATCGTCATTCAAGAAGTGGACTAGAACGGACTCAGGGTGGTCCAATGCAGATACACACACATACATACGAGATTATTGTAGACACAAGTAAAGGTCAATAATAACACCAAAGGAAAATAATAAGATCTGTGAAACAAAAGAAACCAAAAAAGAGGCTCAATTGTAAATGGACGCCATTGACCATTCAATGTTATAATCTTATTGCTTCTGCTTTGTCAATGAATGACCAATGGAATGAGAGAGAGAGAAAGAGAGAGAGACGATAATTTGACCAGAGCAAGTGAGGAACACGAGGATTGAAAAAAGAGAAGGAAAAAATTTCCAACGAACTGACCATTGAAAAGAAAACAAAGCTTCTTTTTTCCATCTAACTGAGTGACCTCCGCTTGGTCTATCTCTCTCTCTCTCTCTCTTCTTTCTCAGTGCTGCATGTATGTACATTTACTTGTAAATCGTATTCGTGGCTCCATTAACTTAACTAACAGAAAAATAATAACCAAAGGAAAAAACTTTGCTACTCTTACCTTTTCATTTTACCTTTTTAAACCGTTACAACATTTTTCACGCTTCTCTTTATCATTATCATACCATTAGCATCATTATTTTACTGACCACTAGTTTATAAATGGTCAACTCAATAGATAGAGATTTGGTTTACATTTCAACAATTTCCTATTCTAAGCTTGATTATTTGTGATCAACACAATTTCAATTCATTACAAGAACCAATTGGACTAAATTGTAACAGTATCACTTCATTTGCTATCAAATTGAACAGTAATTAAGTAATTACTTGACATAAAACTGATTGTTGATTTGATTAAGTTTGCAATAGATGAATTTTTTTGTTCTTAATCAACTTACTTTTTCTGACCAATTCAAAATCAAAAATATCTTGACCAAGATAATTGAAGGCAATACAACGATAAGATCCAAAATCGTTTTCCATTACATTGTAGATGATTAAATTACTTTGATATCTATTTGAACTGATAACTGGATTAACTGGATAATTAACATTGTTTATATTACTGGTGATCATTGATTGATTACTGGAATTGACATTAACCATATTGTTGCTGTTGTTGTTGTGGTTAATCATGTTACTGTCATTAACTGTTATCGTCTCGTTAATTATTTTATATTTAAATGAATTTTCCATACCATTAACTGACCAATTAAAGTTAACAATTGGATAACCATCAGCTTGACAAGTTAATTTAACAAAATCTGAACTAATTTCCGCTGCAATTTTACGTTGATTACGTTTAATTAAAATATTTGGTGAATATTCAACTGGCACCCAAATCGTTTGGACGGAGGCGATCAAGTTTAATGAATTATGAGCTGAACAACTATAATGACCAGTATCACTTCGGGTAACATTATTAACCGTTAAGATGGACACATAGTGACCTGACCTTAACTCAAGGCTATATTTAACCCTAAACCAATCCATGGGAGGTCCATTGTCTCCCCTAAACCATTTAACTCTAGGCTCAGGGTTAGAGGTTATTAGACATAAGAGTTGAAAATTATCATCACCCTCAGCGGGCCATTGGTCAGTTTTACCAAATGCTCGGCGTATCTTTATTGGTTCACTTATATTGGCAGAATCTGAATTGAAGGAATAATTAATTAGAGTTGAAAAAGAAAAGGTAAGTAGGAGGTAAAAGGTGAGAGAAGAGGAGGAAAAGGAAGATGAAAAGGAAGATAAGAGAAAGAAAAAGAAATTAGTTATTGAGCTAATTGCCGAGAAACCGACTTACCCCCCACCCACTCGTTCACCTTGCAAAGAGTTAATTGTAATCAATAACAATTCCAATCGTAGAAGAGCAAAAAAATGTTCAAAATATAAAGAAAAATCAACTTCAATCATCAACTTTCAAAGAGTAACAATTAAATTGTTTTCGTTAATTAATACTTCAAGTGTCGCCATCTCTTGTACGCTTGGAGATTCATTGCTAACGATTTTTTTTTCTTCTTCTTCGTTATCTTCAAGTGATCAATCAATTTACACTAATGTAAAGATGACACCTAAAGTTAATTAAGATTTTAAGTTAATTATGATCTTTATAACTGTTGAGAAGGTAAATTTAATGGAACATGATGATGAGAGATTTTATCTTCTTTTGCTTTTTCTTGTAACGAAAGGAAAATCGTTGAAGAGGAAAAAAAAAGAAATAGAAAAGAGATAAATTGTTAGACTTTGATGGAAACTATTGTTATTTGCTCTTTGTTTTCTATTAATCATTTACTTTCATCTTAATTTTTAGTGTCTTCAATTAGTTTGATTGCTAAATGAAGAAGATGATGATGATATTGATCAGAAGACAATTACTTTCCATCATCATCATCATCATAGTAATAATGATAATCTTTCATTGAGAGATTTGTTTGTATGTGTGTGTGTGTGTAGATTTTGATGAAAGAGACAAACAATAAACTGAATTAAGAGTCAAGAGTCTTGAGAGTTCAGGTAAAAATGATGATGGAAAAGAAAAGGTTTACTTTATCATCCACATCCTCTTTGTTTTTCATCTTAATTGAACATCATTGATGAAAGATGATCAAGAGTTGGAACCATTTTAATAAAAGACTTTAGGTTGATGATTTTCATGATATCAACACCAAACATCATCATAATCAATTCTTTAGTAAATATTGATACAGAATAGTATTTATATTCAATCTTCATCATGGTCAATACATCAATTCCATCATCATCAGGTAAGAAACAAAAAATTACACGAAGATAAAGTAAAAAGTAAGTAGGAGGTAATTCAATCATTTCAGAACTTTTTTCTTCTCGTTCAGAACAAAAAAGAACATGAAAAAAAAAATCAATAACAAAATTAGTTGATTGTTCATATATACGATTAAAGATGAAAATCATGATTAAGTCCAGTAGATTTTGATTAGTGGGCCAAATGAATATTATTACCATGAATTAGAGATGAAATGAGTTCACCGATAAAACCTTATGAGTTTTTGCTCATTAAAATTGGAACAAAGTTTCCAGTTGAAACTGTCATCATGTAAGAATAAATTGATTTACATTTGCAAATAGTTTTTCAAATGAAAATCTAATTGATTGTGATTACAATTCCCTTGTAGATTAATCAATTTTAATGATAAACAAAGTGAAAAAAATGATCAAATTTACATGGTACTTTCTTCCTAATGATGTTGTTATTTATTCAAAGATGAAACTAAATCAACTTTAAAGTTTTTCCAACAGAAATTAACTCACTTGAGAATCAGTTTCAATGAAAAGTTGATAATATTAATATATTTTCATGGTAAATGCAAAGTTTCATATGTATCATAGTGATAACTGTTATCATGATATAAGAAAATAATTAGTTGAAATAATGATTAGAGTTGGAAATTAATATCAGCTAAATTAGTTTGATTATCTTGTTGTCTATTGGTAAAATAATGATGTGATTAACTTTCCAATTTTTGTTCATTATTAATAAAATCGATTCAAGAAATTTAGATTAGCTCAATTGTTATTACAATCGATCGGTTAATCAAATTGGCTGGTTAAGTTAAACCATCAAACTGTTGATGATTTAACAACAATCAACCTTTCAAATTGTTATAAATATTATTACAATTTCGGTTAACCGTTAAGTTTACTTTAACTGTTGAAATGCTCACAGAAATTTGCTTGTTTGATTCAATAGCCTCAGGCGATATTGATCTTGTGCTTTCATTGAGATGAGATTGTTGATCTTGATCATCTTTAGTTGAAATGAAAGGTTAACATTGATATTGCAATATCATCAGCAGAAATACAAAACCATGAACATAAAGATTCAATCTATCACCATGAAATCGAGCTCGAATTCAGAGTTATCTAAACATTTTCTTCGGAACTTTTCCTGAATCTCCATGTGAATATAAAATCATCAGTTCGTCATGATCGTCAGAATGACCAACGTTAGTGAAAATTACTCTCATTTGAAACTGTTGATTGTGAATCAAATTTCCCGTCTAATTAATTCAGATAAAGTTCTGACTCGAGATATAATAATGATGATTAATTTCTTTTTCAGATTCACAACTAGAACATTTTTTTATCTTCTTCAACTCAGAACTTACTCTATTATTCATCTAATATACTCAGTATATTCCATTCTATTATCATAAATACATCGACAGAAAAAAATTCAGTTGATTAATTGTGATTAACTGGAAATGCAAGAAAAATAACCAACATGAAAAGTTAATTCAGATCAAGTGTTATGATTGGTAATCATCAATGAGAACATCTCATTGACTCGTATATCAAGAATTACGGAAAAAAAGTTCACATGTAATTCTGAATTCATAAGTTTATATATTCATCAAGCTCCATCATGAAAAAAAGAAGCGGAAAAAAGTTCATCAGAACTTTTTTCCCTTTACAATATCGAAGATGGAAAAAAATTCTTGATTCTAATCCAATAGATTCTATTGGCAATGAACCTAATCAACTTTGTAATTTTGTGTTTTTTTTCTGCCTCATCATCATTATCTTCATTATCTTCATCATCATCTCTATTACTATTATTACCATGACTTTCAGTGCTGAGTAAAACCCTGAACTCTCAACGATTAACGTCAGAATCAATTATCACTTTGACCCAATTTTCACTTCTATGAGTTTTTTTTCACTCATTTTTCAATCATAATTTTTTCCCTGCAACTAATTTTTTCCTGAAAACATCATTATCCTTGATTGTTGTTAATATTACATTGTTATTATCATTGTTTACAACAATTAAATCATCCACCATAATCATAATCACCATCACATCATTTAGGATGATTGAAAATTCCGTTAATCACTTTCCAATAATTATATTAGTTATTTATATCAACTAAAATGTTGAGAGAGAGAAAAAAAATTTCAAACTAATTAGAGGAAATTGTTATTGTTAAAATTGGATCATAATTTAGCAAATGATGCAGTTGACTTGTAACAATCGATGTTTGTAATTAAATTAACTTTTTAATTGAAATTTCAGTCAATTGAGTTACGAATAAGCATATAGCAATAATGAACATGAAATTGTCTCTTTATCCAAACACTAATCCATAGCTCCATGTACCTGATCAAAGCTAATCAAAGGCTGAAGATTATCATTCTCACAAAACTGACCACCAGGTACAAAGATTTACCTGTTTACTTTTTAAGAGGATTGACCAAAATTAGAGCCAAAGATAAAGAAGAAGAGGAAAAAAACAAGAAGCAAAGAAAATCCAATTGAGGAAAAGACTTGACCAGTGTAATAGACTGACCAGAGAGTAGATAAAATTTACCTAATAACATTGATCATCATTCTTAAGGTGTTGATAATACCTTTTAATAGTAAGTTAGAAAAATTAATACCATTAGTAGGGATTAGGATGACCATCATTATGATGACCGTTATAACGAAAAAATAAAAAATAAAGAGAAAATCGTTAATACTGACCAATGGCCATCTACATGTACATGTAATACTATTGTTGATAAACAATTTTTACCTCATAAAGGTGAATTATTATCTGGTCATCTTTCAGTCTTAATTATATTTCATCCTTAAGTTCATACATTTAATAACCAAAGGTGGACACTCAACACTTTACCCACCTAATGATCACGTTGACATTAAGACACTGGGTCAAGATAAAGATAAATAAAAACTACTTATACTTTTTTTTCATCCTTGTTAATCAATTGTAAATTCAGCCATAATCATCATCAATAGATTAATATTATCATCATGATTATTATCATGAACAAGTTGATTGGTACATATTTAACATTAGTTAATGTAATTGAATGTTTATACATTATTATTACTTCAATTTCCGAACCATTTTATTTATGTATTATCATTATTATTATTTTTCTTCTTCATCTCTTATTGCTTGAATTGAATTCAGTTCAGTTCCGATACGAAAATGGAAATAATAATAATATCATCATGGAAAAAAAACTATAAGAATATATTGTCAATTCTCTTGAGTATATTTCACTTTTTTTTTCTTTTATCATGATAATCATACATGAGATCTTATTATTATCTTATAATATTTACTTTTCTATTCTATTGTTTCCAGAGAGATCTTTTTTTTTGGTGATATCATCTCTCTCTCTCTCTCTCACTCACTCTCTCATCTATTTACTAATCAGTGGTTGGTAGTCATTGTTACCTGGTAATTTGTATAGACAGATGAAAACTGTTACAATGCTAATCATGATAACATCAATGGAGAAACAAAAAAAATATTATCATGAAAACAGCAACAATCATATTAACATGATTATTATCAGGTAAAGTGTATTGGTAATTGAGTTGAACCTCAATTGAATAGGTATTAATGTTAATAAGGTTACCTGGGTAACTTGATTGTTAAATGTAAATGATACTGATAAAGTTAATCAAAATAATAGTTTACAGGTAAAGATAATGATGATGATGATTAAGATTAACTGTTTGTTTAGTCTAAGATAATAAAGGATTAAAGGTTAATAAAGAAAGAAGATTATCAATTACAATTGAATTTATCATGTATTCAATCAATGAACTAAGTGTCTAGAGAACCAGAACTTTTAGTTAACTCAAGAGTTCCAATCG